AATCAAGGGCGGTGGAAGGAGGCCGAAGAGCTGCAAGCTAAAGAACTAGAAATGTGCTCGAGGGTACTTGGCGAGGAGCATCCAGACACGCTGACCAGCATGGCCAACCTGGCGTCGACGTATAGGAATCAAGGGCGGTGGAAGGAGGCCGAAGAGCTGGAGGTGCAAGTGATGGAGACGAGCTCGAGGGTGCTTGGGGACGAGCATCCAGACACGCTGACCAGCATGGCCAATCTGGCGCATACGTGGAAGTCCCAAAGCCAAAATAACGAGGCTATCTTACTAATGAAAAAGTGCGTCGAGCTACGGGGAAAAGTCCTTGGCCCTATACATCCTAATACGGAGTCTTCGCTCAATTTACTAAATATGTGGCAGATGGATGACCAGGAGCTGGGTACTTAGAGCTACGCTTTTCTTTTCAAGAATGTAAAACAGTTTATTGTGTAAGCATGCCTGCAAGTAATATGTATAGTATTAAAAGTGATTTAACACTACATATCGCCTCCTTAAGCAGGGAGGGTGGCCGACCCGCACCGGCAATACCCTTGTGGGGCTCCAAACTCTAATAGAAGTACTCTTTGGTATAGTGGCAACTTACGTGCCTTGGTCTATGGCGTAATTGGCTGGAATGCCAAGACTCGCATTTGTACCCCTGCTTGTCAGCTGGAGCAAAATGGTGTTGCAATAACGGGCAAGGGTGAAGCCGCATTTGCTAGCGGCTGTACTGTTTCAGAGTTGGATTTTTATATATTCCGAGCGTTAGCAGAACAGGGCTCCGCGCAGCTACAGGCCTGATGGTTATAGGGCTAAAGTGCCGGGCTTACTTAATTACTATGAGTAAATTACACCGTAATAATTATATCGAATGTATGGAACTGTTTCGCACTAACCGCTATTAGTGATCGCTTCGGTTAGAGGTACCGATCGACGTGACGACTTCGCATGAATTTGCGTGCGATATTGTAGCAGCCATAAGGCTGATAACAACTTCCTAGTATAGTAGTGAGGTACTAAGGCTTAGATGGAGCCCTTTTATAGGTATCAGGAGTGATAAGAGCTTGATAGTGGTGCTGTGGCGAAGGAATCGTGTTACGCTATGAAAGGAGGCTCTCCGCAAATTAGGCGCGATGGCGACGATGCAACCGTATTTTTGGGTGGGAGCTGTTCTAAGTGTTTAGAAGTGGCTACAGTACACGGCCTATATAGAGCTGTGGGAAATATCAATATATGCATAGAGTCTGAGCTGTTTGATGTCAGTGTACCTATTGATTTTCTCGCCACGCCGGGTTTCTCGCCACCCAGGGACGGACCTTACCCTCTCTCACACAGATTCCACGGATTTAGCTAGTGTGTCGGCTCCCTCGGACTCTCATAAACGTAGAGTGGCAGTACACGAACCTCTTCAGATCCCTGTTCTCAATCTTACACTCTCTGGGTTTGTGTAGTCTACAGTTACCTAGCACCGCTTGATGTCCTCCAGGACACTATCTAATGTGGCAAAGGAATAGTTTCGGCAAACCTGATAGCTCTCTAGGCCACCTCAGACGGTGTTCCTAAGCAGTAGGGAAGGGACGGGGTACATTGCCTTACCATTAGTTTGGGGGAGTTTTTTCGGCACTACTTGGGCCCCTATAGACTCTCAGAACTCCGAACGCGACGTAAAGTCTGAGGACATTGAGAGTAGACTACTTTTTGACTGACTGCCTACCCGCTAGCTGGGATCCTCCTGACGTTGGTGTAGAGCGAACAAGAATGTAGCATATGTTTGTGTGTCCAAACTCGAAACCTAGTACTTAAGACGTACAAGTCTAAACCCAAAAATTAGGTTCCTCTTGAAAGCGAGAAAGTAATTGGCCGATTAATGAGTCTATGAAACCGATCTCAGAAAGAAAAGAATCATACTCTCGCGCAGCATGATCACTATCCCCAAGCTGCTCTCCTTAAGGGCGTTTCCAACCTCACGCTTTCTGTGCAAGGCCCTCTAAAGATGATGCGATGAACAAATGAACAAAGCCTTAGGCCTTAACCACTTAGCCTAACAGCCCACAATCCAATGTAATTAGTGATGTCATGGCTGCTCCCTCTAATCGTAAAGTCTCCCGAAATCCGTTATACTCGCTGTAATGTATACGATATTTCAATATGGTCATGCTATCTGCTATTCGGTCGGTTCGTTCTGTCGCCTTATCTAGTATCGCAGAAGGTGATTCGCATCTCTTGAAGACGATTCAATCACCATTCGATTGACGGGTGGGTGATTGAACGGGCTCCTTGGCCACGCTGGTTTTGTCAATGGTCACCCGAGGACCATATAGTGTCGCAATCTGAACGTTCTGCCAGCTTCCCATCTTCAAATCAAAGAAGTAATCGAGGCAGCTTGAGGGTCCCCTCTGTAGAGATTGCAATCGTCCTTCGTATTCGCGCTCACTCGAGCGATCATCAGCGTATTCAGACGGAGAGACTGGACAACGATCGAGGTACTTCAACATATCGGCTCTGGCTTGGAATGTCATTAGAGCATCCATAGACCAATATGGGTACCGCGGTTTGTATCCAACAAGTACCGACGTGCGGGGTACGCCGGCAGTCTGTAGCGCCTCGCATAGGGGGATTATCGAGCGCTCGTACCCTGGATTAGTAGGTGAGATTTGCTTGCCGAATACAATTTTGATATGCAGATGGCGATGACCACGTTTCAGGAGGTCGGACAGCAGTTCTATCCATTTGCTATAGTTTTTCAAGCTAGGCGCCCAGGGTGCAAGTTGATCAATGAGTAGAAAACGTATGAGGCTAAACTTCGCATCCGGTATTCGGTTGATGGTTTGTCGGATGCCGTCAAAGTATCGTTTTGGATGAAGAACTGGTTACGGCCGTAAAAAACTTCCGTGGCGAGCGTAGATATGTGGTGGCTGACGCTGAATAACGAGTCTGCGCTCCGATTGCATGCGCAAGTACTCGAATATTGATAGTCCTCGTTACAGGTACAGGAGCAGCACGACATGGAGGTGTTACATGCGTGACAACATCCAGTAGTCAAAGGTATAATGTGACCTCGACTAGATACACGAATGCCGCGGGCATCTAAACCCAGCTTTTGGAATGGCTCGACACCATTCCTAAAGACCAGGCCGGTATACGAAAGAACCATCAGTTGTACCTCCGTCGGAAGGTTGAGGAAGGAAAAGCCATGGCTGAGCTTGTGGCCGTGGCCATACGATAGGGGGGATGATGGCTTCCTCGTAAGATCTTCGACAGTTGATCTCAAGAGTTTGTACACTGTGGGTTTCAAGCTCTTCGGAAGGGCTCTATGATTTCCAATCTTTAACTTAAGGCTCTTGAGACTAGGGGCTTCGAGGGCTTTGAGAGGGTCTGGGAGCGCCTCAAGTGTGGGTATATCCCTGACAGAACATTCCACTCCCAAGTCTAGCTCGTGAAGTGTGCAGTATTTTCCCAGTAGCCGACATATCTCTTGCCATGGCTTCAAGCATCGTGAAAAAGCGCGCTGGTCTGACTGGACAACCCGCAAAATGCTCAGATTAGGTGATCTCGATCGCATCAAGAACACATGTAAGAATTTGAGTGCAGCTAAGGCCCGGACGCTGAGTTTCTGGAAGATGTCCATACTTCGCCAATCGTGGGAGGCTACGGAAAATGTGTTTTCCCCGTACAGTATATCAGTAGTCTCCTTGTTGAACTTCCGACAGACAAGAAGTATTGACGTTAGAAGTCGTTCGTGACCGCACCCATAAATCCTCCTTCTGTCGCTGCTTCGAAATACGGTGGACAAAGTTGTTGGCACAGGGTCGCTCGCGCAAGAGCCATACGAATCGTACTGATACAATGCGTTATCTCGCCACGCAACACAAGTATCATGGTATTTTCCACTTATGTCATCGAATTCCCATCCTATCCCCCGACTCCACTCATAGAATATCTCAGTTGACGTTTCACAGAAGCGCCCTTGCTCATGAAGCAAGCTGATTGGGCATGTCCGCACCAGTCCGACTTCTCGAAAGATTTGTGCTCAGATATTGGCTGGGAGGCCTAGAAGTGTCGCTCGTGGTTTCGGCTTACGCATGGGTCTCAGGCGCATGTCGTCGGCCATTTCGTAAAGAAGGAGGCTCATCTGAAGATGAAAAAGACTCTCTCTTCGCACACTGCTGGTGCTTTGGTTTGTACTAGTCTTCAGGTGCAGCAATGATGAGGATGTGCTAGAGGCGAGCCGAGTGATGCGGTGAGTTTTGTGTGATCTTCTAGCGATGGGAAAGCAGGACAAGAGCCCGGAAGTACGGTGAGGTATTAGGAGCGAAGCTCGTGTCAAAAAGCCGCTCTTCTAGATCCGGGGTTTGACCAGCTTTTGCGTTCGCACGATATGGCTGTGCAAGGATAGTGCTCAGGTGACTGGCTCGGAGTTTAGCATGCAAAGGGCTTGCTACTGCAGCCTGCGATCCGTACAGCAGTGCTACGAAAGGTACGTTCTGGGAGCCGCTAGGGAGGCACAGGTCGAGTTTCGTCTTTCGGAGAATAAAATTCAGTGAGTTACGGCTCGTGTGATCGTCTGGTGGTATTAATGTGCCAGGGGCATGGTGATCTGCTGGTGGTGTGGGTTCTGCGAGGTGGTAACGTGGCAGCTAGGTAACGTGGTAGTAGCGAACTCATCCAAATTTTTATAAATACTCTAGATTTCAGCTCATCAGCGTGTTATGAATATCGATTGGCATTAATCGAGGACTCGTCCGAGGATGTAGTACACTCAGCAATACCACTTTTACTATAGAATATCCTCACTTGCTGTACAGTTGAGATGATAGTCGCTCCGCTCGTAGGTTCCCCCTAGCCTTCGTAGTCAGTTAGAGATAATGGGTGATTTCCCCCATTCGTTGAATTTCGAAGCCGAGGGAGGAGGTAAAGTACTCATTCGTTCACCCCCGGGCTTGATACATATCGCGTGAATGAGCAGAAGGATGGGAGCCGTACAGGTCGGCTACACCTCTACTTCCAGTCTTGTGTTATAATAGGATCCTAGGCCTCGCCAAAAAGGGGAGCTTGCAGCGTCGCAGGCGAGGTACACTTCATCAACTCAGGTATTTTCGTTCACTTCCGGACAAAGTTATTGAAGAGCTCCATTCCTTGATAGATGAGTCTACATATATCTTCAAACACGTATGGCATGCATAATACTCGCCCTGCCAAAATTTGCGTCCCCTATGAACTCCAGAATCATCCATACAATCATCACCCCCCAATTAGTTACCTCTCGAAAGCCAAAAGAGTGCGTCAAAGTCGCCCCAAACTTCGGAGAATATAGTATTTTCCTACAGAACCTCATCGATACTCACGTGCGGACCGTACATTGTCTCCAATCTGATTGACTGCCATTCTCCAAACTTCAAGTCAAAGAATTTGTCCGTTCTGATTCTAGGCCAGACATCTTGACAAGATTGTCGCCCCTTGTATCGGCAAGATTTCACCCACCCTGCTTCATTAAAGTCAGGGTCATCGAGGTGCTGGTGGTCCGAATGTGAATCCCGTGTCTAAAAGTCTTCGCACTATAATCTCTTCATTACGTCCTCGGGACAACTCTTGCAATGTCGCTTCGCCCTTGCAAAGACTAATATTCTCTACGCACTCGATTTTGCTAGAGCTGCGCAAAATCCTCCTAAGATAGTTCGTATTTCCTGCAGACCTAGGTCGGGCTTGGTTAGTTGTTCCATGAAAATGACCTTGATGTGCAGATCAGGATAGCCCCGGTGCTGAATATAGGATAGCAGTTGTATGAATTCTTGATATACCTGAGGGTGCGAATAAGGAAGAAAGAAATTTTCGATTAGCAAAAAGTGTATCCAACGGAACTTGTTACACGAAACTCTGGAGATGGCAGCGTGGAGACTTTTCACATCATGCCCTTCGACAAAGAATTGGTTACGGCTCCAGAAAGTCTCGGTGGCGAAAGCGAATATATGGTGGCTGACGCTGAATAATGCGGCCGCACTCTTCCTGCACAAGCATGTGCTCGAGTACTGATAAGCACTGTTGCAATTGCATCCTGAACTTGGCATAGTAGTTGTGCAGGCACAACAGCAACTCATGCTCATCTTAACTAGTGGTCCGCGTTTCGCTAGGAGCATTCCTCTGGCATCAAGACTAAACTCTTGAAACGGGTCAACCGCGTTGGTGAATACGAGACCAGTGTACGAGAAAACTATTAATTGCAACTCTACTGGTAGGCCAAGAAATTTAAATCTGGGCGCCTGGCGACGTGTGGAATCGGGCTGTGATATCGAACCTTTCGTGAGGTCCTCCACAGTAGACCTTAGAAGCGACTTCAGACTCTCGGTGTGACTCCGGTTCATGCGATTCCCAAACCTCAATCTAAGGTTCTTGAGGCTAGGAATACTCTTGATAGGAGACAGCGCAGCCTGAGCGGTAGCTAGATCGTCGAAAGCACCTTCGAAGCCTAGCTCTAGTTGAAGGGGGTGGCAGTGATCTGCCAGCAGCTGGCATAGTCTCTGCCATCGCTCTTCATGTTCGAAATACGCTGAGAAGTTTGCTTGAGAAGTAGCCGAAATTGGCGATCTTGACTTCATAAAGAACACGTGCAGAACTCTGAGCGCGGCCAGTGCCCGCTGGCTGAGTTGAGTGAACAGTTTCAAGCTCGATAAGTCATGGGAGGCTATACTGAACGAATTCTCTCCATACAATATGTCCGTGGCCTCGTTGTTGAACTTCCGTGCCAGCAGCCGTAGATCCTGCCGGCCCCTTTGCCACACCGAAGGATCTCAGATATGTTCTGTTCGCGCCATTCAATTTCTGCCCATTCATTGTCAGAAAATATACATGGCCTCAGGTGGTACAATTGTGGTAGACTATTGTGCCACCACCGGAGGCAGGTATCTCGAGACCCGAACCGCTCAATAGCTCTTTCTATGGTGGTTTCGAAGTGAGGACCCGAAATGCGACCTCTTTCGTGAAGAAAGCTGATCGGACATGGCCGTACTAGCCCTGCTTGTCGGAAAATTGTTGCTCTGATTGCAGACGGAAGTCCCAATAGAGAGGGTGATGAAGCGTCGCATGGAAGTTTGAAGAAGCTACTGTCGTGATCCATCGCGACTGCGGATAATCTACACGGAGTAAGAGGGCGATGGAAGACAGCCAGCTCAAGGCAATGGAAAATAAAGGAGATCGGGTAATGGTATAGAGGATGTAGGGAAGATTGTGGGAAAGCTCGGAATATAGTGGTGGGCTCAGTCACGAATCATAGTGCGGAGATTCATTGTACGCGACCCGTTCGTTCCATGGTACTAGGTAATGACAGCTTTCTGCCAACGCGGGATCTTTTCAGATTGTTCTCCAATGCTCAAAGAGCGGATAGGCTTCCGCACTCATGTAGCCTACCTAAGAAAACCGACAAATTTTGAGTCCGCCTCCGTCCGTTCAAATACCGCCTTTTCGCATCCGCCTTTGTTATGAGAGCCTTGCTCATTGTGTTACAAGAGAACACAAGTAGCCTTAATCGACGCACTAGATCTGAACGCAATCTCGCAAGTCCTCCAGATATGCATGTTCAGTTTCTAGTGAAGGAACACTTGCCGGAAGCAAAAGAAGTAGTGGATCTAATCCGCTTGCGCAACTTAATGAGGTGAGGTCCAAAAACAGTGGGGCGCATCTGTCGCTGTGTTGTGGCTAGGTGATGGCAGTGGGCAGGAGGATCTCGTTTCAATCGCTGAGGCAACCTCACTCTACCATCAGGAGGCTTTTCATGCTCGTGGAATTCGCTGGCTGGGACTTAGAAAACTATCAATTAGTCCGAGCCTTTTCAGCTGAGCGTATTCAGACTCATGTTCTGACATTGACACGCGACCCACCGAGATTTGAAACCCTAACTGACGATGCGTTAGGAGGCCTCGGAGAACCTTGTCACTCTGAAAAACGACAACCCGAAAATGGTGGAGCGGATGATCTACTACCTTTACCATCTGGGCTATCTCCCAACCGCGCCAATCTCTCTGAAAGACCTCGTGAAGGATATCCATCCCGACGACTGGTGCTCCGGATGTATCGAGCTCAACATGTTAGAGCGCAGCCGTGAGCGGAAGGTTGAAGAATGCCCCTGTATCTCAGAAGTGATGGATCTTCTCCATGGCAAGAACCCGGGGACCCACTGCGGGGACGATTCAGACAGTACTCTGGCAACACATGCTTCTATGTATGCTATGGACGACAAATACGGCATCGCAGAACTGAAGGATTTAGCTAAAGGCAGATTAGAAGCCGCGCTCACTAAGCACGGACTCAACCTCACTTTCCCCAGAGACGTGGCTATTTCAATCGTTTTCTGCATGACACCTGATTCGGATTCCGCCCTTCGGGTGCTTGTAGCTCGCTACTTCGCCCAACACGAGTATATGCTTGGTTTAGAGCCAATTCAGCGCGCCCTGGAGGAGCACAATGGCCTAGCGCTTGCAGTTCTGAAGGCCCTGCATCCGAACCATCTCCAGTCAGACAGCAACAGCATCCCATATCGGCAGGACCAGTTGCAGGACGCTAACAAGCTTTACCGCTTAAAGAGGGCTTTGTCTTAGTCCGAAAATGCTGGCAGAGCGCCTTGTCGAGAGCGAATACCGGACTTTTGAAACCAGTTAGCCCTGCACGGTCTCGAGAGAAAGTCATGAATCAAAAAGTAATACGACATGCTGAGTGGGCGAGGCTGGAGAGGGAATTCCATGACATCCAAGGAAAAAAGGCAAGTTTGAGAAAGGTCGATGGATCATGCTGGTGATGGCAAGACTGTGTGCCAGTGTCAGCAGTGCTGAAGGAAACGGTTACAGCGTCTTGCCAGAGATATCCGTATACTTTCCTGCCACTGTCTGTAGGGCTTCAACGTACTAATAGAAACCGGGAGCAGCGGATACACTTCCAATCTGCGTACACCCTGTTGCCGCTGTCTAAGGTAGCTTCACAAGTTTACTAGTTGCCCAAAATATCGAACTTCTCTCTTATTCGGAATGCTGAAAAAGTTACGAAGCTCACGCAGCGGTATAAACGAGTGTACGGATTTCAATGACGAGGCACTGTATACTCACATTGGTCTACGCTACAACCCTAAATTGATGTCTGCTCGAATCTACTAGAATGAAAGACTATCAAAGTTAGAACGTCAACCCAGCTTTTCGATAGCGCTTGCACCCTCTCATCATGGTCGTTATTGGCCTTTGAAGGGCATTGTTGAAACGCGACCTTTTGCTTTTATTACCATCCCTAATACTATTAAATGAGATAAGAAGATGAATGAGACTGTTCAGATGAGATTTTGAGATGTTTGCTTTTATGACTAGGACCGCCATGATGAAATGAGATGAAAACGAAGGAAATATCAAGGTTTTCGAAAGGGCTTAGAGGGTATCGCCATCGAAAGCCTACTAGGAAAGCCTACTAGGAAAGCCTACTAGGAAAGCCAGGGTTGTAGTTCGGGGACCACTAATCGCACAACGATTAGTGGTCCCCTTCATGTTGAAGTCGTGTTATGGTCTTCCAACGTTGCCGAAGAAGACAACAAGTACCGCACAATATCTGTATAAGATGAGTTTGAGCATGAAATTTGAGATAGGGGTAAGAAGATTCGCAGAGCCGGATGTACTTACGCTGCAGCTGCGGCGAGAATCTCGTGTCGTTTGGCTCTCGTGAAAAGCGACAAAATTGCTGAGAACGCGAGTGTAGCCAAAAGCAGGACGCCAATACAGATTCCGTACGCTTTTCCGGTGCCGACATCCTTGATGAGATGATACAGAATGTAGATCGGTAAGACTAAGAGGATCAATATCACGAAGGTTATGATCGAGTTGACGAGAAGATTGATGCGCGAGCGGGTGTAGTATATCTCATCGCCATTAGATTTCATCTGGGTTTCCTATAAGAAAGAAGTTGTTAATAGTCGGGATTTTGAGCGACGAGTCGAATGCTGGGCAGCGGACGAACCTTCGAGCAGAAAAGCCACTGTATGACATTAGAGTCTTGCTCTGTCCAAGCATCAATACACTTACCTTGATAAGGTCGCAATGAAAGAGCTTAAAGAAGCCCTCTATGCCAGCATCAAGCCGAGCATGCTCCCGTCCAGCCCTGAGCGTAATCATGTCTTCTTTGCGATATATCCACTCACGCTCTTCCTCAACAACAAGCTCCTTATTTCGCATGTAGTTGGCGACGCTCTGGTAATCGCTGGAGGAGGGCCTGTTGGATGCCACTAGCGATTGCGCTGCAGTAACGAGATTCGCTAACAAAGTCAGAGACACTCTCCAAATGTCGATAATGGACATTACCATATTCGCAAAAGGCCTTCTCCAGTGTCTTGAAAAGCTCTCGGCGAGGCTCAGCATCTTTCTTCTTTAAATCTCGAGTAATCAATCTCCGAGACTTGTTATGTTCATCCCGCTTATCCATAGTGTCCAACCGCTTCTCCAGTTTCCGCAATTCATCTTGCTTCTCTAGGAGCAGCCGGGCTTGTATATATCCGAATCGCCGGTATATCATGAAGTTCTCGTCGCTATCTAGAAAGGCGGCGAGGTTGGGGTAGCCAAGTGGGCAGTCTTCCACTATTACCGACGCTTGTCAATTATACGCGTCTACAATTGGAACTCGTAGACACTTCGAAGGAACTGGAAGCTCACATTGTCTAACCACGACAGGAACTTTGTATTTCGGTCGCCTTGGTCTTCTTCTCCACGATATTGTCGCCGGCTGGAAGATATTTAGGAAGGTTGAGCGCCATGATCTTGGAGACCGCTGTCTTGATGCTACAAACGCGTCAGTATTGTCTAGGGATACGAATGCAATCTTCTCACCGGACGAACTTAGGGGGGTTGCTCCTTTCGTTGACTTTGAGAGCGATGAAAGGGGTCGGATGGTGGTACTGCGGGAGTCCGGCGCGAGTGTTTTCTCGGTTGACACGGTCGACGGTGGGGTCATCTCTTCTCCCTCTTCACGAACTCCAGCTTTCCCCTCCTCCATCGCCTTCAATTGATCAGACGAGATATCCATGTCTTATTGTTTAAAGAATTCTAAAAAAAAATCGCATTCAGCGCAGTCTAGCTAAGCACTCTATGCCTACGTTCGCCATCACTGCTTTAAATACAAAGCTCCCTACAGCCTTGTGCGCAAAAGCTATGTGCTTATAATTCTAATTCGTCAACAAAATCGCCTTTATCAACCACGGCATATGACTGTGTGGGTCGTCGACCATTCAACAGAGTTTCGCGTCAGCCTCGCATGCTTAGTCGAGACTCAGGAAACCATTGCGGCCCCAGTTTGTCGCCATTCAGATTGATTTCAGCTCCGGTGTGAGCATCCTTCACAGTGTATGACCATTTGTACAACGGACCGGGACCCCGCTTGCACTTGGTAATTACGACCTCCATATCTGGCTCATAGAGAACTTCCAGCCACGCCTCGTCTTCTTCTTCAAACTTTGCGGGTAGCTAGACGACAAACGATATGTAAGCCAACATGTAGGTTGATATCCTGCACAGGATTCGCAGTCTCAAAATGTGACTTCAAGCGTCACGATGGAGGCTCACAGTTGCGGCATCAAAAGCGACTGGTACATTGGCTCTATTCGGCGGGGCGTCGTCGGTCTAAGGAACCTCTCCCGTCAGTAGGCTATACGGGTACTCCAAGAATTACTTTACGTACAGAATCTGGCGAAGAACCATGCTCGGCGTCATTGGATGGGTCTTCACCCGCACCTCTGCCCGTTGAGGCCATTTTGAGTATGTGTGCCTCGGAGGAAGCCTGAGGACTCAAGAGAACCGGTCAGCGTCGTCGTATGACTGAAAGAGAATTCGCCGAGGAGGAAAGTTAGGAGCAGGCTGGATGAGAGCCTTATATCAAATCCAGCCTGAGGCTCGTACACCCGTCGTCGCCCCATTGCTTTTTCTTCCATTGGGCGATTTAAATCTGGCTAAACTCCAGGCAGAATTCAGGCAAACGCCGGCATTGTTCATTACCTGTATCTAGCTGAGTCTAGAAGAAGGCAGCGAAAAAGGCGTCGTGCCGTGTTTCGCTCCGCCAATGAAGCGGTTGTGCGACCACACCTCATCGTCCCAGCTTGCGGCTCCATCGAAATTTGTACCTAGTAAGCCTCGTTTACCCCTCTTTCGGAGACCGTCCTTTCTCTCAGAATGCAGCCAGCGGCCCTTCGAGAAAGACATGAGAGGATATGTTCAATCGCATGTAGCTGATCCAGCTCGAATCTCTGCCATTAACATGTCTTAGTAAGACTTTCCGGTTAAAAAAAATGGCTGCGCCACATTAGGCAATACCAGCCTTGCCTCAGATGACTTGTGGATTTCGTGCACTGCCTCAGTAGTTGTGAGGAGCTGGAGTACTTCGTGTTCCCTAGTATCTGAACTGTCAATCGTGCCTTACAACTTCGACCATATCACATACGGGCGGCCGCACGCTGTAGCGCATGGCCCCCTACGTTCCAAGCAAAAAAATGGAAGCATCGCACGAATCCTTTATCATGGATCCAGTTAAGAGTCATACCATGGTAGACGACATTGTCCATGACCCTGCACCAGAAAGCTCTGCAAGCTCAGATCCGCAAGAAGAAGAAGAAGAAGACCGGCACCAGAAAGATCAAATGTACTATCAAGAACTCTTTGACAAGCACATAAAGGTGTCCCAAAAGCCAGTGTGTCATGACAAGACAGCTGTCCTGCTCCTCTCCTGGGACCCTAAACTCGATGATCTTGGAGTGCAGAAAGAGGTATTTGATCCAATTCTATCACATCTTTCCGTTGTCTGTATAGACGTATGCGCCACTGCTTGGACCTTTTCGTTACCCTCCGACTGTTGCAAATGTGTGCAGAGATCTGTCCTTCTCAAATGGTAGGCAGCGCCAATTGAGCTGGCCTGTACAGAAATGAGATGGCCGAAATGCTTCGACTCCGTTGGGCTTTAGAAGTTGGCAATGTATCGAGACTCTTTAGAGAATGGGAATACAGTGTACTAAGACTGGTGTTGATGTATCTTGGTCCTGGACCTGTTGCTAATGAGAAATAGGTGAAAAATCTCGGCGAAGTTTTCCAAAAAGCGTACAACTTTACGATTAGCTCGTCCCATATCAAAGGCCACAATCCACAGGCATCGGTCAATCGCTTGTTATCTGAATTCGTGGACGATCATGGGCACGAACACTCGTTGTTGATTGTCTACTACGCTGGTCACGGATGGAGTGATGAACATGGGCAGTTCAAGATCGGCCCGTACGTGCAAGAGCTATAATGTTGAACAGCTGCTGACTTTCACAGGCGACGACGTAACAAAATCTTGGTTCGTGATGATATCGTTTGGAAGCAGGCCGAGGAAATTCTCAAACCTGCATTGTCCGACGTATTGGTCATCTTCGACTGCTGCGAAGCAGGTGCCCTAGCCCACCAAAGTCGCTCACCCCATAGGACTTTCGAATACCTAGGTGCTTGCAAGGAGGGCCAAACAACCCGAAAACCAGGCGATCGTTCTTTCACGTCCGCGTTGATATTAGCCTTAAAAGAATTGGCCACGAGAGCAACGTTTTCAACCCTGGAACTATTAGACAAGATTCTTGAGGCGCCTGAGTTTCCGAAGTTCGAGCAAGAGCCGGTTCTATTTGTCAGAGACGCACCCACCAGGAAGCATATCGATATTCAGCCTTTGACCAAAGACGCTTTGACCAAAGAATGTAAAATGCCTATGGCAGAACCTGAGTTTCGTGATGGCGCCAACGAATACCTCGACATCCGATTAGAGTTCAACCGACGTCTGGGTCCGGATGACATCGTCAAGAGCACCACGCATCTAAGTAAGCTAATTGACAACTCGGATATCCCGGTAAAGACCATTTGCTTGAAACGAAAGTCTTCATTGGTTGCAGACTATGCATACCATTGGAGGCGCACGGTGAAAAGGAAGACCTTGAACGGAGCAAGTAGACGATCCCCGCTGGTGACTCCAGGCCTTTTGGCACCGACTATGGTGAAGGATGAAGACTATCTATCAGAGAGTCCCGCCCAAATTGGGCCAGCTCATTTTTTGTCGAACAACAATGCTGCGCAGCAGGAGGAGCAGTCCGTCTTGCAACTCGCTATCCCACGCACACAGGAAGTCTTGCGTCCGATGGAGCCACGCGCGGATGACCGCACTCGAGGAGATGGCGGCGTGTTCTACCATTCTAGGATGGTGGTTGTAAGGACCGCGGAGAATTGCCAGTCTGGGCTCGGTTGGGTAAGGGACAAAGTAAGTAGCTTTGTGATTGGACGCAATTATCTTACCAAATGCTGATATCTCTAGGTCAGACCAAGAGCAGGCCAGTAGTGACTCTAGGCTTCTAATGTGGTTTAGGACAGCCTCGTCAAGGACTATAAAGCTCAAGTGGAGATGTTTCTCTTTCTTTCCCATATCACGTCTTGAGGACCGTTGTCGTCGCCTTCTTTCTTTGCACCGTACTTTAATTGTTTGAGGCCTTGATCGCGTCCTAGATTTTGCTTTAATTGATATTACTTGATTGGATTGCCTTGCACAGCCAGCACCGTGATAAAGCCACTCAATACCTACTTCCGATCCCATCGTACCCGAAGATTCAGGGTACTATTTTGCGTCCTCTAAGAAGGTCCTAAAACTACTGTACGTCAGTCCTGCGCCCTGCGGGTCTAGACTACATACCATTAGTCGTGCTATAAGCTCGGCGCAATGTCAGATAGCTCCACGAGAGAACTCAAAGTAGCCGTCAGAGAAACCCCTCTAGTTGTCATCCCGAGTGTTCGCTGGAATAAGTAAAGTAAGTCACTGTAGTCGAGATAATCACCCCTAGGTCCGGCAGCAAGCCTCACAGAGAATAGTCTGACATGAAAATGAATATGGGACATTAATCGGCTTCTTGCTTACTTCGTGCGGATCTCTTCCAGATCTAGAAAGCCACATGCCATTGTTGGATGAAAAAGCACACCCCACCTAAGATTAGGGGGACCGGAAACTAAGTGACATTATACACTTCCAAGAGCCATGTGATCCCGGAGAATCTCCGTACGTTAGAGATTTGGGGAGTCAATCATTTTATATTTTCGAATGATTTTTTGAGGCTAGCGTCCGCGGACAACACTGCTTTTAGATCGCGCTCTCCACGTCTGTCCCCTCTCTATGGACAGAAAACTCTGTGGTTTTCAAAATTCCAGTCTCCCACTCCGCACCCGGTCCTTCCTCTTCACTTGCCACGTCATCTCCACTTCCTCCACAGCTATCTTCGTGGACTACTAATCCTCTGGTACTTCCATTCCGTATACTCCGGTTGTTTGTACTCTGGGAGAAGCCCGAGTCTTCCGCAGATTTGGTCGAGCTTACGACAACATCTCCGCTTTTGTCTCTGACACTCAGCACTTTCAACACGTGTGTATTGGCTGTTTCGTGGACGTATCCACGGCGGCTACTTTGCCAACCCGACTGTCCCGGAGGAGTTACTGATCCGAAAAATCGACTGTTTGCGAGAAAGTCCCGAAATATTGGTCGAAGAGTGCTCGTAGATGCCGCAACCAGTCCCAGCCCAGGCTCGATGGTGCCCCAAATGGACACATCAGCCACAGTGAAGGTGATGTCGGCACCCGTGTTTATGCGGTGGACATATGGAGTCCGAACGGCAGCTGCTATTCCTGCACTTCAAGAAAGTTAGTTAGTTTCTCCAAGATTGTCTGTACAGTGCCCGGTCAGAGATTTGTGTTCACTCTTTCATCAATGCTGATTGGGAGTCTCAGCACTCTGTAGGCATCATCCTAGAAGGGTACCATGACTCCAGGTAGCCTGGCGAGATTATGGGTAGTTCAAAAAGATGAGCATCCATCTCGCGCAGACCTTCGAAAAGGCTCCGAAGCCCCACACGCAGCACAGAGAGGGTGTACGCAAATCTCTGGCGAAGCACAGTGAAATCAGCCTCTCCGGGTTTTACGAATTTACTTACAGCATTCCCATTCCGAGCACTGCAATAATGGAGACCTTGTCTCTCGGCGTCAGACTAGATCCCCGGATGATGTACCACGGCAAGATAGCGAACGTGAAGTCGGCAATGACCGCATGACCAACATACACGTACAGAATAATAGTTACGCCGCTTGCTTCGACGACGCATGTGCCTTTTGAGGTGTGCAGCGGATTGTATCGCGTCCAGAAGTACTCGATTGGGCGACACGAGAACACCATTAACACAGTTGTGACCACAGTGAAGAGAACTGTGACTACTACTTGGGAGTAGATGATGTAGCGCTGGTATCGCTTTACGGCGATACGCAATAGAAGCGCACTGACTGATAGCTTGATCATCGCGGTGGTGGAAAAAAAGAATATAGAGTTGACATAGAAGTCCTGCAGTAGAATTAGTTGGCTAACGTCTGCTGCGCAGCGTCGCACAACCATACCTTGATTACTTGTTCAACTTGACTTGGTTTGAGGTCGGATACGTGCCGGGTAACGCCATGCTTGATCGATTCGAAAACAAAGGTGGAGTATACCGTGAAAAGCACCTATCAGATCGTCAACCATGATCTCAGACTTCTTCGGGCGCTTGGGGACAGCGTATGGGAATCCCTCAATCGGCGCCCAAGTCAATTGAGGTCGCGGATCATGAAAGGGGATGCGCGAGATGCAACCCTTTGTGTATGACTTACCAGTGCAACAGCAGCAAGCCAGTCGTCTAATCCGAAAGACCTCAGCATACGGACTCGCACGTAGGTTCGAAGCATCATCGTTAGCCATGCCAAACTTAGGAACACAACCATCACCGCGGTGAGCTGCGGGCCTCGAGTTTCCGCCATGTCGGTACTTGTTATCTTTGGCGCAGGGAAGCCTAGGAATTGCGAAATCCAGCGCCGGCCGCAACTATATCTGAAAACTATTTTCGCATAGCTTTTAACCGGCCCGGGAGGAACTCGTTAACTCTCTTCCCGGGCGTTCGTGGCTTACCTTGACGGCGTTGTAAGTGGATGAGCGCAGCCCCTTTATTGACTTTTCTAACGTCCTTCAAGCCTTCGTGCCGTCTCAGGCCCTGAGACTAAGGAAAGTTTTCTAGGTTTGCGCGATTACACGCATGTGCACTCCTGGATCGGTGCCTGGTTCTCCGCAATCCCCACATTCATGCCGGCTAATGCTCGCATCCTGGCTGCATTTGGACCCTCCATTGGAGAAAACGTCTTCCCGCTATGTGCCGTTCATGGGTCGGGTCGTTTAACAAGCCTCTCGGACTGACTTTTTACGTTGCCGAGTTGCAAAGCGTTCGGATGCATAAATTTTGAACGCCCTGTCAGAAGAATCTTACTTGTCGGTATGCGAGCCAAGGCCTGCATTCCGCTCTTGGACATAGCACTCAACATGAGGAGATGATCATCAAAAGCTATCCCATCCTCTTCCTATTGGGCAAACTTCACTATGTCTAATGTCTTCTCCGCAAATCCCCAGTCTGGTGATTGATTCTCACTATATTGATCTTCCCTCTCCCTGCGAGCAGTGAATAGGTCTACCATGGAAATTCAACCCATCTACTAAGCCTCGTCCTAGTCACCGGCCTTCAGATTCCATCGCATTTCCGAAGCATTGCCTCCCCACATCGCCGAAGCATGAATATGTATCCCCACGGGGAAGCTGGCTTTATGTATTACCCCAGATCTTCCAGTCCGGCACTTCAGCAGCAAGGCCTTTATACCAAGAGTCCAAACCCCTAGTACCGGCTACTCCCGATTATTCCCGACCGAATCAGGAGGCGTTTGATCATGGAGAAAGAAGAAGTACCGACCCCTGAGACCCGCGGATCCGCACCAGTATCTGAAGACCATGAGCACGTGGAACGCGTCCCAACCCACCTATCGGTTGAAGATTTCAAGTGGGATATCGACATCATCACGAATCTAGCAGCACTCTACGTTGTCTTTTTTGCCTCCACCTGGATGTTGATCGTCCCTAGCTCTATCATTGGATTTATTACAGAAGCCTTTCCGACTGAGTCCGATAAGTCAGTATGGATAGCGACCGCAATTACAATCTCGAACTGCGTCCTTTCGTCTTTTGTGGGGTTGCTCTCCGATATTCTAGGTGAGTTAGTAGAGATACTCAATCCCTAGACGCAGCTAAAGAATGCAGGCCGTAAGGTGTTCGTCCTGGTGGGCATGGTTCTAGGCCTGATAGGAACCCTTGTGTCCAGCCGGGCACATGGCATGGAACAGGTGATCGGGGGACAGGTTCTTTCCGGCTGTGGTCTTACCATAGGATACCTTGCCATCGCCCTGACGCAGGAGATCGTCCCCAAAGACAAACGGCCAATCACGCAAGCAATTACTGCTGTAGCCGCCGGAATCGCGACGATCATAGGCCCCATTATCGGCGGGGCCTTTATCAAACATGAAGTCGGAGGAGTGAACAACGGCTGGAGAGGCCCCTTCTACCTTGGAGCCGGTTTCTTCGCGATCGCCTTCATCACAACGCTGTTCTTTTACAACCCCGGACCGAGACCAAACCCAGAAGGCCTCCCCATCCGGACCCGCCTCGCCAAAGTCGACTGGTTGGGTGTCTTCCTCGTCGCAGCCGGCCTGACGCTCTTCCTAGTAGGCCTCTTCTACGGCGGAAATCCCGACAAATGGACCTCAGGCCGCGTCCTTGGCCCTCTAATCGTCGGCGCCGTTCTCCTTATTGCCTTCGGCCTCTACGAATGGAAGGGCACCAGCACCGGCCTCCTCGCTCATATCTTGTTCAAGCACCGCAACTTCCCCATCAGTTTGTCTCTTAACTTCGTCGGGGGCATCGTGCTCTTCGGCGGCCAAGCCTTCCTCCCCCAGGAAATCATCCAGCTCTACACCTCCGATGCCGTGCTGACCGGCGTGGACAACCTTCCGTTCAGCATATCAGCCGTGGTGGGCGGCGCACTCCTCTTTGTTGCGTTCATCTTCACCAAGAATGCGAAGCCCATCACCATCGTGAGCCTGGCCATCATCATCCTGGGCTCCGGCCTCATGTGCGTAATGGAACCGCACATCAACTACGCCGCATGGTTCTTCCCGACCGCGCTGCTCGGCCTCTCCGTCGGCCTGCAGACCGCCGTCGTGCCCCTAATCGTCAGCGTCTGCACGCCCAATCATGCCATTGGAACAGCCATCATGATCTCCAACTCGGCGCGCTCCTTCGGCGGCAGCATCGGCACCGTCATCTTCCAGCAGATCTTCGCGCACAAGATCAAGGCCATCCTGCCCAAGAAAGTCATCCCCGCCGTGCTGAAGGCCGGGCTACCGCAGACGTCGCTGCCCTCACTGCTCGAGGCGTTTGCGGCGCAGAGCCAGGCGCTGATCGTACAGGTTCCCGGGTTCACGCCCGCCATCTACGCGGCCTTGGTCAGGGCCGCGGGCAAGGCGTACGCCGACTCGTTTAGGTATATCTGGTACGCTCTCCTCGCGTTCGCGTGCGCGTGCACGATTCTGAGCTTCTTCTTGGAGAACACGACGTTGATGATGACGCATGAGGTTGCGGTGCAGGTGGAGCATGGGCATCACCATATTAACCCGCTGCACCATGAGCATCACGAGCATGGGCATCCGGAGAATAAGCATGATCCTCTGCATAAGGAAGAGGTGTGAGGGAGATCGAAAACGGATGTTGGCTACGAGAAAATGATATGCATTGCATGGTGCGAGTATGTAATTTGATATGATGATATCAGGAATGAAGTCGTTCGCTATGTGAGGCTTGATTTGGACTACCCTTAACAGACGTCATGTGATGATGTACAGCCAAATATTAATCAGTACGCCTACAAAGCGAACTGTCGAAGTTAGCTCCTACAGTTTAGCCACACCTAGTGAACTACCCAAAGTGTTGAAGACATAGAAATTGGACGAGCTTAATCACCACCCCCCTTTTCTCTTCCTACCACCCCCCCTACATTCAACCTAGCTCCGGCTGGTAATAACTTTGTTCCACTAACTAGGTAAGTATCGCTTACAAAGATCTTTGACAGATTAGCTCCAACAGTTTAGCCACAACCCAAATTCATCGACATTATATATGAAATGCCGCTTCGTGTTCGCCATTAAGCTCATGCATAAGCTGATATTTGTCTCATCGTACAAAATCCGTTGGGACTAAATAGAAGATAATCAAATGTAGGAGCTAGAAAAGACTATAAGCACTTCGCCTTTACGTAAACCCAGTCTATCACCGATAAACGAAACCGTACTCGTGGAGTCATAGATTTAAGAATGAAATACGTAGCACGTGAACCCTCAAACGTACACTATCTCATCAAGAAGACTTGAGCTATCGCCGCCTCTTCGTATAGTCTTACGAATAGCGATGGCGTATTAACGAGGTGTATTGGGAGAAGCATCCAGACTAGACCTGAGTCAACCATAAAGTACATGCAACCAGAACCCAACGCTGGGCCACCCCAAACACTGTCATCTTGCCCCCCCCCATATAGAGAGCTATGAGTACCTGATTCCAGACTTGCAAGTAGCGCCTTTGAATTAGAATTGAGTCAATCATAAAGCACATGCAACCGAAACCAGCGCTGGGCCACCCCAAACGCCGTCACCCTGCCTCCCATACAGAGAGCTCTAAGTGCCTGATTCCAGACTTGCAAGCACCCCCTCATAAAACATACACCGAATCAAGACAAGAGTGGAGAGACAATACTAGGCACTGGCTAAGCCTAACAGGGTCTACAACACGTCGCTGTGCTAGTAATCTACCCCTGCTAGACCCGATTCTCACGCCTCGTCCCCATCCCCATACTCAGCCGGCTTCTGCGCCTTCTGGCAGCGGGGCAGGGCGAGCTTGTACTTCGCCTCCTCCGCGTCGATCTCAGCCTGCCGCTGCTCACGACGCCTGGCGTTGTTCACGGACTCCATCGCGAACTTCAAGAACCTCTTGTCCTTGAGCTCGTCCTCCGTGAGGTCCAGTTTCGGGCCAATTGCGGGAAAAGTTGCACTAGTCAGTTTGGGCGACTAAGGCTCCTCCGCGATGGGTTGAAGACGCGCAGGCTGGTGGACGAGGGCGCCGGGTGAGCGCCCGAGGTCAGCGATGTGTGCGTTCGTGATAGCTACGAGGCGCCTAGCCTCGGCACTGTGAGCCTGCGAAGAGTCGCTTGTGATGGAAGTTTGATCGCGGGATCGGGCAAGACTGCTGGTAACGGGCGTGGACGTGGCGGCACGAGACCGCAGGTGTTGTTGTTGGTGCGAGCTTGATGGCCGGGAGTAATTGTGAGAACGAGTGACGAGAAGAGGGCTAGCACGAGGTGCCTCTGCGTGCTGACTCTCGGGCTGCGGAGTCAGAGTGGCCGACTTGAGGCGCTTTGAAACGCGCTCCATGGCCTCATCGTGCTCAATCGACTGTATAATTTTCTCCTCTTCGTGCTCCGATTCCGGTGTATGCTGAGCTGGTGTGAAGCGCTTCCCGTTATATTGTTTACGCTTTCTCTGAGGCGCCAGACGGACAGGCTGCGGGGTCGAGGTAAGAAATCGTTCACGTCGAGTGTCACCTTCGGATGTCGAGGCTTGTTTGTCCTTGGGGGGCAAATCAGTATATGGATTGATGTTACCCTCGACGTCTCCGTAGACTCGAGCGAAGTCTTCTGCAACCGCGGGGTCACTAGCCGCTATAGATGGGAGACGGGGGCGCGTGATATAGCCTAGTTCTTCATGTCAGAGCTTGCCTAAGAGGTTGCGTAGAAGATGAAGCGATGATTAACGCCTTTATCGCAACAAATTCCTTCCCTGAACAGGTAGGGGACATGGGAGCCGCACTTACAGTGCCCGTTGTCTGCAACCTAAATACGCTTAGTGGAGACTCTGGACCTACTTCGTACAATAATGCACCCCTTCCCGGTAGTTTGACTTCGTCACTACCAGATTGTCCGATCTCATGCACCATGGGAGGACGTTCTCACGCGTCAAGCCGTAAGTAGGCTCTGGAGGAGACATCAGCGCTTCCGCAGTTCCGATCTGCACATCGACCACGATGCGGCCGATGAACTCGGCTTGACTACCCTCGTGGGATCCTTCGAGACAGAGGTTCTCGTCTTTGTCAGAGTCAGCACATTTATAGAGTATTTCATACACTAATCACTAACCTGGGCGCACTGCCACGAACTTGAAGATCGCCCTTTTTAGGAGTATCGCGCTCTCTTCCGTAGCCGTGGTGTCCTTGGTTCGTACCACACAATTTTCAAAGAGGAACTCCTTCTGCTTTGATGAAGATGACCCCAAGGGAAGCCACTGCATAGGGTACGAAACGCGTCAAATGTAGAGTATACGCCTTTTCCTTCACCCAGCCGTCGATGGTGATAGAGACCTGAGCCCCTGCACCAGTTGACATGATCGAGCGGAACGCGCGGGGTGGTATAACTACCTTGATTCCGTATTGCTCATCGTGCCCGACTGCAATGGAACACTTCCGAGCGTGGGTCTTGCTCGCATTTTTTAGGTACCTCGCAGTTGCGGTGGTGGAACAATGAGCGACCTCCGGCTTGTACTCGACAAACTCGTCCCCGTTCGGGCGGGACGATGGCCACCTGGACTTTGGTCTCCTCGAATAACATGGCGAAATATTGACGATTTGATGGTGCTGGCACAGCGCCGTCAAAAGTTTGCAGTTAGAGAGGTGTGCCAGAAGTTCTGCGACAGGTCTGTCAAAGTTCTGCAGCAGGTCTGTCAAAGTTCTGCAATCTTGGCGTTACATACAGGTGAATGCAATCGCCGAGGACCAAGTGTCGCGCCTCGAGCCCCGTTTGAACCCGCTTCTCGCTGCACTCCCTATCGTTACTTATCAGCTTGAGCTTTTCCACGGATCTTGTCTACTGATTTAACCTCGAAACGTGCTCGGATCTGTCAAAATTGGTACCTGGGGGAAGATATTTGAAGACCCCTAATTTGCGGACCGATTTCACCTAATGACGTACAGTTTCCGTGAGTGCAGTCGAAAATCTAACAGAACGTTTTGGTCGATCTGCGGATGCTAGCAGGAAGCTATGACCCCCCTTAGGGGGCAAAGACTCTAGAAGATACTGTCTACACAAGACCTGATGTGAGTTCACGCAGTATCCTCGCGACCCCTCTCCTCAGCGTCCGCCTCAGCCTTCTGCTTTCGAAGCATATCAAGCTTGACCTTCATGCGGATACGCTCAATAGCCAACTTCTGAGCCTTCGCTTCTGCTTCAATCCTCTTCTTCGCAGCCTCTTCGCTGGCCCTGTTCTGGGTGGCCTCTAACTCAGCCTCGATTATAGCACGGGCCTCCTCATGCTCGATTCTGGTGACCTCCAGATCAGTCGAGTCAAGGACCATCTGCAGAAAGTCCCCATCTTTACGGTCACTATCCGTGATGCCCATTGTTGGGGTCTCCGACCGGCGGTTCTGACCGGCACGCTGGTGCACCGGGCTCTCCTCCGCAATGGTTTGTAGAGGGCCAAAGGTCTGTGTGTTCGCGCGAGAATCACGCCCACTCAAAGCCGAAGCTACGGATGGAGCATGAGAGCGATTGAGTTGACGAGGCGCCGAGAACCGAGAGGGAGTGACAGAGCGCGTGAGTCCAGGAGCCACCTCTGGCGCGGGGCTCACCGTTACGGTTCTCATACGCTTGGTAACATGTTGAACCGGATCTTCGGTCTCGATGGATGGCAAGATAGCAGGCAACTCAGGGTACTCCTCGTCTGAGTCAGGTGTGTCATGCTCCCGAAACGGCTTTCGTACGCGCGGTGCCCGCTTGCGCTTAAGAATCGGCATAGCGGGTGGCGCGCTAGACGTTGGGAAACGGTGTTGGCGAGGTGGCTGTTGCGGGACGCGGGGAGGCTTTGAGTCTTGGTTCTTCTCCCAGTCTAGAGAGTAGCCGGAGGCGTCATCTTGGTCTTCTTCTGAGGCACGGGAGCGGCTGATCCAGTCTAAAATCAACGTTAGTGTGGCCCTCTTGCGCTGTTTTGTCCACTTACTGTAGTCACGATAGTACCAGATGTACCGATTGAGAACGCCGCGAGGGCTCTGAGTGGCTGTGAACCGGTATCCAGACGTCGGCACCTCGTCGACGGCTCCGGTAGTTTCGAGTCTAAATAAGGTAAGTACAGAATTTGCAGATCAATGTACATGCGACGCAACATACTTAGTATAATACTCTATGCCATTGTTATAGTTGAAGGTAGTGGTCACGGGGTTCTCCTGGCGAACACACCAAGGCAACACGTTCTGGCGAGTCCGGCCATAATTTGGCAGCTGAGCAAGGTCGTTCTTTGCGCGTCCGAACTGGACGTCGACGGTGATTCTTCCCACAAAGTTGTGCTGGTGGGTTTCATGCTCCTCTGAAAGCTTGTACGCAGGGTCTTTGTATAATTAGCAAGCTTTTCGGTAGGATATCATAGGTAGAATACGATAGCACATACCAGGAAAAAGATCAGCGAACTTGAAAGTGGCTTTCTGCAACTCGTCCTTCTCTTCACCCGTCCCGGTAGTATATTTAGCCCTCAGCACGCAATCCATGAAGGTGTACTTCTTGACGTGAGTAGTGGACTGGTTGCGGGGTTCAAGCTCTGCGTAAGGAACAAAGCGCTCGAAGTGCAGAGTGTATGCCTGCTCATCGCGGTGTCCATCGATAGTGATGGAAAATTGGAGACCGCCGTCATGAGTCATTCCCTTGAAGGTATGGGCCGGAACGACGACCTCAATACCGTACTGCTCGTTGGCTTGGACAGCAATGGAGGCCTTACGGGCGTAGGTTTTGACTGCGTTGCCAATATGACCTGGTATCCAGGGGCTCACAGAGGCAACAGAGGCTTCCTCCAGGTCTTTGAACGCCTTGCCGTTCCGGCGAACAACGAACGCAGAAATACCGCTCTTTCCTATCATCTTGAAGCCTGGCGGTAGTTGTGATGACCAGCGGTGCCAAAATTCTGGTCTGAAGTTAGGTGTAGAAAATTTTGGTCCAGAATTTCGTGGCCGCAGATTTTGAGTGCGTCTGTCTTGGCATATTATGGTGAATGCAATCGCCGGGGATCATGTGGTACGTCTCGAACGCCGTTCAAATCCCCTGGTCTCCGCAATCCCTATCTCAGCTTGTCAGCTCTGGATTTTCTAACACACCTCCTTTGCTGGAACCGCCTAGAAACTCGCTCACCTCTTCCAAGATTGTTGTACAGATGAGATATTTGAAAGAACTCTACATTAAGTCTTCAACTCAAGCTAATCAAGGACAGCTCCGTGGATTCACCTGAGAATTGACACAGCTTCTTGGGTACGCTGCGGATGTTGATAAGAGGTCGTGACTCCCCCCGAAGAGACGGAAACTCGGGAAAAGCTCATGGCTGCAAGGCAAAACATAAAGAGGGTTTAGGTAGAGGGCTGATCGATACTACATAAGAGCAGCCTCCTCCAAAGCACCTAGGAATTGGCACAACTTCTCGAGTCATTGGTAGACCCTCATCAGACTCGAAGACACCCCTGGGCATAGCCAGAACGAGGATTAGAAGATGTCAAATTTGACGATCTTGGATTGGATATAATGTAGGATGGAAACTGATATAAATAAGAAGAGCCTGGGTCGCCTAGGAACGATTTTCTCCGTTGTCAAGAAAGAAAAGAATACTTGCCAAAATAGGGCCTCTCCAATAGAATGCTGTTCATTGGATACATTTTAGAGTATACGCTATAACCCTGGTGGCTGGGCGTAACCTTTGTATGACTAGATCAGCGGGGTCTCCGCGGAGACGTTCAACGAAACACTGCTTACGAAGTAATATTCAACTCTCCTACTATTTATATCGGCATCGCTTACTTCTTTCTTTGTGCTGAGAACTTACTATAAGATAGCCTCTCTAGCTCTCTCAACGTCTTTACAAACCCGACAAAATCTCTGCATCTGAAATACGCAAAAAGTCAGCACCGATATTTACGACACTGGAAACCATGGCATCGCTGCGATCAAGCTTACCATGGACGAAATTACCTCTCATCATCAACGCACCCATGGCTAATTTTGCCGGTGGAGACCTCGCAGCTGCAGTCACAGGAGCTGGCGGTCTGGGAACGATCGGCACAATGTTCGACATGGATGTCCTTAAAGCAAACCTTAACACCGCCTCAAAACTACTACAACGAGGAAACATCCCGCGGTTCAATGGCACCCTTCCGGTCGGCGTCTCCTTCCTCACATTCGCCTCGAAACTCGGCCCAGCAACACCAGTAATTGAAGAATTCAAGCCTGCAGTCGTGTGGCTGTTTGGCGCGATAGAATTGGATGATTACGTTGTTTGGGCGAAGGCAGTTAGAGAAGTGAGTCCGGCTTCGAAGATCTGGATCCAGTGTGGTAGCGTGGCTTCAGCTTTGCACATTGCGAAGTCGTCTGCGTTGGATGTGCTCGTGGTGCAAGGAGCGGACGCTGGAGGTCATGGATATGAGAAGAGTGCTGGAATCATCTCATTGCTTCCAGAAGCCGCCGATGCGTTAGCGAAAGCGGGATTCGGGCATATACCACTCGTGGCGGCTGGCGGTATTGCTGATGGCCGTGGAGTTGCTGCAGCACAGGCCCTTGGTGCGAAGGGTATTGTGATGGGTACTAGATTTCTGGCGGCCAGGGAAACGACTGTGCCGCCCAATTACCAGACGGCTGTCTTGAAGGCAACAGATGGCAGTCAGAGTACGGTCCGGGCGAAAGTCTTCGATGAATTAAAGGGTCCCAACGTCTGGCCGGCGGTGTACGACGGAAGAAGTATTGTTACCGAAAGCTACACAGATCATGTCAAGGGAGTAGGTATAGAAGAGATCAGAAAGCTGCACGCTGAAGCAGTCAAAAAGGAGGATGGAGGGTACGGAGAGAAAGCAAGAGCGGCCATATGGGCGGGTACCGGAGTTGGACTTGTGACAGAGGTGATGGATGCTGCTGATATCATCGAGCAAGTTCGCAGCCAGGCTCAGAAAATTTGTAAAGAATTCAGTTCTTAAGAGCGAAAAGCCAGGTAGCCGCAAGAGCTGATTTAATTCAAACCCAATGCAACTGCATACTGCTTCAGCTTTGCTTGTAGTAACTTGATGGCGAAGTAACAAAGAGCGTTTGATTAGAGAGAGCATTATAAATTTGAACTTAAGAAAGAGGAAAAGCCTGGAAAGTTGGAGTGCAGTCTCGTGCGATAGGAAACCCTGACAAGTCCTTGGAGAAGCTTTGTAAGAGGCTGAGGACAGGCTTCTACTTCGTTTAATGGCTTTCCATAGGATGTTTGCACATTCTGAGATGGATGAGATGGGATGAGTTTGATGTTTGGGATGAAGAAGAGTGAATGACGCGTGACGCACCCTGGCACCCGCGCTTTCCCGCCAAGATGACGACTGAGCCACTTCAACTCCACTTCGCCGCCGCCTTCCTCTAACCTGCCACCATCCTACATACAACTCTCCGCCATCGACCACTACAAGCGCAAGCCCTCGCCATGGCTGCAAACACCAAGTACCAGCCCGCTCCTCAGCGCGACTCTTTCGAAGAGCCTGGATACTCGCAGGCGCCACCTTCGTACGACGCAGAGGCCTCAACTCAAGCAGCCTTGCTAGGAGGAGTCCCCCGCAGCGAGGACGACAACATCCCCGATGACTTCAAGTTCGGTGGGGTCGTCTCAGAGGCAACTCTCGATATCCGCATGGCCTTTATCCGCAAAGTCTACGCCATCCTGTAAGTGCCCATGCTGGGTGCCTTCTGCGACTGGCACTAACATCACTTCCAGGACCGTCCAACTGCTCGTCACGGCCGCCGTCAGCTCCGTTTCGTACTTCAACAAGGGATACAAGCAGTGGATCCAGTCGACACCATGGATGATGTGGGTGTCGCTCATCGGAGCCATCGTCTTCATGGGCCTCACATTCTGGAAGCGCAAGTCGTACCCCACCAACCTGCTCTTCCTCGGCGGCTTCACCATCCTGGAGGCATACTCGGTCTCGGTCATCGTGTCCTTCACAGACACCATCATAGTGCTCGAAGCGCTTATTTTCACCCTTGGGATATTCGTTGCGCTAAGTCTCTTTGCCTGCCAGACTAAGTACGACTTCACAAACTGGATGCCATACCTCTTCGGCGCGCTTTGGGTCCTGATCCTGTTTGGCTTCATGGCCATGTGGTTCCCGTACAACAGCAAGGTCGAGCTAGGCTACGGAATTATCACGGCGCTCATCTTCAGCGCCTACATTCTCGTGGACACACAATTGATTATGCGCCACTACCATGTCGAGGAGGAGATTGCGGCCGCCATCTCGCTCTACCTCGATATCATCAACTTGTTCCTCGCCATTCTGCGGATCCTCAACTCGCAGAACAACAACTAGGCGCGCAGACTTGGCAGCTGGAGTTCGATGATGTATGCATTTTTGGGAAGGGTTGTTTGGCTTAAATTGAGCTGGCGCGTCGGATGGGAATGAGGCTTGTCCATTGTTACTGTGTTCTGCGACCTTTAGGTGCGCGTTGTGCTTGTATGATATCAAAATGCACCTGTCCTTCCACGGACGAAATCTCAATTTCGGGCTTGCCCCGGAATCCCATGACCATGCTGCCCCATTGTGATGTCTCGTTTGCGAATCGCAAATGCAGCGTGATGAGCTCGGGGTCTGTGATTGGCGGAGACGTGTCGTTGAGCTCTCGTTACTCGTCTGGCGTTTGACGGCGACGCAAGAGAAGAACCTCAACCGTCGCTCAGACCACCCTCTCGATCTATACGCATCCTCCCGCCGCGGGCGAGTCTATCCCACCATATCTGCCACCTTTCCCGCCCCGCCCTGCCCAACCTCGTCCTGCTCGCCGGTTCATTCGTGTGCGCATCCTGGAACGAACCGATCTCCAAAGCGCTTCCCCACACCAGCTCGAAATCCCTGAGCACACCGCCCATTCTTGAAACATCCTCTTCCCCGCAAGCCGGGAGACACGCCAGACTCCAACCGTCCGTCGTTCTGCAAACGTCCTCCTGTCGCTGCCGCTATTCCTCCCAATGTCCGCCCGCCTCTAATTCCAGTACATCCCACCCGCTCGCCCACCACTTCGACCATGGCAGCAGCAGTCGCAGCTCCACGCCCCGCCAATGGCTTCAGCAGCTACCAGGACCTCAATTGGACCTCGGACGCCAAAATTGGCGCTGACTGGGAGCAGCCACCCTCGTTCAGCCAGGCCCTCGAACATGTCCCCGAAAAAGTACCTGAGCGAAGCGTACGTCGGGTCATGGTGAAGAGGACGAAGAAGAAACCCACAGACGAGAGCCTCCTGGGGAGCATGTTCAGTTTGATCTGCGAGCACCAGATAGGTATGCAGACTACTTCGGAGTCTTTTAATGTGGTACTAATTGAATCCAGGCCTGTCTGTCAACCTGCTCCTGCTCCTCTTCCTATCCCACCTCATGTTCCCGCGCATACGATGGCGGACCCAAAAGTTCTTCCACCTCTCCTATTACAACGAAGAGAGCGGCATGTACACGTCGGGAATCGACGATCTGTCCTATGTGGCCTTTTGGATTGTCGTGTTCACGGGCCTGCGTGCGAGTGTCATGGACTACATACTTCACCCATTAGCGTCACTTGGGGGCATCAACCGGCCCAGAGACGTAGTCAGATTCGTCGAACAGGCATGGCTAATAGTGTACTATTCCGTCATCTGGCCAATGGGCATGGTACGTCTCCCAGTTGCCTTCGACCAAATTTGAGAAGCGCAAAATCTGTCAAATGGTCCCTTTTAGGAAAATGCTAACGGATAACAGTACATAGTATACAACTCCTCCTATTGGTTCAATTTGAGAGAGATGTGGACCAATTGGCCGATTGCCCAAATGGACGGCCTTTTCAAGTGGTATTATCTTGTCCAATTCGCTTTTTGGTTACAACAGATCCTGGTTGTCAACATCGAGGAGCGCCGGAAAGATTACGCGCAATACCTCGCTCATCACATTATTACGTCTGCTCTCATGTTCATGAGCTATGGCTACTACCAGATGAGGGTCGGAACTGTCATTCTGAGTTGTATGGATGTTGTGGATATTATTCTTTCCGTACGTTCAAAAGCTTCATGGAAACACTCTCCTTCAATCGCATTACTAACAACCCAGACAGGCTGCCAAAATGCTCAAATACCTTGGCTTTGACGGCATCTGCGATTATATCTTCGGGTTGTTTATGGCCACCTGGGTGGTTGCGCGACACGGCTTCTACCTCTCGATTTGCTGGTCTCTCTATGCTCACACCCCTACTTCACTCCCTTCAGCATGCTACAACTCTGACACCGGGGTTATGCTCGCTCCCTCCGAACCAGGCTACGAAAAGAATGGAGGGACCGAAATCTGGAAGAACATTCTCCAAACCTACATCGATCCCCACGGCCCAGTTTGCTGGAACTCGAACATTGAATGGAGTTTTATGGGGCTCTTGCTCGCGCTCCAATTCATCACTTTGCTCTGGTTCGCCCTGATCGTCAAGGTTGCATGGAAAGTAGTCAACGGGGGGGTAGCAGACGACGTGCGCTCCGACGACGAAGGCGACGATGAGGAAGAGATTGAGGTTGAAGAATATTCTGACCACCCCAAATCTTCCATTCCATCGCCTTCTAAAGCCAAAGCTAACATGGTCATGGAAGGTGTACCTCTAGAGGAAGAGGTCGGGGTCGAGTCCTTGACGTTCGTCCGCCGCAACAGCCCCGGCGTGCTCAACTACAAGCGCAGCAGTGCCGGGCGCGGCGGCGGCAACAGGTCGAGCGGTATCAGTATTCCCGGTCACGGCGACCGGAAGGAGTTGCTTGGTCGCATTGGGTGCGATAAACCCACTTGAGAAGCGTTCGGTTTGGCATGGCTCTCTTTTCCTCTCGTCTCCTCCGCGTTTCTTCTCACCCTATGAAAGGGTTTCGGTAAAAAAGTGCACAGGCGAAACGAAACGAAGTACGGTTTGGCTGTGAGCTCGTTTACTCATTTTTCCTGGTTATTACCTCATTAGTGTGTTCGATTCTCCACACTCCTGCTGCATAACCTTTTGGTCGGGTATCGAATGGCATGGCATGACATGGATGGATGGATAGACGGATATTGATGGTGGACGGACGAACGGGCGTGGGGCGTGGGGCGTGGGGCGTGGGGCGCGTAATTCATGGTGTTTGCGCTGCTGTTGACTGACACCGCGTTGGTGGTCACGGACGGTCTCTCTGTTACATATGCCTAGCTGCGACATACCCTAGAGGATAGGTAGCCTAATCCTATGTTTATCGGCTAAGAACTATTCTTCTTTCTGAGCTCTCTCCATGACTCTGCGTTTACTCTTGACGATGGCGCGGGTAGAGGCTGGGATAGATGGGCTTAAGGTGTGATGGATGGTTGTGTATATGGCAGGGGTGACGGTTTGATGTCGGAGTCGAGATCGGACGGAGTGGATACCGCCGCGTCCTAACCGGTTCCCGATTCAAGCAGTTCGGTTTGTGCATTTGACTTCCGATTAGTGTGAGTAAGGTCTCCAAGGGGTGCTTTGACAACATCGTCTTGAGGGAACACTGCTTAAGAAAAGGAACTTAGTAATGTTGAGGGCGTGTGTCGCAATGCCGCGTTCCTCGACGTCTACGACCATCTATATCATATCAGACAGTCGAATCTGTAACGAGTACCGACAAAAGAGGACACTCCCTCCACGGAGTCTCCCTATAGCTCTATAGCGTCATTTTCTTACTTCTATCTACTCTAACTCTCTTTTAAAGTTAGGGGGTGTATTAAGTTACTCTAGGACTATGCCCTAGCTAGCTCGCATAGAAATAACTTCTATAGAAAGGTTTGACCGCATAAGCTTAATCCCTATTAGCCGTATAAGCTTAAACCCCGGCTTCGTTATAGACCTAATATAACACCACGCAACGGCCTACGTATGCCTAAGTCCCCTGCGTTACGTACTTAATTATGCGCACTTTCCTCTTTCTACACTTGCTATATCTATTAAGCTACCCCTAGGGGTGGCCGCTCTCGGTGTACATAATAAGGTCTTCGAACCTCCCTAATAAAACAGAGTTAACACCGACTTTCAACTTCAGTCTTTCCATTCTCTCCAGAATTCTGAAAATGCATTAAAGTATGTCTCACAATCTCATACGGATGTGATTTGGGAGGGTTAGATACTGGCCTCATCAACGATGAGACTAGGTACGTCGGTCTATGGTGCAGAGTAGAGATCCTTATGAAAGAGTTCAGCTACTACACAAGAACTAACTCCATCATCTCGCCAACAGCTTCCCAATCTTCAGTGAAGTACCGACCGATCGCATCATTAGGGTATCCAACAGCCAGCGCAACCCGACAATACCTTCCCAAGCTCTGCCTCTGCAGCAGGAGCCCGTACATGAGCGAGCGATACTGCAGATCGTTTCGCGATGGGCGATGAGATATGACGACTAATAGGAAATACAGGTTCCCGATCTCGATCTCCCCGTTATCTTCATAGGTGTCGCGGTATACCAGTGCGGTCGGCTTCCCGCCTTCTGCCGCGCGTTCACTGACGACGTAGAGTTGTCTCGTCGCATCTGTCTGCTGCAGATGGACCGGAACGACCGTTCCTTCGCAGTGCAATTCCGCCGCACTTACGTTCCCGAACGGATTTAGCCCGGCCGGAATGCATGAGATGGAGAGGACATTGAGCTTGATTTCGATGGGCGAATCCTTCGCTCCTTCATACATGATCTCACGGTCCTGCAATGACATCTCTACGGCACTAGACACGGATGCCCAGGACCATGACGGAGCACAGTACTTTTCGTGTCTCCTGCTTGGAGGGTTGGCGCGAGCCGTCAACGCGGCACCCAGAGGTGTGAGTGATTGCCAGCAAAGCCACATCGGAAGCCCTTGCTTCCATAAGCCAACGACGTACTCATCCCCAGCGCTTTGCGTCTGCATCACAGCAGCGAGGCCGGATAAAGCAGGCAGGCGGTCGGATGCGTAGGTTAAATCTCGCTGTGTAAAGTCATAGATGACTTGGTTCCACCGCAACATCAGTCCCTTCCTTTCGTTCGGAGTGCTGGCATGGATTGCCGACCTCGGCGTGAAGTTTTCGATGATCAAACGGTTCTTCAATCGTATCGGGAGAGGCTTATCTGGTACCAACTTGCACTCACAAGGCATTGCAGACGCACACTCCCAAACAATCTCATACCCGCTGAAATGCAGTATTCGCGGTGAAAGGATCTGCTCTTGCAAAGTCCATCCTCTGGTATTCAGCTTGATCTTGCCGCCACCCCGTGTGGCCATCGGCGGATGCGCGCCATCAAGTGGCCACGCGCCGCAAGTTCGAACACGAATGGCGGCATCTTTGCCTTCGAAGACCACGGGTACGGCGGAAGAGAATCGTCGGTTGCCCCGAACGAAGCACCCAGTGTGGCTGTCCGTGGAGCCGTCGGCAGAGATTGTAACAACAGCGTTACTATAATACTCGCCCATTCTTCCAGCTTCGCTAGCCCAATCCTCAGAATCTTGAACGATGCAGAGAGCGTCGATCCAGAGATTGGGTATCCCAAGCTCGCGGGTGATTATGACTGCATCTCGAAGCGTCTTCGGGAGTTCGGTTAACGGGATGCTCGTCGTGCGCTCTTGCAGCGTTGAAGGCGTCGTCTTCCAGTGGTGCGGAGGCGGGCCCCAGCAATAGCTCAGCGCGGCATACTTTCCCAATGCTCCATTGCTGACATGAAGTCTGGGGTTCGTGGTGTAGGAGCCGACTTCAAGCACTCTCGTCGGGAGAGGACTCTCAGCGTATGCTGGGCATGCTGGATGTCCACCAAGGCAATCTTTGAGCCAGCCTTGCGCCAGAGCAAGTGCTTCCGAGGACGAAGAGTCTTCGGATACATCTCTCTCGTAGCCAATGGCTGGCCAGACTAGCTGATCTCCTTGCGAATATTCAGAAAGTGACTCCAATGTTCCCATAGACGCTATGAAACTGCTCATGGATGGGCTCTCCTAAACCCTGTGAAATGAGGCCTACCTGGTCGTATGAAAAGCTCCAGATTCTTCACATACAGCGGATCTTCGCCGGGCGATGTGTGCCCGTTGGGCTCTAGAATTAAGGGACCACCTATTATTTTCGAAGACAATCGGAGCGACCGAATATCCCTCATTCCGATGGGATCAGGAAAGGCGTCGAGGGCGTCTTGAATAGCGGCGCACGCTGTGCAGCCTTGTGATGCGGTTTGCTTGAGACTGGCAAGCTTTATCGTTCGGCTGAAGGTTGCATTTGAGGTTTCCTGGCTAACCTCGAGATGGTGACAAGTCTCGCATTTCGCGGCGCCACCCATCGCGTATTTGATGCTTGGGTGATGGAAAGGGAGAGGGGGATGTCAGCTTCAGCTGTCATTGGCGAAGAAGGCTGAACTAGTTATTCCAGTATATTGCTTATTCAGCACCTTCAGGTGGTTAGCTCTCTATCTAGGTACCTCTCTTTTCATCTCTCCCTCTCTTCGCCCAAATTACATCTTCTCAGGCGCCACGAACATCCTATATCCAAACCCTCATCGTCGAACGAAACTCTGACAGACCGGAAGCAGGGAGTTCCACACCCCTGTCACAATGACGCTACGAGCAGAAGTCTGAGGCTCAAAGAGGAGCGTTGATTGATAGCTAACTACAGTATCAGGTAGAAGTTCAAGACGTTGTGTAAGGAACAGGAAGACAGGGGCGGGGACGCGAGAATAAATGGGCAAAGGGACGTGCACGTCGCGCGAGGTCCTTGGGAAATCAGGTGACAAGAATAGATAGGGGTTGTGCTGTGGTGAAATGAGGAGTTTTGCCGTAAATCGCAGTGCAGTAAAATGTGGAGCTTTGCCGCAAGTTGCAGTGCAGCAAGTTGTGACAAGCTGCGATAAAATGCGGAGTTTTGCTGCAAATAGGAATCAAGGGCTGAGTAAAGACGAGAGCAGAATTTGGATAGCAGAATAAACGTGTGACTGTATCAAATTGATTTCATCAAGGCTCGTCATGCAGCGTGCTCGAGAACCGTCGATACCGGAAGTCTTACAGATCACGTTGCCGTCTACACGTGCTTGCTTCTGCCTCACAACTCCCCGCAAAACGGTTTCACCCAAAAGAACAACGCTAGTATATGCACGCTATCAAAGCCGTGAAAGCCCTCGAAAAGCAATCCGCTAAACGTCAACGCAGTCTACCATTCTAACTTCAACGCTCAATGTGCCGCAATAAGAAAAGTATTCGTCACCAAGCAAGTGACCATAACAATGCATCCATAGATCGCCAGCGCCAGACTCAACTTCCGCAGCAGTCCACTGCGCCAGCTCCTCGTCTTGCGCTGCGCGGCCAGGCCGTCGTTGGCCTCGGCCACAGCCTCGTTCTCGAACTCGTTGTTCTCGTCGTCGTCTTCCTTGACGAGCTTCTGGTGGTGCGCCGAGTCCGGGTCCGAGATCTTGTAGTAGAACAGCCCCGGGAGGATGAAGCTGATGGTGGTCGAGCCGGTGCTGCCGACGTAGGCGAGGACTTTCTCGAGCGAGGAGACGGTCATGGCGACGATGAAAGAGAGGACGATGATGATGGTGGTTAGGATCGCGAAACGGAGGTCGGAGATGTCGGTAATGGGTTTTGAGGGGGATTTGGCCGGGTTGAGGAGCGTGTTGCGGGAGGGCGAGGTTTCCGGGCGTTGCGAGCGGCGGCGGGGACGCCATTTGAGACAGGCGTCTACGGAAGCGCGGCACGGGTGGACCTGGAGGGGGTAGGAGAACATGACCAGGATGACGATTGCGAGACGGCCGATGGTGGAGGCCACCGCGGGAGGATACATGTTGACGATGTTGCCGCTGACGTTGTCGCCGTAGGAGAGGTAACCAGTGATACCGACGAGGATGTAGAAGAAGCCTGCAGATCCGATACTCGTTCCCACTACGCTGGTGGTGCGGAAGTGAGAGTTGTCGAAGATCTCGTTGAGAATGGAAAACATCTGTTCGGGTTAACAGATGAAGGGGGATGAGATAGGGCCGTCTTACGTTCTGATGACATGTGTATGCAAAGACTATCACTGGGAATGCAGCAAGAGTCGGAATAGGACCAGCCCATTTGATAACGCGCACAGGTCCGCGATCCTCAAGAGTATCGCCCTTGATGAAATGGGCAACTACGAGAACCACCAGATATCCAATAGAAACCAATGCAATGAGGCTAGTATACTTCAAAGAGTCTAGTCGACGTAGAAATGAAAGTGGAATAACGATCAACCTGTCTTCAATATTAGCCCTGACACCAAAATCAGGATTGAGCTTGGAGTCAACGTACATGAATGCTGTTATCCAAAACTGGCGGTCTACCAGGAAGTCATGGGGGACTGTTCCCGCAAACCCTCGAACAACTCCTGGCATCAAATCCCCAATGATTATCAAGTAGCTGACTCCAACACCGAAGCACTTGATGGCTATGGCCGCGTCGAACAAGATAGAGAGGTTCGGGTATGTGAGTTGGGATAATGCGGCAAAGGAGGAGCTTCCACGGTCAATATATCGTGCACACCTGGTCTGAAGATAGAGCCCGAAGCCTGCGGTTACCCCTGCCCATGCTATGATGAAGCACCCGAGGAGTATTCCCATCTTCGACATGGCTGAAGGCATGGCCAGTAGTCCAGCTCCGAGAACTAGGGACACCGGGGTCAGAATTTGCCTAAAGAGCCGTGTGGGGAGGCAGCATACTGGTATTGACGAGGTTGATAACGCTGCTAATCCACGTAGCCTGGCCGACGACGCCAACATTCTTCTTTCCGTTGCGAGACCTGCCTTGTCAGCGCATGTTATATTATCTCGAGTAAGAAGCCTACCCAGGCCTCCGCCCCCTCAAGGAGCCAGTGCTCGCAGACATGTGGTCGGTGTCATCGGGCTCGGTGCTGATGGCGGCGTAGCTAGCCATTGAGGAAACGTAGCGGATAGGGAGCTAGGAATCGCGAAACCATATGCTGAGGAGTGGAGAGATGGGGGACGAGTGAAAAATGTGGTGTCTAGTATGCGCCCGCGGAGTGGGTAAGAATGCAGTGCGGAGTCGCGGTTTGCGTGATCGTAGAGTTATCTGACGTTGAAGTCAGATCGCCTGCCAAGCCACCACCGTTGGAGATCTACCTGCCTACGCGCTACTTCCCCACGGGATTCTGAGTACTATCCAACTCAAACACAACAATTCGTCAAGCAGCAATGGCGCACAGGAGCGATCTGCCAAAGGCTGTCGCCCAGGACCTGGAGGATTGCCGCCTAGAAACCGACCAGGAGCTCGCGGATCTTGCATACGACACCATGGTAGAGCTGACGGGCCGGCTCAGACAGATTGAGTATTTCTTCAACGGCAAGACACAGGATGAGGAGCAGCTCAAGGCGAAGCAGCAAGGGAGCATTGTGCAGAGGATCAAGCGGATTGAAGATGGTCTGAAAGCGTTGTCGGCCAAGACAAGCTTGATAGCGGAGGTAGAACAGCTGCGTATGTACCACAGCAGATTTATTGAAACCTAGGCTCATTTCTCACCATAGGTCTTCGCCATCCCGAGCTTGTCTATCCGCCAAAACCAAAGCAATACAGGGAGGAAGACCTTCAATTCCCAGAACCACTGCAGCATCTCGACTTTGTCATGGAGAGCGCTCCAGGCTATCCAGCACTGGCTTCACAACTCAAAGCCCTGAAGGACATGATGCCATTGCCCAAGACGGAAACGCTAGCACACCTGGTCGAACTACAGCCGCGGATTCAGGCCATGTCCGATCGTCAGGTGCAACAGGCGCTGGAGATATCAGAGTTGAGGAAGAGGACGGAGTGTGCTATCATCAGCTGGAGCGAAATTCACATCCTGGGGGTCGGCAGATGTTTCGTCGAGTTCGACAAGCGGTTGAGGGAGGTGGAGCGCACGGTCAGGCGGAAGGAGTTCAAGCTGGAGCAAGAAGAGAGTGAGACTTGAGGGCGATGCATGCGAAGAGTCCACTTGTTTGCCATTGTTCGGGTTGCTCGACGGAAGGATGGGCTGATCATCACACACGCGGGTACCACGATGCCAGCGCAGACGGGGTGTACGGCAGGATCTGGGGCACTGGCCGTTTCCTGTCAACGGGCGTTCACCACGATATCCAAGCTTGGAGACGTTTGTGACGACATGCGAGCATCACCATCAGCTGGTGCGGGCACCGTTTGAGCTTGGCATCAAACTGGCTTTTGGGAACCGCGGGGTACCTTTTGGGACATGGTCAAGCTTTAAGGATGCAGGGTTAGAGGTGACACGCACAAGATGGCACCTGGCGGGTCGATGGGGAAAGGATGCTAGTTGCATGTGGTAGACAAGCCCGTAAGCAGTACATGTCAGCCTCTGAGATCGGTTCCTGAATCTGACGGGTGCAGATGGCGAGGCACACGATACGAAGTCTCGGCTTTGGAGGGCGACCGGCACCCGAATGTAGCGTGTGGGGGGCGCTTGCTGGATGGTTCTGGCGATGAGGCTCGTGGATTTGTATTCTCGCGGGAGGCTGTGGTTTCAAGTTGGTCTCAGATGCGGTCTTCAGCCGAGCAGCGCGTGGCCAATGCCATCCTCCCGCGATCGGCGACGGCCAATGCAGCGCGAACACAGGGATGCCGCTGCGACGACCAGGGGATGCATCCGGACGCTGAGGGCGCACCGCCGAGGAGGGCGCACCGCCGAGGAGAGCGCAGACACAGGTGCCACGCAGGCGCAGAGCACGCAGGCGCAGAGCACGCAGAGTGAGGGTTGGCGGGCACACGGGTAGCAGAGACGGCATCACGAGCATATTGAGCACCACTCAGCGGGCGACGGGCTCTGCATGAAGAACGAAATGCTGGAAATTGCCACAATCCAATCTGCTGTAATCCCTCCTGTGGCGTGGGCCTGCTCGAGCCAATTCCAAGTTGGCCCATGTTGTTGCCCTCTCTTGCCCATGTTGCTGCCCTCTTTTGCTGCTTTGAGCCCCGCCGGACTGTAGACAGAGAAGATGAGTAGAAGCCAACAAAGAGAACGCCCTCTGCGCATTGTCTCTATTTATTGCGTGCACGCGCGCCACGGGTGCCTCTTCTCTTGCGGCCTCGAGCCCTGCGACGCTTGAAACCTCTAGCGGGCAGCCATTGGCTCGCATGCCGCCCCGGGAATTGGCTGACCCTCCTTTGCCTGTCGCCCTCTTCTCCTCTCACCTCGACACACCGCGCCCAGCACCCAACATCCTCCTACAGCCGCTGCCTCCCTCTCAGAAGCCTTTGGCCAGGGCTCTTCCTTCGTTTTCGTGCCCGCCCGCCCGCCGCTTTGTCGCTGCGCCTGTCGTCTTTTGCGCCGCAGACATCACCCAAACGCCCTCACCCGCCTCCTCGACCTCGACCTCGACCTCGACCACGGCCAGGCGCTGAACACCACCTCACTCCCGCATACAATTCCCTTTAATACGCTTCTCGCCGCCTGCGCAGCCCCCATTCCACGAGCGAGTCTCGCCCCAGCTGCCATCGCCCGTCTCCAGCCTCATTGCAACCGCCTGTTTACCTCCGCCATCTGCGCTCTTCAGCTTCATGCCATCCTACGGCTCCATCCCTTCGCCATCGCTCCGCAAAATGGAAAACGGTCACAGCTATGGCGGCAGTCGCCAGACATTCTCCTTCGGCCGCATCGTTGGCGACCCTTTCGCCTTGGCAACAATCTCCATTAGCATGGTAAGGCTCCGCGCGTCCCACGGCTCGCTCCGCCAAGTAAGGCTCAATGACGCTGACAACCATAGCTTGCCTGGATCATCGCCTTCATTAGCTCCATCATATCTGCTGTTCATGGTGGCTTCCCTAACTTCGCCTGGTGGGCTCTGAGCTACATGCTCCTTTGCGTTATTGGCGTCACCGTAACGATAGCGTCCGACTCAACGCATACCTACCATGTCGCCGTATGTCACGCCCTCCCATATTGCACTATGGGCTCGTGCTGATGTCTTCTAGATCGTTGGTTTCCTGGCTGCAGGACTGGTCTTCACCTCGTCATCCGTCAATTCTCTCGTCTACTCCTCCGTAGCCGCTTTCGAGGCCGCCGCCGCAGGCTTCATTCTTCTTTCCATGATCGCGGTAAGAAGCCTGGCTCGCTATCTTATTACTTCGTACTGATTCACAGTCTAGATCATCTGGATCTTCTACTTCGGCTCCCAGCCGCAGGCCAGCCACCGCGCCTTTGTCGATTCATATGCCCTCCACAAGGAAGCCCAGGGCTCGCGAAACTCCCGCCAAATGTCCAACAACTACCGACCAGACACGTCCGTCACCGCGAACCCGCAGCCGCAGATGTACACATCCGCTCAACTGAACGGATTCGAGACCTCCTCGCCTGTTTCGGGCTACCCAGGCGGACCTGTTGGGGGAATGGACCAACGCAACTCCTCTCAACCCCGCTTTGGTGCCTCCAACATGGGCAACACATCGGAAGTGCAAACGCCAACACATGACCCCGCCGCTGCTCAAGATGCCGCCACGGAATATCCGTACCGAGCCAAGGCAATCTACAGCTACGAAGCAAACCCAGATGACGCCAACGAAATAAGCTTCCAAAAGCATGACATTCTAGAAGTATCAGACGTCAGCGGGCGGTGGTGGCAAGCGAAGAAGCCGAATGGCGACACCGGTATTGCCCCCAGCAATTACCTGATCCTACTATAGGTTTCGGAGACTGGAACTCCTGGCCTCTTTACGACTCTTGCAATGATTATATTTCCTTGAAACTTGGGAGTCTCTTTACCTTCTTTGGAGTCCTCGCGGATTGACTACGGTCACGACGGATATCTACTTGTCTTTGTTTTATTCAAAAGCTGGAGAGTTAAGGCCGGGTACCTTGGCCGCGACTTCTGATCACCCGGATACCTCGCTGGATCATCCCAGACGCTGCCACACCACTCAGCAACCAAGCCTCAGCTATACACTTCATTCGCGCGATACCCAAATATTTGGCTTGTCGTAATAATTATTTTACCATCGCGATCGTCATCAACGACTTTCCATAACCGCAAGCCCAAACAAATAGTTCAGGCCACCACACACGGCTCGACTATCCTATCCTCTCTTTTGTTGTTTTCATGTACCGGTATATCCAACGGGATACCTTTTGTCCACTTGTGCTACAACCATCTGCCCGGCGTCTTGGCTTTTCTTTCTTGCGTGTGATTATGTAGTTGGAAGCGTCAGGACTCTGAGACTGAGGCGCGATGAGGAGGGAAGAGGGAGAATGAAAGTGAGTGCTGGCTTGGTACCCCGCTGCCCGGCCTATGACTTGTTACCACGGCTCCCTGATACGGCGAGCTGGGCTGATGGAGGGAACGTTGGTTGTGGTTGGGTTATGGGCGGATCTGGTTGGGAGCCACGTGAGCGAGCGAGCGACGTTTGTACGACGGAAGAGACGTAGGGGAAAGAGGTTGAGATGAATAAAAGGATTTTGTTAATGATTGATTTGCAGGCACAAGCTAGTGACTTTTATCTGTGAGGCGGCTGTCTGGGGTGGCTAACGAAGTTTTGGGTCACTTAAACTAGGGATTCTTTGTCTCGGGTGGGATGTATTAGGACTCCTTGGAGCACTTCGAACCGTGGTAAGGAGATCTACACATACTTTCAAGTGAAAGCCAGACCCAAGCCGAATGTGACATGACTACCGACAGATAGAGCTGCCATATACCTGTCACAAACACGACTCAAGAACAACTTTCCAAGCCTTGGATTTGCTGGGTACTAGGTATCTCGAAGCGGATGACTTTCGTCCAAGCTAGTTGAGACTTTAATAGTTCTGCAGGCGCCACTACGACCTCCTGAAACAAGGGAACAAACGGGATGTCTAATTAACTGCATTCTTCATACCACAGAATCCTTCTACATCCACGCCAGTAGTGCGGATAGTATATGGCAATACTCAGACGCTAGGCGTTAAATTGGTCTACTATAGCACCTTTCGTGAAAGTGGATCAAATTATCAGGATCTTTGACCATAGAAATGTCCTCTATCAACAGTGTCAAGTCTAGAAGTGAGGGGAGGCAGAGGGGTCATACCACGCGGGTCCGTCGCACAGCATTTAGACGGTCCCGATTGCGCGTTGGTGGTGAAACGGTGAGATGCTGAAGGATCCTTGCACCGTGGAACGGGTCTACAGGGCTGCCTCTTTGTTGTATAAAGGCGGGCCCGTTGACGTGTTTTGGATGAATGGTTGGGCACCGTTGCGACTTCCGCTTTGATCGATTCTGAGTTTAGCCCAACTGGTACTTTCGTTTGAGATATTGAACGAAAAAGCTGTGCTATCAGCTCACCTTCTCCACTCCTACGAACCGCTGAGATACCTACCTACCTCCCTGCCCACGGGACGGCAGCAACCATGCGCCTCGCGACTCTCCTCTTCGCCAGCGTGGTTCTTGCTACGGGTGTCGTCAATGGTTTCGCTATACATAAACGCGTGCGTCCTCCCACTTCCACTTCCTTCTCACTATCCCAATCTCCCCCTCCAATATCAGCCAACCCCATCCCTCTACCTCCTCTCCATCCCCAACCTTAGCTTCCCACCCCTCCCAACCCCACTAACGCTTCCCGCCCCAGACCACCGCCGTCACACTCTTCACCGCCCCCTCCCTCCACGGCGCCTCCACCACCCTCCCCTCCACGGGCACCTGCACCAACCTCCCCCCGGCCTGGGACGAGAAGATCCGCTCGCTGTTCACGGCGCCGGGGTTCGCGTGTGACTTCTACTTGTAAGCAGCCCTCTACACACACACACGGCGGCTGCCGCCTCGTTAGAGGACGAAGAGAGTGTGGGGAGACGAGAATTGGGGGAGGGGAAATGGACGGGGGCCTCGCTAACTTGGGGGCTCGCTGACGTTGGCCAGGAACCTCGATTGCGCGACTGATGACGACGACGGGGATGTGCTGCGGTATGGCTGGGTGCGGGCGGATAGGCTGCCGGCGCGGTTTGATGGGGCGATTAGGAGCGTGGAGTGTGGGGCGTATTAGGGGGGGGAGGGAGGCGTTTGGGGGAGGGAGGGGATGGGGCCGGGATGGAATAAGGGCAGATGGTTTGCAGAATCTTTGAAAAATGGAAGATTCCTAAAGGGACGACTAAATGGGCTGTTGATACTTCATATTCGCACTATCTGGCGTGCTTTAAGAGCCATCAGTGCGCCTAAACGATGAATGTGTAAAAAAAAAAATTTCCAATATTTTGAACATTTCTTGAGGGGCCCAAGGGAGTGTGGCACATGAGATAGATATCCCTCAGAGAGTGGTAGGTGAAGGTGACGTGACTGTGCAAAGAAAGGTGTTGATAGGGATTTTGCTTTCCGGACTTATTCACGGTGAGCGTAGTAGATATTCAGAACTCCTGAACAGAGAGGGACAGATGGAAGAAGCTTCAGGAAATAGATGTTGATTGGAAAAAAAAGAATCGGGATAATGGCCGGCGCCAAGGGTCGGACTTGGGTCTCGTCACTAGTTCCTGCACAACCTAGGCCCCTCAATTACAAGTCGCGGCAGTAACGGGCTACGGGCGTATGAAATACTGAAGAATACTCTACAACATAAGTCGCGGCAGCAACAGACTACGGGCGTACAAACTCCTAAGGGATGAACCTAGATCCCGCGAATCGGTCGACATATTATAACCAACTAAACCACACCGGGTTTGAGATGTGGAAGCAAGAAGTAGACGAGTTAAGAGCTTGGTTCGTGACGTGCGCTTGATGAGTTAGATTGGTAAATGGGTGAATTGGTAAATCGTGACTGTTTGAAGAGATAGACTTGTCTGTGAGACAGCGTTTGACAAAGTTTGGTGATGGCGGTATCAGTTTCATGAGACTTGAATGCTGTGAAATTCGGCATCGACCTTACGCATAACACCTTCGGTGCTAAATCTTATTTCTTTGATATCCCGGGCTGATATGCCATTGATTCTCTCGGAGTGTACAACATCTTACACCCACGTCTCACCAGTCGTCTTTTATACATAAGCCGCGACGCAGCGCAGCCATCCCAAACGCCATCCAATGCAGATCAATTGAGCCCAGGCTCCCTTCATCCTTCACTCTTTTAATAAGCGTATTACGCCTTCTGCTCCGGTGGAGGAACTGTAGCCTTAGCAGCCGACTTCTTCGCCTTCCTCGCCGCCGCCTCAGCCGTCTTGCGCGCCGCATCTACCGCCGCTAGCGGATTATCTGCGGCCACGACTTGTTGTTTTATCTGCGCGACGCGGAAGCGGGGCTCCAAGATTCCGACCTGTGGTAATATCAGCTCCTGGACCGGTACCTGTTCTATGGCGCACATAGGTGGGTGTTTCTACCATTGATAATAGCCGCCATGCTGAATCACTCGGCTGCGCACCCACACCAATCCAGTACCGTGCTCTCGCGGCATCGAGCTTGATTTCTTTGAACGCGCGGCGCGAGACGGAGCCCGGGGGAGGGGGTTGCGGGATGGGGTCGTAGGTGCCGAGGACTTCTAGGGGTTTGCTGTCGCGGGCGGTGCTGGGAGATATTAGCGTGGGTATTTTGTGATAGCAAGCAGCCAATTCCAGCATGTGTTGAAGGGTAGTGCCAGGTCCAGAGCGAGTGTTGTCTGGGTGTTGTTTGGAAGGATATGGGATGGGATAGACTATGAGTTGGGCGCGTACCGGGCTTGCGAGACGACAATGTTGTAGAAGGGGTCGTGGCGCTTGCCGAAGCGTGAGAGGCGGATTCTGAGGACCATGATGCTGTGGTTTGATGGATGGGAGGGCGGATTCAGAAGTGAGGTTGCTGAACTTTTGGGACGCGCCAATACGGGGATGGAGAAATAATTTCGCCGGGCACGATCTCCCGATTCGTGGCTCTGATTGAGGGCAGACGTTCCGGGATCAGAATATATCCCTCAGCTTCCTGCAGTAACACGGGCACGGTCGTGAGAATCATCAGAATTGGCTCTCTACTAGGAGGTATTCCGCAATGCCAACAGATGTTGTTGACTCTCAAACTCCTTGCTAGCTTGGTGTTGGTCGTCGACGTGGTGTGATGTAATCCGGATTGCATCCTCGCATCATCATCAAACGTCCTGACCTTTCCATTAAAATTTCAAAGTTCTCTCTCACTATCTCTGCTCACTTATCATCATAATGGCTTTGAGGGTATGAGCCTTTCAGGAGCTGTATTGAGTCTCGTCTAATTAATCCACTAGACACTCTCAGCAAAGAGCGCTGCGGCTCTGGACAAGGAGCTGATGAGCTCTGGAGCTTTCTCTATCGATCAGTTGATGGAGCTTGCTGGATTGTCCGTCTCACAAGCTGGTATGAATGATGAACAACCCGTGCTCGGGTGACGTAATTCATCAAACCAGTATTCAAGCTACAGCCACTTAACCAAGGGAAGAGGATTCTAGTCGCTTGTGGACCCGGAAACAACGGTAGGTGCCCTTGGGATGGGCATAGGAGATCTTCTGATCTTTTCTTCAAGGCGGAGACGGTCTCGTTGCAGCTCGTCACCTCTACCACTACGGATACCAGCCTACAATGTACTATCCAAAGCAGAGCAAGAGCGAGCTCTATCAGGTACGAGGCTTGCCTCTTTCCCGCTAGTCCCCATGCAAAGGGGCTGACTCGTTCTCCGTAGCGTCTCACGAAGCAGCTGAAAGACCTCGACATCCCGTTCACTGAGGACTTTGATTCAGCTTTGAAGCAAGCTGACCACATTGTTGACGCTATCTTCGGTAAGCATTAGCATGTACCGTGGTTCTCCATTCAGGCCTCATTAACCACCTAAATCTTCGATTGCAGGCTTCTCCTTTTCCGGCGAAGTTCGCGAACCCTTTCCGAAAGTCATCGAGGCTCTCCGGGACACCAAGATCCCAGTTCTAGCGGTAGATGCGCCTTCGTCCTGGAACATCGAAGATGGACCACCAGACTCTGGTCCTGGAAAGGGTTTTCAACCACAAGCTCTTATCTCCTTGACTACACCAAAGCCTCTGGTCAAGTGGTTCAAAGGGAGACATTTCATCGGCGGACGGTAATGGCGTCCTCGAGATGCTATGTTGAACTTGACTAACTTGTGTCCAGATTCCTCAGCCCTGCCATGGCGGAGAAGTACGGGCTGGATGTGCCGCCCTATCATGGGCTGGATCAGTTGGTTGAGATCGGGGTGGAGGGACAGAAACTCTAATGGATCTCAAGTAGAAGCTGCGTACTTAATGCACTGTTGTGGTCAGTTCCAGACAACCGAACCTGACCACGGAGTTCTCCAACTTCACGCCCAAATCTTGACAGTAGCAGTGAAGAGAGGCAGAGCTCACGCGAGCGGTGCGTCCAGAACAGCCGCCTTATCTGTCTCAATCGCTTGCAAATCTATACCTGTCAAAGCGCAAATGATAGGCAGTGCCATACACCCGTTTCAGAAGACGTTGTGCAACGGCTCGAGTACCCACGGCGAGTCTGGCAGCTCCATGCGAAATCAAACCATGGACATACGGGAGTCCGCTTAGCCCAGTTATTCTAAAGGAAGTGAAAGGTAGCGGGTGGCTTTAAAATCATGCCATAACTCCACCGAGTCACATCCTAACCCCAGGTACAGATACCGTCCCGTCCCAATTGCGGAGCCGAGTCCGTCGTGCTGGGTGTCTGGGCAAGGTGTGCCGACAACGGGCCTGGCGTTGTGGATGGCGCGGGATGGCCCAAGGGTCCCAGCCGAGAGAGATACGCCGTGCATGAGCGTGATGCAGGGCGCTGTTCTACTGGGCGTCCAGCGTTTGCGCAACCCCGGTTTTGCTTTTTCTCCATTCAAGCTCATATCAAGCCTCAGGCTCTCCCGTCCGCTCCCTGCCTGCATCTGCCAATCAGCTTTCTATCAACTCGGCTTGAATCCCATTTCGCTTCCAGAGTGGCTTCTGCACGTCCGTCGATTGTACGAACCGCATGCCTTCCAGACCACTTCCCAGGCATGCTATGTAGGCCTGCGCACCCGCCTGCCGCGCCCGCCTGCCTCTCCTGGGGTAAGAAAAGCCATCTTTGCCGCATGCTAGCGTACTTTGATCGCCTGTCCATATCTCCCCAATCCTCACCAACCTGTCCGTCCCACCCCGCGACTTTCTCGATAGCATCTTTTTCTCTACCATCCTACTGGGCCCTTCATTCTATACACCCGGTGTCGTTCTATCGCCACGATGTCCGAGAAAATTGAGACCGAGGCCATCGGCGTAGCTGGTAAAGCGGAGTTCCAAACTTCCTCCACCGAAGTCTCCAAGACCAAGTACAGCCTCGACGGTGTCGATGACACTGAAGCTGGAGATGACCTGTACAGCCAGGCGAATCCCAGTCGCCCTGGATTCACAAGACAGGATCAGAAGGACATGTTTCGTATGGGCAAGATTCAGGAATTTAGAGTGAGTTGCTCTCAGAAGACCTCGGCACGCTTTAAAGACATGCTAATATCTTGCACAGCGAAGCTACCGGCCATTGTCTGTTTACAGCTTTGCAATGGTCTTGACAGCAGTATGGGAGTACTTGATGATGTTAGTTGATATTACGACTCCCAAATCCATCCTGGCTCCCAAATTCTGATCACTCCGGCTTTTGCAGGGCAAACACTCAAGGTCTCATCGATGGAGGACTTGCTGGAGTTTTCTGGGCCTACATTTGGACCTTCTTTGGATTCGGGTTTGTGGAGTTGTCATTGGCAGAGATGGCCTCGATGTGAGTCCCCGCTCTGCACACTTTATTATTGCACATACTAACGATGTATCTACAGGGCACCCATCTCCGGAGGTCAATACCACTGGGTCTCTGAATTTGCTCCTCCCAAGTATCAGCAGTTTCTGAGCTACTTCACCGGTATGCCATATGATCTCGAAAATTTTCGAGGACACTATGTACTTATCCGATTGGTGACTGACTTGCAACGTAGGATGGATGTCGACGCTGTCCTGGCAAGCTGGAAATGCCTCAGGTTCCTTCCTGACAGGAACCATTATCCAAGCCCTGGTGGGGCTCAATCATCCCGAGTATGACCCCAAGCCATACCAAGGAACTCTCCTCGTTTTCGCCATGGTACTCATCGTGTACATTGTGAACATGTGGGGAGCGCAGATCTGGCCCACGATCCAAAATGGACTGTTCGTTCTCCACGTACTTGGATTCTTGGTTACCATCATCGTGCTCTGGGTTATGGCTCCTCATCAATCCGCAAAGGCGGTTTTCACTCAATTCACCAACTCTGGCGGCTGGTCCTCGATGGGCGTGAGTCTCATGGTTGGCCAGATCACCTCTATCTATTCGTTGCTCGGTTCTGATGCAACGGCGCATATGGCTGAAGAAGTACGTGACGCAGGTCGCTACGTCCCGATCTCACTCTTCTGGAGCTACGTAGGCAACGGCGTTGTTGCCATCATCTTCCTCATCACCTATCTTTTCTCCATTGCCAGCGTCGAGGATGCGCTCAACGACCCTTCCGGCTACCCATTCCTTTACGTGTTGAAATCGGCAGTTCCCACTTCTGGAGTCAACGCCCTCACTATCATACTTCTCATTCTCGTCATTGCTGCCAACATCTCCTTCAACGCGTCCACGGCTCGCCAGACATTCGCCTTCGCGCGAGACAAAGGCCTCCCATTCTCGAAATGGATTGGCAAAGTCGATAACGAGATACCTGGCAATGCTATCGCCCTCACTTGCATAATCACGGCCCTACTTTCTCTCATCAATATCGGCTCAGACGTCGCTTTCAACGCCATTATATCCCTCCAAGTCGTCGCAATCATGATCAGTTACATGGTCAGTGTGGGATGCGTCCTGTATCGACGCGTGTTCTACCCCGAGATGCTGCCTACGGCACGGTGGAGTCTTGGGCGCTGGGGTGTGCTGGTCAACTCGCTCGGTCTGGCGTATGTCACCTTCACTTTCTTCTGGAGTTTCTGGCCTACGACGACGCCGGTTGATGTGGCGAGTTTTAACTGGAGTGTTGTTATGTTTGTGGGTGTCTTCATCATTTGCATTGTTATGTATTTCGTTCAGGGGAAGAAGGTTTACTTTGGGCCGGTTAAGCAGATAAGGGCCGCACGTCTGGAGTAAGTAAGACGGAGTAGCTTCTTGGAGCTAAAGTTCAATGCGACACGGGAACGTCTTTCAGTGTACTTTAGATGATACAACTTCAAAGGCGGTAGTTAGCTAGGGATGAATAATACTCTTGGTTGCATTTCTTAACGCATGAATTCACCAGAGCGGTGAAAAGGGACCATATCACTATATCCATCCAAGCTGATATCCCCATCCCGCCCATGGTACTCGGCTGCGATTGATCCGACAAGGGATGCGCAGCTTTCACCGTTCAGCGCTACATACCTCGCTACCAGTGCAACGGCAACCTGACCAAAGCGGAACTGATATCCACCCGGCCACTCCTTGGATCATTGGTAGGGGTTAAGACGATAAAGCTTCGCGGCGCTCACGCCGTGGGGTGACGAGCTTGACGCCTCCTACCCCCACACCAATGAGACGGGGCGGGTTGGGGATCGCTTCCAAAGCTTCCCCGGGGTTTGAGACACCCAAAACGCCTTCTGCTTCTCGCCCATCCATAGAGATTCATCTTATCAGACGCCTATCTTGCTGCCGTGTTGCCCTCGCTGCAGCCGTCAGGTACGCTGCATGGGATAGTACGAGAGGCCGCGCGATGGCGTCTGCGCACTCCATGGGACTTTGTCTAGAGGCGCAGCCGCGATTTCGAGAGCGGATGGGCGATAGCAAGCTGCTGCATGTGGGTGGAGGAGTGATAATCCCGCTGTTTTCCAGTGCTCGTGATCCCCACAGTATCACCATTTACTTACTCTGTCCATACGTCTCAATCTTACGCTCTCTATGACTGCTACTCTCGTTCAATGACCGCGCTACACTTGCTGTGATCAGGATGGCATCGCCCACCTCCATGGCCCTGCCATCTGGCGTCTCGAAGCCCTGGGCCGTTATCACTCCCAACAACCAGGGCGGCTTGATAGCTATTCTGGCGGGCGTTGCGGTCGGGTTTGTGTTCGTCTCGCTGCTCATTCGGGTGTATATGCGACACAACTTTGCTGCGTACCGGTTGGATGATTATACATTTTTGGCTGCTTCAGTACGACTCCTCTAAGATCCACACCATAGTCCAAGAAACTGGGGCCCTTGCTAATTAGACCCACCATCGCAGATCTTCGCGTGCTGTCAAGCAGCAGTGGTATTTCAGCAAGTAAATCTGGGGCTAGGGAAATCCGACGATCTCCTGAATCCCCTCAATATAGCCTCGCTAGAGAAGGTAGGCCGGCCATCCGATATCACTCCTCAAAAAGCCCCTCAGACCCTCCTTTCATATCTGACTAAATTTCCAGGCCTCATACGCCAGCGACATCCTCTACATAACCACCATCTTCCTCTGCAAACTCTCCACCTGCTTCCTCTTCATCAACCTAACCCCCTCGAAGGGCCACCTCATGGCCATTCGAACCATCCTCGCCCTCTCCATCGCCTGGATCATCACCTCCCTCTTCCTGATCGCCATCCGCTGCCACCCTGCGCACCCATGGACCGACAGATCCACCGCCACCTGCGCGGACCTCTTTACGCGCTGGCAAGCCATCTCCGCCCTCGACGCCACCACCGAAATCCTCCTCTTCGCCATGTCCCTCTACCTGATCTGGGGCATCCAAATGCCGCTGAGCTCGAAGCTCATCGTCGTGGGCGCGTTTAGTTGCCGATTACCGTACGTCCCCCTTCCCCCTCCCCCCACACATCGACTAACATCCTCCGCAGCACCCTCATTCCCATCTCCCTCCGCCTCCACTACCTCTACCCCACCCTCCACACCGCCAACCCCTTCCACCCCCTCTCCCGCCTCGTCGGCTGCACGCAGCTGCACGTCGGCTACGCCATCATGGCGTCCATAATACCCTATCTGAAGCCCTTCATGAGCGTCTACGACGTCCCCGTCGCCTCGGCGTACTACAACGTCTCGGCGCTGTCGACGGCCGCGTCGCACGGGAAGCCCGCGCACGGGGAGCGGGGGGAGCGGGTGCGCAGCGCGTACGTGCTGGAGGACATTGGGGAGGCGAAGGGAGGGGTGCGGCTGCGGCCGGAGGAGGTGCTGCACGAGGCGAGCTGCGAGCGCGGGGAGGAGCAGGGGAAGCAGGGGCGGGGGAGTTGGGATAGCGAGGGGAGTCGGAAGATGATTATTAAGAAGGGGGTCGAGTGGAGTGTTGTTAGTGAGAGGGGGGTTGGGTAGGGCGGGGTGGTTGGAGAGGGGGTTGGGAATGTATTTTAGATAGGTGTAATGATGGGATATGGGATTTTCTTGGGCGCTGGGGATGTAACGCAGCGATGGTGTCATGGGGAGGAAGCGGAGGGTATCGAGGTACTCTTGGCAATGATAGAAAGGTGTGTATGAACTGGTTTACGGTTTCGTATCCCCGATAGAATTTCAGAACTGGGTATCTATGTCTATTAGTCTCTGTGACGCCGGTCCCTACTCCCTGATCGCTCTCGCCGGCGGTCCCTGGAGCGATCTCGTCGAGAGTGTTCTTTGCGCCGTGAATCTGGCTCTTCCGATTCCCGCTTGATGCGGCGGTCTCTGGAGTGATCCCGTCGAGAACGTTCTCTGTGTCTTGCAACAAGCTCTTCGGACTCAGGTTTGATGCGGCGATCTCTGTCCCTGGAGTGATCTCGTCGGGACCGCTCTTTGCGTCGCGAATCGGCCTCCTCGGATTCCGCCTTGATGCGACGGTCTGATCGCTCCCTATCTCTCGATCGGTCTCGACGATGCCGCTTCGAGTGATGCTTATGCTTGCTCTCCTTGTTCCTGCTCTTCATGTACTTCTTCAGGGCCTCCTCAACTTCCTCCCGCTTCTGCTTGACCATATACGCCTTCATAGGATCATCATCATCGTGCTCCCTAACCAGCTTCGCCAACTCAATCTCCTCCTTCAACAAAGGCCGCTCTTCTTCGCTCTCGCTCTCGGTCCGCCTCTTCTTCCTGCGCCCACCATCTTCTTCATCCTCAGTGACATCGCCGTTCCCTTGGCCCTTGGGATTCCACCCAGTATTGTCCACCTCCTCCTCGCCCTCCTTCCGCTTGTATCTCGTGTGATCCACCCTCAGCACCCTTCCCAGGACTGTCGCCCCGCCAAGGTTGTCCACCGCAAGATCCGTGCTCCGCTGATCTTCGTACTTGAGGAACGCAAAGCCCTTTGACTTGCCCGTCTCTTTGTCGCGCACCATGTTGATGTAGACGGGTTCTCCGAATTGTGAGAATACTGTGATGACGTCGCCCTCTGTGAAGTCGAACGGGAGCCCGCCGATGTAGATGTAGGCCGTGTCGCGGTAGTCGGCGTGCCAGGAGCCTTCGGTGCTGACTGCGGATTCAAGCTCGCGCTTGTTGAGCTCTTGGATTTGGCGGATAGTATTCATCTTTCTGTTTGGAGGAGTAGGGTATATTTTTGGCAAATTTGATAACCCTCTGGACCACCTCAAATGGTGGTACACAGTAACTTTACCCCGGTATTACTCCTCAGCTTTCTATTGTGGTGGAACAGCTCTTCGAGCCGCTCTGCTTCACCTTGAGCGCCCCTTGATGAATGTGAAGATGCGCAGTGAAGCTGGAGATAAAGTGTGGGTTGGAGGTGGGATTTGCGGTGGTTTGTATTTGAATTCAAGTGCAGGCTGGGAAGTTCGGTGGTGATGAGCGGGCGAGGTCTGAGGAAAGTTGAAGGCGGCGCGCTAGCGACCTCAACCCCCAGATTTCATCTCGCCAGAATGAAACAACGCAAATGCCAGCTTGACATACCGCCGTGCTGTCTCGAAAGTCCAGCTAATATTCGTACTCGCCACGCCCATCCTCGCGACTTTTACTCAAGCTCCCCCGCATGCCCTTCCTCCGCATCCTCCCCGACGCGTCCTGAAACCCCCGAAGCACCTCCGCCATGGCTGCCGCAACCCGTCGAATATCAAACTACGCCACCAGGTCAACCGCCACTGATCTGGACGGAAGGCCAAAAAGCAGCGATGATTCGAAAAAAGAGATATGGATCCCTATGCTGGACGGCGTTTCCAGCGGGAAGCGGATGCCAGAGAAGAGTCTCCTGGTTCTAGGTATGCACGGTATCCCATCACAGCTACTCGCAGGATGCTGATACCATTGCTTCAAAGGAGGGACACCAGAAACACAGAAAGGATTCCTCGAGTCATTATCGAAAGACCCCGCGACGAGTCGGAGGCCTCCAGACCGCGGCCGCAGACCCCCAATTGCGAACCAATTCGCCCTGGGCTATACATATCTGGACGTCCTAGACTCAGACCAAGAAGGTACGGCTGTTACTCTTCAACTTTGTATCTATGCATTCATCTGACCGGCAACAGACACTCTCGCCCGACTCTCCCTATACCTCCTCACTCAACCTACCCCTTCCTTCACGCCTCTACTCAAACCATACCTCACGCCGAAGACTCTACCTAACATGCTCATTGTAATATTACTTGATTGGGAACATCCGTGGCTGTGGCTGCGACAGCTTCGCGATTGGATTCGGGTCTTGCGATCACTAGTGTCCTCGCTCGACGACGAATCGAAAGACGTCATGGAAGAGAACATCAATGCCTGGAGAGACCGACACCGAGGCCTTGGAGGGTCCTCTGATAACACTGGAAGTGGATCTGCGGATACTGCGGTCCTGCCATTGGGACAAGGCGAATGGGACGAGCCTCTTGGGATCCCTCTTTGCGTGGTGTGTCAGAATGCCGACAAAATCGAAGGATTGGAGCGCGAGCGTGGGTGGAAAGAGGAGGAATTTGATTTCGTACTGCAGTACCTACGGACTGTACTCCTCAAGCACGGTGCTAGCTTGATATACACCATGAATTCCGCCCCAGGACCTCTACAAACCCTCATTCACTCAAGTCTTGGCATCAAATCAATGCTGAGACAGAAGCAATTGAAGCACAACGTCATTGATCGCGATCACATCCTCATACCGCCGAACTGGGATTCCTGGGGCAAGATTCGGATACTAAGGGAGGGTTTCGATGTGGAGGGTGTAAGCCAAGCGTGGTCGGAAGATATACAGGCTCCGCTGCCAACACCGACGCCCGTTGAAGTCGTGTCGAATGGACACACGAAGACTGATACTGAACCTGAAACGGAAACCGGTGAATTGGTCTCAGCAGAACCAGAACCGGCCCCTGAAATGGAAGAGCTCACCGCGGTATCAGTGTTTGAGGAGACGATTCGGGATCCAGAGCAAGACTCAGCTCTTGCTGCACTGAACTCGAAGAACGCGAATGGACTAGAAGTCCCGAGCACGGAAGCTCAGACTTTCCTGACCTCGCAAGTGGAGATACTCGACCGCTTGCGCCAAGAAGATGACAGGGAAAAGAAAGGGGCTGACAAGAAGAAGAGTGGAGCAACGTACATTGCTCAGGACGAAGCTAGTGGTGTTGTTGAGGAGCATATCGGGCCGGTGCAGTTCAACATGGGAGGAATTCAGGTGAATGCTGATGAGATGGTAAAGAGGTTGCAGGTATGTCATGCTGCTCCTCTCATCGTTTAAGTATTAGCACGCTGACGCGACCATCGCAGGACCGAGAAGCCAATCGCTCCTCCGACACAGACCCTGCAACTCCAATGACACCCACCACCACTCAAGGTCCCCAGTCAGAGAACGACCGGCTTGCTTCCTTCTTCGCTGGCCTTATCAAGAAAGGAGACGCTTCAGCTGCCAACAGTCCCCGAACGTAGAGTACTGAACAACGACAAAAAATTTTCCGATGTGAACGAGACCAACATCGAAGCATTCCAGACAGGTCTGTTGAATTCCCAGCGGCGTGTAAATAGTGCAGGCTAGGCTTTATACCCAATACGATTGATTTCTCCCGTCGTAGCTTGCATTGAGAATGATCACTTTGCCTAGATATCCGTCCGTGTGCGCTTTCCTTGCTAAGGCATGAGACATCTCAATGGACCTTCGAGTATCTGAGCGCGACGTAACTTAATAATTTTGAACGACCTATATGTATAGTCGTTAGGCGAACCCCCAACGTCATCATCTATGCTCAATAAGAGAACATGTGCATCCAGACATCGCTTGCGAGTCCTACTATGGCTCCGACAAATGGATTGCTTGACATCGTAATGGTGCTGCTGGGCTCGAGAACCCGAATACCGCATACGCAGGATATTCAGAGTGAGTTGGCGACTTATCGAGGTAGATTGGGGAGCAGACTAATACGATGGGAATATAGACTGTAAGAGCGCGGCTTTATGGATTCAGCAGCAGATACAGAGTAGTTTAGCGTACTTGACGGATGATACTAGATTTTGGGTTAATGTACCTGTTATTTGAGGTGGAGCGGGACGATCAGTGATGAGAGGGACTGGCCCAAAACTTGAATCTGAGAGCGCGACGTCCATATCTACGCATTTATGTAAGATCAATGACAAAATTCACTACGATCGCTTTTCTATCCAGTAGAGAAAGAGCATACCCTTGTGCGCCTGATACTTAGCTAGTGTCTGGAACGGCTTAGCGTGGATGTTCTTTAAACCGACCGAACTGCGCCCTAGCATCTCGCTGCTCGCTTCTTATTGTTCTGCTCCACGCCCACTGTATCCCAAATAAAGCTAGGCACGCCCTATCGCTGACATGTCTTCTAACAGCAGACCAAAAATGGAAACGTCTCGAGTCGAATATAGAGTATAAAAAGGCACCTAGGCCGCGTGAGCGTAAGTCTTGGTCAATGAAGCAAAACTCGTCTCCATCATCCATAACAAATCAGATCGTCACTCCCCATCAACACCTTCAAAATGACCTCAACCCCCTCAAAACTCTCCATCCCCGCCGTCTTCTCCCGCATCACCGCGCCCTGGCAGCCCAAAATGGTCGCCTGCGTCAACAGCACCACCGAAATCCGCATCGCCAAGATCCAGGGCAAGTTCATCTGGCACGCGCATCCCGACACGGATGAATTGTTTTATATTGTTGACGGCGGCCCTCTCACTCTGAACTATCGAGAGCGGAATGACGACGAGAGCTCGGAGAAGAAAGTGGTTTTGGTGAAGGGCGAGATGTGGGTTGTTCCGAAGGGCGTGCAGCATCTGCCTGAGGCTGAGGAGGAGGCGAGTGTGATGATGATTGAGCAGGCGGGGACGGTTAATACGGGGAATCGGGAGGAGAGGTATGTGCTACGACAGTGCGGATGTTTATGATTGCGTATTTGCTGATGTGGACTACTTGCTTCTAGTGACCGAACTGCGACGATAGAAGATGTGCGGAGTTGATAAATGTCATTGCGAGCTCTTCTCTTCCATTTTGGTTCATCGCTCCCGACCGGATGCTACCCGGCGGGTATTGAAACGGGTCATTGAGTTTCAGTAATATCCCTTGTGATGAGGGCCGGCTGCGTTGCCATCAGGTCACTACCGCCCTGTGTAACGAGCCCAAGTGTCTTGGATTCAACAAGACTATCGATAATCTTGAACACTATTCCATGTACTATCCTTTGCCACGCTTCAAACAAGTAATTCCCCACACCATGTAATTAAACTGGGTTAATTTCAAGAACAATATATTGAGTTTAAAAAGCATCATTGCCGTTTATTCTTTCATTTAGCACCAATCGTCCATATGGGTATATAGGTATCCGAGCCATGAAGGGGAAACTAGCGGGACAAAGCAGTACTGCCAGAGCAAACATGTTTACTCTGAGCCTCTCCAACGCGCTCTAATGCAAATCGACTCAAGATGCCGGTATGCTCCCGGATCTCGAACCGATCTAAGTATCACTGAACTTACTAACTTGAAGCTGGAGATCTCAACCATGCAGCTATGCGGCATCTAACTCCCGTCAGAGTAATTCGTGGCCTCGCGGTCAGTGCGGAGGCGATCAAGGGCCGGCTCTATGAGAGGAGTGTGGCGTTGCAGAGGGTGAAGAGCACGTGGTGGACGGTTGTAGCGTGGGATGCGCATAGTTCGACTTCCTTATAGGAGTTTACGAAGGGGATATTTATAAAGACGATGAAGGAGTTGTGAGGACGTTAGGTAGTTAACGCTACAGTACTAGGCCTTAAGTCTAGGCACACGAATTGATCACTGCTTGGCTATAATCTTGCTCACTTGACACCACTGTGAGGAGGAGGCCAGCTAGGAAGTAGTCAATCAGTCAAGAGGCAGTCTAGTTCTTACTACTACAAACTTGACATCGTGCCTAGGGTTTTGAAATTCAATGGGGGTATACCCCAAGCGGCGGTAAACATGTATGCACAGACTTATGACGTGTTACTATAGCTAATTATATCAACGCTCTTTGGACACTATGGTCTTATATCCTTTCTATTACTTTCGCATAGTAATTCAAGCACGTGACCTGGTGGATTTTGACCTCTACGCGTGACCTGTTGAAATTTCAAAATCTGGTCGATTCTTCAAACTCGTCGGTTGAAAGTTCGTCTTTGTGCTTGACACTTTTGACCTCAGAGCTTCCTTTTCAGGTAATTCTTGCACGCGACCTGGTTGAAAGTTGAACTTTCGACGGTCGAAAGTTTGTCTCTGGTCGAAAGTTGAACTTTGAACCGTTCAAAGTTCGTCTTTGCGCTCGACACTTTTGCGAATCTCAGAGCCTTCCTATTTGGGTAACCCATCACGTGATAGCGGCGACTGGCTTTCTCCGCAGTCCGAATCAACGTCCTCGGCTGATACAAACTGATTATTGATCATGCATCCCCTAGTTATCAATGCAGGCCTCTCTTAATTCCACTGTCTCACTATCCGTAAGGAACCAAGTGCCGATATTTGGGAATCTTATCTTTTCGATCTTGCACATTTTAAACGACATTGTCTTTATTTTTAGTAGAATACCATGAGCGCCGACAAATCAGGGGTGGAAAAGGTGCTTGACGGCTCCTTGTTTGGTTACGGCCACTGGTTTGAACCCATCGACAAGGCCTTTGGGACGACATTGGAGCCGCAGCCGCAGCCCGGTCCGGAAGCCTCGAGTGAACCGGTGGAGAAACCGAAAGGGAGAGGTAGACCGCGAAAATCACGAAACAACGATGACGCGGCTAGAGAGGTAAGATGCTTAAGTTTTGTTGACGAGAAGGTTACCGTCCCAAGATAATTTAATGACACCTAGATCAGAAACGCCGGGCCCAGATTCGAAGTGCGCAGAAAACATACCGGGAACGAAAAGAGCGAGCCACAGCTTCCCAAGAACAAAGATGCGACGAGCTCCTACGAGTGATCTCAGACATCTCTGCGGAACTAGAGGAGCTTCTCCAAGTTGCTTGTGCGACTGGAGCTATCGATAGAAATGATGCTCTTGGTGAGAAATTGCGCCACACGGCGTCGTGCTACGACTCGGCGATAGAAAGACCATGCATTGATCCCAAGCTACGGCTTCTACGAACGAAGAGTCGACAGAAACGCGAAAACAACCGACCAGACACGCTTGGCCCTCCAACAGATGATGAAGCCACTCCTCAACCCCAAAGTTCTCCAACGCGCCGTGACGATTCGGCTCTAAGCACTCTCTGGAGTTGGCGGGAAATACCACACCGCATGGACCTGGACCTGGGGCGCGTCAGTGACTCAAGTTTGATCCAGTCCTTTAGACCGCATCCTGGAAGGAAGACTGCATTGGGCGCTAAGACGATGCTAGACTTGATCAAACAACGACAAGCTGATTTGAAAGCCGGCCGGCCTAGCCAGCCTGTGACCGCCAAAGACATCGAGTTCACGCAAAGGAACTCGAACGGGGATCTGGGGGAACCATTGAAATTCGGAGGCCATGGGTCTTGATAGTCTGACATCGATATTACAGCAATGAACTTGCCAACTGGCTTTGATTCCACAATATGCCTCCATCACCTACTCCTCCCAACTAGCCTCACCATCCATCTCGTATTTAGTAGCTATAAGCACTTGGCCGACGACGCGATCGATCTGGGTCACTTGACGTTCCTCACCCGCTAAGAGCGCCCGGGCTCCCCGGGGCTTCCAACTAATGCCTCGTCTGGTAACTTAGCTAATGCTCAGGTTTAATAATCTTTACACCATACTCTTGGCTCCCTGCATTCCCCAAAATCCTGGCCTGACTGATACTGGTGGATTCCACATTAGGCATAAGTCAGATGGGCTCCTCATCGCAGTCGATATTGACATTGGGTTTGGACACTGTCTGTCTGATAAATCTACATGCTGCTATAATGTCAGCGGTTGTGAACAAAGTGACAACATACGCTTACGGAAACCTTTCTCGCAGTTACGTGCAGGCATTCAACTAAAAACAATCGTGAACGAAGATATGATGTAAGAGTTTAACGACTGTATCAAGATATTTGGCCTTGGGGGGTTGGCTCCATAAATGTGCCTCACGCGCAGTATCACAGTAAGCAAAGCCAGCTAACGTCGTCCACCCACATCCGAGATTCACCTACTAACGAGAATTGGTGAGGGTTTTGCGTGCAGATTTGGTTACGCTTAGAGAAATTGGGGCTAGCGGGTCGCCCCATCAAACCAATGTTCGTTAGTAGGTGAATCTCGGGTGTGGAGCGTAAGCTGTGTGGTGTCAGCCATTCTACCGTGGGTATACCTACCTTGGATTGATAGGGGTCGCGTATAACGAGCGTATAGGTCTAACCATTAGGACAAGGAGTACGGTTCATTTAGCCTCTTAGGCATAAGTGCTCTGCAATTGAAGTCCTTTGCTAACAGCTGATAGGTTGGGATCGGAGCATTGGCTTGCGGGACTCCGCCGACTTGCCCCGAGGCATTGTCGAGACTTCCCCCGTACCACCAGGCCTCCAGCATTGTCCCAAGGAAGCTAGTTTAGAGCCTAATATGTCACTTCGTACACCGCATCCATGTCAGATATAGTCGTATATGAGGTGTCCATCACCTAAGAGCTCCTTTCAAGACTTAAACTCACCAACTCTACTATTCCAGTCAACCCTCGTCAACTTTATTTCTGGCCATTGCTACCTTGCCGCTCATCATGGCCTCAGAACTCATTCTCATCACCGGGACTACCGGCTTCATAGGCATAAAGATTCTCGGCCTCGCTCTGAATGCCGGATATCATGTCCGTGCACCAGTGCGATCAGAAGCGAAAGGACATCATCTCCGATCGAACAAGTTTATTGCCAGCTTCGCCGCTGGCGCGCGACTTGAGACACCAGTAATAGAAGACATCACGGTGGATGGTGCCTTCGATGAGGTACTCAAAAGCGTAACATTTGTCATGTAAGTCCATGCCCGATGCTCTATATCGCGATCAGATTGCTGATAAGGACTACTGCACAGTCATACTGCTAGTACGCTCCCAGGACAAGGCCTCGCACCGGAAGAATTCAATGCGAAACTCATAAAACCCGCACGGATGGGCACGACTTCGCTGCTCTACTCGGCGATCAAGACCCCATCTGTCAAACGCGTTGTCATTACCTCATCAGGAGCCGCCGTCGTGGAATGGAAATACTTCTTCCGCGAGTCGACGGACAAAGTTTACACCGCAAACGACCGCGCACCTTTCGAAACCGAGTACCCAGACGGCGATTCCCAGGCCTACAGCGCATCCAAAGTCGCCGCGCTGGCGGCGACTGAAGATTTCATTGAGAAGGAAAAGCCGCATTTCGATGTCGTGACGCTGATACCAGGATTCGTCTTTGGGCGCAACGAGACGGCAGACTCAGTGGAAACTGTTCTGAGTGGCTCTAACAGGCTAGCTTTTGGGCAAGTGCTTGGAAATAAGACGAATATTGGGCCGTCGGTGGTGTGCCATGTCGACGACGTAGCTGCTGTACATCTCAAGGCAGCAACGGATCTAAGTATTCCGGGGAATAGGGCGTATGCGATCAGCTCAGGACCTCCCGGGGAGCCCAAGATAGCAGATGCGTTGGATGTGGTGAAGAAGTACTTTCCAGAGCGTGTGGCAGATGGTACTTTACCCTGCACTGGATTCCATGATAGTCAAAGGGTCTTGTTAGATGCGAGCGAGACAGAGAGGGTGTTTGGGATGAAGTTTAAACCCTATGAAGAGGGTGTCAAAGATTTCACGGCGCAGTATCTTGAATTTTTGGATGCGTCCTCGGGGGCCAAAACGACGGGGTGATCGACCCATCAGCCTGAGATCTCAGAGTCGGGTATTGATATTGCTTACGCTCGCCGTTCTGTCTTGCGTTAGCCTATGCACACCGGCCATGTTCCTACTGAGCAATTCGATTCTATTTCCCGTCCTTCAACAGCCTATTAAACTCCAAGAAGTCTATTCCTAGCATGCGACGTACGCTGCCTTCTTCCGATTCAATGTGAACATGTCTCTTAAGCGCTACTGCGGATTGCACATGACTATTACATACGGATCCAGGAGCTTGTAGATCGGGTTCCACATTATCCGAAGACTCTATTCAATGATTACCTCACTATCGGAGTAGTGGACGTTGTACTCTTGACCCTGTTCCCACTTTTCAGGACTTCAAAGTGGTCTGGACATATACGCTTTACGCCATACGCTTATACCCTCCCATTGTTTAGGACTTCAAAGTGGGTTATATACACTATACGCTTATATCCTCCCATTTTCCAGGACTTCAAAAAGGGTCTGAATATATACGCTATATGCTCATGCACTCCCATTCGTGGTGTTTCTTGTCGCTGGGGCTCGTGTTGATGAAACTTATTATTCTGCCATTTTGGACAGTTACATTTGCTCTAGTGTCTCTCTTCGAGTGGTTTAAAGACTTTTCTGAGTCTTTCTGGTTTAGCCCTGCGCACCGCAGTTGAATCCGAAGTGGAACTAAGCGTATAGTCGTATAGGTGGCATGGTGCTACTGTTTGGCATAGAAATTGTACCAGCGATGATGAAGCGGAGAGAGGAGAGGAAGAAACTTGAGGATGGCTTGCGTGAGAGGATCAACGAAGGGGTAGGCAGAAGAAGAGCGACCCAAAGATAGAGTATGCATATCACGAGTCTGCGGAACCATTGGATTGGGGACGGAGATACAGAGACGGGGAATTTGGCATTAGACGATGACGATCCGGACGCACCATTTCCGTTTGGGACGCCGAAGCCAGCGGCGTTGTATGGAGCTTTTGCTACTTTTGAGGAGGAAATTGGTAGTTTCGATAACCTGCATCCGACGATGCATGTAGACGACGAGAGATAGGTAATGTCAGTGGGTTATAGACGAGATAGTACAAGGTTTCAAATCTGTTACTGCGCTACGCTTTATCGGCGAGCATAGGAGATAGGCTCCTGGGTCTTATGTATATTGTTAGTGGTCTCGATATAGTAAGCTGCGGAGGAGCGGCGATCATCCTGCGGAATGCCGCATACCAGCTCCGCAGCGCTAGCCTATACATACCAAGGGAACCACGGTGGCCTGAACTATAGGTAAGACAAATGGTCTTCGGGCAATTGAAAGTTGTAGGTGGTGTGATGACTCATCTATGATAATTTGTGTATAAAGATGGGATCTGCTCTTCCAGGAAATCGAACATATAGGAAATTTACCACCAACTTTTCGTTTGCCGATCTCTGAAAATACAAGGACGACTTTCAGCTGGAAACTATTGATATGGATCCGCCTGCAAAACTTAATCTTGAAAAGGCGACTGCTAAAGGGTCCAATGGAGTACCCGGTGTGGTCGTGGCGGTGGTGAATAAGGACAGTACAGCAGTCTACCCAGACCCCTGGTCGATGGAGGTGCTAAAATACATTACAGGAGACTACATCTTCAAGAAGGCAGCCGGTTACCTTTCCGTGGAGGAAGACGCTGCTCCAATCCAATTCAACACCACTTTCAGCGTCGCGTCCCTCACCAAGCTTATCACCACCATTGCCGCGCTCCAATGCGTAGAAAGAGGCCAGATCACGCTCGACGAGCCAACCGACAAGCTGCTGCCCGAACTTGATGCTTTGCCATTGATCGAACCAGCCGAAGATGACGAGCACCCGTTTAAGTTGAAAGCAGCCACGAGAAAGATTACTTTGAGGCATCTACTGACCCACGCGAGCGGCGTTTGCTACGACATCATGGACCCCTCCGTTATGGCCTGGCGCGCTTCGCGCGGGGAAGAATCGATGGCGGTGAAGCCGGATATCCTGAAGGCGTTCACTTTTCCGAGACTCTTCGAGGCCGGAGAGGGATGGTCTTACGGGACGTCAGTTGATTGGGCCGGATTCTTGGTCGGTAGGCTTAACAAGACCACACTCGAGGAGTATTGCGACGAAAATATTTTCAAGCCTTTGGGAATGGATTCGACAACTTGGCGATTGGACAAGAAGCCGGCAGTGGCAGAGAGATTGATGCCGATATCTTTGAGAGCGCCAGACGGGAAACTGGTACCGGGGCCAACAAATTTCATATCAGAAAAGCCCCTGGTCGATGAGCTAGGAGGGTCTGGCTTACACACTTCAGTCCCGGACTACACTCGTGTTCTGGCAGATCTTCTGAAAGAGTCACCGGCTTTGTTGAAGAAAGAGACTGTCGACATGATGTTTACGCCCCAATTTGAAGTAGGGAGTAAGTCACATGAGGGGGAGTTCAAACAAGCGGGCTTCACAAGTCGTAGTCTCGTGGGTGGGACGGTCCACGAATGGATGCGACCGAAGCTAAATTGGGGACTTGGTGGTGTCGTAACAACTGAAGAGATCAAAACGGACGTCTACTACAAGCCGAAAGGAACGTTATGTTGGAGTGGGATGCCGAATTTAGTCTGGGCGATCAATAGGGAATTAGGACTTGCATGGGTATATGCTACGCAGATTCTGCCCCAGGACGACGATTTCAGTCTGAACTTGGTCAAGCAGTTTGAAACCGAGGTATGGAAGATGAAGCCATGACGGCCCACGGCAAAACCTAACTCCAAGAGGGGTGAACGAGATCAGGTGGCGCCAAAGAAGAAAGCTGTGTACTTCTTCACTCGGGGCGTGTATGGACTATAGAACACTTGAGCATCAAATAGACTTTGTGGACAGGGCTTTGTCGAAAGCTGTGTAACTTTCAATACTTCTAGAGAAGGCTCAGACGAACCTAACAGTCTACAGCACGTAAGTCGGCCCGTGGAATCAATGACGCAGGTGCATGTGCTTGCTCCGGTGAATGTAGGATAGGAAACGGAAATGGCTAAAGATCACCTTTATTTACCTCTGAGTGTGCGCGTCTACAAACCAACCACATATCCGAGCTTAGTCCACTACAGGCTTCCAAACTCAAGTCCTCTGATCATGGCGGCTAAGGGTAGCGAAACCCTTGAAGGTTTCCGAAAGGGTGGCCGCAGGTATATCTAGATATCTTTCGCATGAACGTAGAAGGCGCGCTGACACTACCAGGTTATACATCTCCGAACACTACTCCGACCTCACGATCGTTTGCAGGAATGGTATCTACAAGATTCAAAAGGCGGTGATCTGTCCGCGGTCGGCCTTCTTTGCGACGGCATTGCGTGGTCTGGGCCGGGTAGATGGAATACAGCACTAGGGCATATGTCTACACACATGGGTATACCACTGTCCGAGCGTAGCTTTTGGTTGCCAGAAACCACTCTAGGAGTGGCACGGTTGGATGAAAGTCGACCAAGAGCCTTTTTCAGCCAGCAGCTTGAGCCGCACCGCTTGAAGTTCTATATCCCTTCGAGGTTGCTGGAGGTCCCCAGGTCCTTGGAAGCACCCCAAGCAGTAGTAAAAGCTGTGCAAAGACGTCTAGCAATAGAGTGTGGAAGCGAGTAGAGGCGACCAGCAGAGATGCGGAGGGCTAACCTCGGATTAGGAAACGGAAGAAGTGGAGATCGATCTCTCTATCGAGGATCCTAAGATGGTGGAGAGGATGATCTGCTTCTTCTATAACCTAGATTACCTCCCTAAATCGCCCAATAGCCCCCTCCAAAAGTACTCAAGTCAAAAGAAAGAATACCTCTCAGGAATGTGTCCGTGTCTCATCTCTCGAAGAACGTGACATTGACCTGGGCTGGGCGCGTGGAACCTTCTGTATTAACCATATCACTGAGAACGTTCTCAAGATCCACGCTTTGATGTATGCGATGGGCGATAAGTACGGATGCTCGGATCTCAAGATCACTGCCAGAGCCAAGTTCGAAGCGTTCCTGGAGTGCTCCTCCTCAGGCTGCTCAGGGTTGGTTGATGTTATCCCGGTTGTCTTTGGAACGACGCCCGATTCCGACCTGGCCCTACGAGATCTTATTGTCGAAGAAATCGTGAGCAAAGACTACCTCACATTCGACATCGTTGAAGACGTCGTGGGAAAGACCGATGGTTTCCCGTATGCGATATTGAAGGCTATGAATCTGCGTCAATCTAAATAAGTGGGCACTATCAAAGTGGAGCTTAGAGAAAGGAGAAACTTTAAAGAATCATTATATATGATTTTGAATTCCCACTGTTCGACGACTCTCATTAACTCTGGCTACTAGTATTGAGCTTTTGGGATGACGTCGACAATTCCAACCCCCGGCAATAGGTAGAGAGGGAAGTCTGACGACGCGACACGCAAAACAGGAGAGCGTTTTTGGTTACGAGGCAAAGGAAAAGGGTATTTCTGGGTAATCTTCAGGGAAAGTCATAGAAACCAAGGCCATGGGAAAATAATGCTGTAAGAGAAGCCGAGCAAACTGGGAAAGGAGCGAGCGAAATTTGTTGGAGTTGAAGACCCCACAATCTGATAGATCGACCCGAAACAAGGTACAAGACAAGCTGTGAGGCAAACCATGGTGAATGTACGGAACAAGCCACCTTGTAAGATATATTAGCTTCAATCAAGCCCTACATGAAAGGATACCCGGTTCCTTCCAATTTCAGCTAAGTTGATATATGTGTTTTCCTTTTCGTGGATACTTCCTTCTGATTTCTATAGTAATCCTCTCCACGTCACTTAGCAGCCTCTTCAAATGCATCACCTAACTCAAGACCAATCTCTAAGGTGTCTAGTCGACCGGCTGTAGTGATGTTGTTACTACTCTTTGTCAGTCGAACCTTGGCGTAAATGTAGGCGAACGTGTCTGCTTCGGCGAGTGAATGTAATCAATCTGACGGAATTGGCTAGAGCACACCCGTATAAATACCTACTTCGCCTTGCACGTTGGCTCGAATCGCCGCTTTGTAAGCACAACACTTCAACACCACCGTGTCACCAAAACCACTTTCCTACCCGAGCCTTTACGTGCTGGCCCAGTCATGGCTACCGACAGTTTTGAAGGCGTCTGCAACGGACCCCGCAAGTAAGTTGAAGAAGCTATGCATCTTAGAACCTAAGGCTTATGATCGTGCAGGCTGTACAAGTCAGATCTCTTCTCCGATCTGACTATCATTTGCGGAAGCAATCCCTCCCCAGTCCACCAAGCGGTGATCTGCCCTCGGTCGGACTACTTCGCAGCAGCGTTGCGTTTTCCGGGCAAGGTTCGTAAAAGAATGAAACAAGCTTTTGAAAGGTACAACATATAACTGACCTTGCGTAGGAAGCAGAGGAAGGAAAGATTGATCTTTCCGTCGAGGATCCCGAGATGGTGGAGAGAATGATCTACTACTTCTACCATCTTGACTATCTTCCCACGTCATACAACCGTCGGCCAAATCAGTCCGGCAAGAAGAATGATCGCATGGACAACGCGCCCGGGAATTGCCCCTGCATTTCGACTTTCGGGGAATACACTGTCTTTAGGGGCAAGGCGTCTCATAACTACTGCACCAACCCGGGGCTTAGAGGAGTTCTCGAGATTCATGCCCAGATGTACGCAATGGCCGACAAGTACCAGATCTCAGAGATGAAAGACCTTGCCAAGGCTAAGTTCGAAGCGGCGATGAGGTTCCATGGAGGATACAAGCTGCTACCCCACGTGGTTCCGATCGTCTTTACCACGACTCCTGACTCAGACGCGCAGCTCCGAAACTTGGTTGCTAGAGCAATCGCGCTCGACAACCTCCTCAGGTTGAAATCGTTCAGGGGCGCTGTGGAGAAAATCGACGGCCTGTCGCTCGCGGTTCTGAAAGCCGAACATCCAGATCATTTCGATGAAGCGGCTATTACCAAGTCAAAGAAACGTGGGTCTCGTGAGAGCTCCCAACGGCCGTCGGTTTGCTGTTCCAGGACCCTCTTCGGCAATCAAAACTCGGACGAGGAGAGTACCGACGAGGATATACCAGGTAGTATTTGGCGAAAAGAAAGGAGGGTTCCAAAGATTGCTTAGCCTTTACATGAGCGAGAAGGAGACAAGTCAACTCATGACTTTGAATAAAGATTTTCTCCTTTCGCCTTTACCTTATTTCAGTGCCTCTCCATAAGTTCCTGTATTCTTACTCGCCACTGTTAGACGTGCTCTAACCTTTATGAGATATTCAACCTGAACATAAGAAATGAGAGGGGGCTTAGATTTGACAGTGAAAAAGTTTGGTCATGTCGCTCGACGTGTTCATCAACGCGGTATTCTGCTGTGAGGAGTCGCATGTTAGAGAGCGTGATTTGGCGTCATGGATATGTACCCTGAAATAGCATCAGTACCAATCTTCAACTCATCGATCCTCTCTTTACGATTTCTGGTCCCATTTTTATCTTACCCACATGCCCCTCATGCCATACCCCACCCCGATTGAAACCCGAATTAGAAACAACTCCTCCCGCTCTCGACGGTACGCTTCTTCCTCAAACCACGGGATAGAGCGTCACAGGCTACGCTGCCGCGCTCCACATGTCATATGTCACGTCCGGCATCGATCGCGTCGCTCGTGGGAGCTATGAATAGGTCCAAAGTTGATGGCGCGGTAGGTAGGCATGATGAGTTCCATGGTTTGACCTAGGAGCTACTCGGAGAACGGAGATGAAGAGATGGCCGACATAGCTTGGCTGACTGTTCCCCGAATTACCCTCTCTTGCGCTGACAGTCCCCGATTTCCCAACGCAGGCTCAAATTCGCAACCCATCACATGATCTCGCCGCTCATCTCCCTCACAAGGTCGAGTTATGCCCTTCCCTCTCTTTTCAACCCTCGGTACATACCCCGCTGCTGGGCGCCTAACACACCCTTGTGCCTCTCATCGCGAATACCCGAGAACTGTCTTGAAACTAGACAAATCTCGCACGTGCCCTGACAGCTCAACATCCAGGGCAGTGCATACCACCTCCCACCCCGACAGCGCCGACTTCAGGCCACGAGATGCTGGCAGCCTGCCTACGTACATCATTACGCCTCACCGTCCGCCTGAATGGGCCACGATCGAAAACCCTGATCACAGCGGACCGGTCGAGACGTGGCGCCGTCGCGCGCAGGGGTCTCAGACCGTCGCGGGATGCGTTGGGCGCCACCGTGATGGTGGGTGGGCTTTGGGTGGAGGCGAACCCTGGATCGAATTAAAGTTAGAGGAAGTGGGGCGGGTGTGTTTCAGGATTTGCGGTGACCCCTGGCGGGTGTGGAGGGGAGGATGGGTCCCTAGAGTCCGTGGTTCGGCGCGGTCGGCACACGCAAGCTAAATCGTCGCGTGGCAGCGGGAGAAGGTTGCTTATGCTTAGATAGGTAGGTACGTATGTAGATGTAGGGACAGCGATGTTAGAGTCGGCTGGACTTTCTGTGCTATGCGGCGAATCGGGTTGCTAGACTAACGAATGTGAGAGTTGATTGGACACACTGGCTTTTGTCGCGGACTAGAACGGATAAGCAGCGAGTCAGATTCTTCCCACCGTTATCAGTTGTGGAGAAGGTATGTATGTTGTTGTTGCTGGGAGTGGCTGAGTTGCCGGCGTTGGGGTGGAGGATCTGAATGCAGGTTAGGGTCGTTGTGCTACGTCATTTGGGACCGTTCGTCATTCTTTCTCTGGGGTATGGATTTTTAATGGTGATGGTATTCAGGGGAATGGATTTGCCAGTTTTGGTCGATCGCGTCCAGTTTACCAGGGACGGGCGGACCGTGATCTCACGTCAGCGCTTTGCGGACTGGGTTTCTGGGTGCTGGGTGGGGATCGTCATCTCAACCCTGGAACCATCACAAGTTAAAGTCACACTTACTCGAATGACATACTGGTACAGGAATATAATGCAAGTCTCCAAAAGGGTCATATTCAAATCCGAATAAGACCGGTCGCTGAGGTGACACGTACTCGGTTCTTGCTCATTCAAAATGACAATCTTGCATCTCATTCAGACCTTTGAAAAGGTTAGACACCATCGACAGTGGTGAGAGGAGGACCAATATATAGATTTGGTGTTTTGAAGATACCGCAGTATCGTCCCATGTAGCGACAGGAATCAGATGTGGTATCATACATTTCCGAAGGCAGACGCCGCCCAGTGCTTTTCGAGCGACTCCATTCCAATCCCGCGCATCGGTATCATATCAAATCATAATCGACGTACCTGCCATCGACCTCGTACGCTTTCGCAAGTAATAACAGAAATCGAACCAGCGCCGCGGCTCGCACGACGCTCGGTGAACCAGTTGCCCCGTCTCAGTTACACATCCATAGATCATTTTATCGCTCAAATGCTACCCCACCGCGAGAGGGATGCTTGATTGCCTGGACGTTGCGCACGGCGCTTAAACCAGCTATTTGTGAAATGGATGCATCTGACGGTCGTAATTGGGTTCATTCATGATGAGGAGTACACGGGCAGGCCACAGGCCACCCGATACAGCTCCCATGCCAAGCCCGGCGTCTCCCTGACGACCCCTTCGACGTCCTTGCGTAGGTTGAGGGCGGGATTTGCGCGGAAGGTGGCAATGACGAGATCGCGCAGCCCTCGGTCGGAGTCGACCGTGGTCTCGTAGACGTCGCCACAGGCGTCAGGGAACTCCGGTGAGGCGTGGTGGCCTGCGGCGAGGCTGGCGGCAAACTTGTGGGCGGCGAGCGACTTGAGGCCGAAGACACCGTATCTGCAGGGGCAAAGGGTTAGCGGTGCGTCTCTCGGGGGCGATTCAAGTGAATCAGGCGGTCTTGGGATCATCACGGCGCGACCCTGGTGCGATGTGCGATGCTGGCTGGGTTGCGGTTGGGAGAGGTCGGGGCGAGTGGTATGTGGCATGCCGACGGCACGTCGTCAGCCCGCCGTTTCGTCTCGCAGCGCCGCAGGGGGGGCTTGAGTGCCGAGGACCATGCTCCAGCCACTACCCAGCAAAACGTCCCGCATTCTGCCCGTTGATAGGACCGGCAATGCAGCCGTTGGCGCTCCGCGCGTGACGGCGAAGATGAAAAAAAAGCGCGGGGTTCGTTGGCCGTCTGTCGCAGAGACATATGCGCGGCTGCAGGTGGCATCACGGGCCCGGACGACTTTTTCTTGCATGCAGGGGAAAGAAATGGTTGGACTCACTTTTCCGCAATGGCGTACACCTTTGCGTGCGTGATCAGGTGCGGCGCGTCATTGTCGACCGCCGGCTCTGTAGATGCGGTCTCGAAGAGGTCCTCTTCGTCCAGCTGATCCTGCATTGGCGTGTCGGGCAGCTTCGCGTCGACGTTCTCGAAGTGGTCCGCTGGGGAATCCTCTGTGGGCGTGAGGGGAGGTGTAACCGTGTTTGCCGCCGCCGTTGCGAGTAGCGGATCTTCAAAGGTCGCCAAGCTGAGCCTTTTGCTGCGTCTGCGGACGATCCCAGCGGCCCTGCGAGGGCTAGTTGGCGATGCTGGCCGGCTTGACCGCTGCGACGCGCGGCGGGGCCTGAAGCTGTTGAGATAGTCGAGGTGGTAGAAATCTAAGGCCAGGCGTCAGCGACAGCTTCCAGTGGTGGTGAGTCTTGGTGAGAGCATGGAGGCGCATACAGTTTACCATGTGCTCGACGGCTTCGGGGTCATCCTCGCTTAGGTCGATTATACCCGTCTCAGCCTCTCGGAAGGGACTGCTGCATGCTCCGTCGAAGAACGAGGACCGCGAGCAGATGATGGCGCGGTGGACGGGGTAGCTTCTCATGCCGCAGGCGATTGTAAGGTCTGAGTACTTTCCGAATTCGAGGAGACTGGGAATGGAAATGAGCAATTGCTCGCGAATTGCTGGGGTGGCAGGCTGGGTGTCATACTTGGAGAGAGCCGTCATGAGCTCCAAAGTTGGTCGTTCTGACATATTAAATGATGTGAGAGTGGAGTATGGAAGTTGCGTGAGGGTAACTCTGGTCTTGAGTTGTACTCGGGGTGGGTGGTGGAGGATATATATTGCAGGGCCACGGCCGATTTACTTCAATCCTTCCCAACTGAATAGTACCAACAGAGGCTAACTGGTTACGTAGCGCAGATCGGTCGGTGTTTCAATGAGTAACGTGCTTGTCAGATCACGGAGGCCGAAGTGGTAGCTGGGGCCCAAAGGAGTCGCTGGTACGGCGAATAGCAGGTGGAGGATTTGGCGAGTTATGATCGGAGGTCTGAAGGCCGAACCCGCGAAAGAAGGGTGGAGCAGAGGGATGACAGGTAACGTTCCTTGGTACGAAAGATGGGGACCGACGGCCTTTTGAGGTCTCCAGACTTCGCAGGGAGAAATTGTTCATTTTAGCCAACAGGGCAACTCCCACTTTTCCAACCCTTGCTGCAACCACCTACCCATGTGCAGCCATCTGGCCATGTTTTGACGAGTCACACGGAAGAAGCAGCTGGCTCAAATGGCCCAGCTCACATGATTCTCGCGCAGTGGCGTGCAGACCGCGCCGTCTCCGTGGAAGCGACCGATTCGATGCCTCTGGTGGCTTTTGGGCTGCGGAAAACCGCTGCACCCCATCTCCGCCACCCTGTCAGTCGACGCCTTGTCTCCCAGCTGCTCTCCAACCGCAGTTGGTCGCCCCCCGATGCCCAATTGCCTCAACCAAGTTGAATTGACGCTGTCTGAGGCGGCACAGCGAGTGCGATTTTGGCGTCTCAGCCGCATGCCGCTGCCGGGCTCCTCGTCTAGATTTGTGGTGTAGGGCAGTCTAGATTGAGCGATGGAAGGCTCTGAGCACCATCATGCGCCTCTCCCCTTCGTGAATGGACAGTGTGTGTTGCGCGTCGTGCTCTTGGCGCTCGTTGCCACCCACCTCGGCGGCCTCTTGAGCAGCAAGCAAGCGTGCGACTCAAAGTGGGGTGAGAGAAGCAGCATGGAAGCTGTCCTGGGGAAGGTTTACCCATCTGCTAACAACTAGAGCCCGCCACGGCAGTTCTGGACGAGTCGCGACGATCCCTCCCAGTTTCAACCAGATGCCACTGCAAAACACCACAAACTTCTACCGTCGTCGGCAGGCGTCAGGGCCGAGTTGCGATGTTGTTTCCCCATGTCTTGCTGCGCGACCGTGGTACGCGCAGGCGGAGCCCTGTATGTGGCGCCATAGCCTGATGAGTCGTCCTGTGACACACGGGAGACGCCGAAGACAAGATATTTCAGATCCGATGCTGCCTCCGCAAAAGGAAGTCGACGCAGAGTCCAGTTCGCAGAAGCTGCCACAGTGATGCAAAGAAGACGCTTTAGGAATAACCTAGTCGCTTGCTGGCAAGCACGGTCTACGTAGTCACGGGAGGCCTGATATTTGCGGAGTCCTGGAGAAAAAGTAGAATCCCGGCTCCGAAGACATTCACGATTTCACCCACCGCGGATCTGACATGCAGCAAGAAATCCTGTGGTGTCCTGTGGTGTCCCGCGTAGGCTAAGCCGGGTTATGCTGCGGCGTCACCTGCTTGGAGAGTTGGCCGCTGAAACACCTCGCTGCCGCCTTGGTGTTGCGAAGGTTCCCCCGCCATCCATGTGTTTCTCAAGTGAATTTATAAAGCATCGAGCCGAATCCAGTATAGCGTGTGTGACAATGTAAGCAGTCCGCGGTGACGCCTGTCTGTCACAGAGCTCCCCACCACGCCTTCACGGCATCGCAGCTGAATCCGCCAAGCTCCAGCAACCACCCCTCTGCACCCCGCCAGCTTGTGCTTCTATCGCTGCACAGCTGCATGGAACAGGTTCTCTAGCGCTCCTCACCTTCTCTCTCTCAAACACCCCACCAACGCCACCTCGATGGGTGATTACAAGCTCTCCGCCTCGCTGCAAGGCCATGAAGACGATGTAGGTCGCGACAAAGGGACAAAGACTTGTTCGTCTACTTGCTTCTCTTGAGCTGCAGGCTAACCCATCCGATTGCCAGGTCAGGGGTGTTGTGTTCCCCCACCCGAATTTCGTCGTCTCTGCCTCGAGAGATGCAACCGTACGCTTGTGGAAACTCCTCCCCCAAACCCCGCCAACCTACGACGACACAATTGTGTCGCATGGAACCGCCTTCGTCAACTCCTTGGCCTTCGTCCCTCCATCCTCGGAATTCCCAGAAGGTCTCATCGTATCCGGCGGCCAAGACACAATTATAGATGTCAGGCAACCAGCAAAGGCAGGTGCCGACAATGCTGATGCGTTACTTCTGGGACACGGCCACAACGTTTGCGCCCTAGATGTCAGCGAAGATGGGAAGAAGATCGTCAGTGGCAGCTGGGATAACGATGCTCGCATATGGCAAGTGGGGAAGTGGGAAGAATCCACAGTGCTACGAGGACACGGGGCCGCTGTTTGGGCTGTCTTAGCCTACGATAAGGAGACTATCATAACTGGTACGAGCTGGACTAGGAGCATCCCCTAATGTCATTGTACGACTTCCGTCGCACCGTTTTACTGACATGCGCATGCCAGGCTGCGCCGACCAGGCCATTCGTGTGTTCCACACTTCCGGCAAGCTCATCCGACGCCTCAAGGTCGGAGATGTTGTCAGAGCCTTATGCAGACTTCCACCAAAGCATCCGTCCGGCGCCCACTTTGCGTCATCTGGTAACGACGCTGTCATCCGATTGTGGACACTTGAGGGCCGCGAAGTTGCTCAGCTACACGGACACGAGTCTTTTGTATACTCTCTCGCAGCTCTACCAGACGGAAACATCGTCAGCTCATCCGAGGACAGGACCGCCCGCATTTGGTCTAATCAGCAGTGTATACAGACAATCACGCATCCAGCGATATCGGTATGGTGCGTTGCGGTATGTCCAGATAATGGAGACATAGTCACAGGGGCGAGTGATCGCATAGTACGGGTATTCAGCAAAGTAAAGGAGCGACAAGCTGAGGAATCGGCGATCGAGGAGTTCAACGAATCAGTGAGGGCATCGGCAATCCCCCAACAAACCATGCCGAATATCAACAAGGACGCATTACCTGGCCCTGATTTCCTAACCTCGAAATCCGGAACCAAGGAAGGCCAGGTCCAAATGATCAAGGAACTCAACGGGGATGTGTGTGCATACACTTGGTCAACGGCAGCGAGGCAATGGGTGAATGTCGGAACTGTCGTGGAAGGCGCTGGTAGTGACGGCAAGAAAATCTCCCACGAGGGCAAAGATTACGACTTTGTCTTCGACGTTGACATCGAAGAAGGCAAACCGCCACTGAAACTGCCTTTCAATGTCTCTCAAAATCCTTACGAGGTGGCGCGGAAGTTTTGCGCGGACAACAAACTCCCTGTCACCTACCTGGATCAAGTCACGAACTTCATAGTTACCAACACGCAGGGTACAACCATTGGCCAGTCCCAGAATCAGGGCGGCGCGGATCCATGGGGTACAGAACATCGCTACCGACCGGGGGATGACACACCCGCGCAACCAGCGCCACGGCCCAAACTCCTCCCACAAAAGGAGTACCTGGATATCTCGACAGCCAATCACAAGGCGATGTTCAAAAAACTCCAAGAATTCAACCAATCTCTCATCGAAGATGGATCCAAAGACGTCTCCCTCAATCCACATGACATTGAGGTTCTCGACTCTATAGTCACTAAGCTCGAAAAGGGCAAATCTAGCAGCATAGATTCCGACTCCATCTCTCTCGTCCTCAAAATAGCGACGGCATGGCCGGCTGACAAAGTTTTGCCTGGCCTCGACGTCCTGCGCCTCATAACTGCCTCCTCGGGAACCTGCGTGGAGCAAATCTCCCCTCCACTCCCGCACATCCTTGCCGATGCCAAGCTCTTCGAACCGTCTACACCACCAAATAACACCATGATGGCCATCAGGGCTTTTGTCAACCTCTTCAAGACCAAATCCGGTCGTGACCTCGCAAACGCAGAATTTGAGACTATTCACAAACTCTGCAAACCGTACACCACCTCGACGAACCGTAACACCATTGTCGCACTAACAACTCTCTACATTAATTTCGCTGTCTTGCTGAGTGCGCCAGAGACAGCAAACGCAGACCGCGCGCTTACGCTGTTGGACGACTTGAGTGACATTTTGAAGTCAGCCCGCGATTCGGAGGCCATGTATAGGGCCGTTGTGGCCGCCGGCACGCTGTTTGCGCTGGGAAAGGACTTCTGCGAGGCTGGACGAGACGTCTTTGGGTACGAAGCTGCGTTGAAGAAAGCGGAAGAGACAGTGAGGGAGCCCAGGATTAGGAATGTGGTCGCGGAGATTAGGGATATGCTTGGATAGGGTTAGGCGCGGAAACTACGCGATCAAGATGAGTGTCAAGGCATGGAACAAGGTATCTGAATTAGCGATGAGCAACGGCCTAGACGCCTTTCCCGAAAATCGGTAACTAGGTATCTCTATAGAGCGGAGGCATATTGGCATAGTACGGCAGCTTTCACATACGAATACAAACACATCATTCCCAATTTCTTCATTTTCTCACTCAGAGTCTTTCTTTCTCTCCCCTCTTCTTCCTCGAAGTCATCACTTGAGATTTACGTTGGGTGTTTTCTTTGGTCTGTGACTCCGTCGCGGCTTTTACTCAGTTAGATCATCCAAACTATTGGAGGGGATCTGATTCTGCCAAGACAACACAAAAATGCTTGGCATTTTTCGCGTCAATCCTCCACTCTTTCGCGCCTATTTAGTTCACGCTTAGTTAGGTATAGTATTTTTGGCAGTTTCAACCGCCGGCCTTCCGCGCTCCCAATTATCTACCCGCCAAGCGGGAAAGAGACGCTACGACCGCTTCAATTGAAGGAAGGTATGTGACGCGCACGGAGTTGCTACGAGGGGGGGTAAGGTGAGTCGGGTTCGTGAAGCACATTTATCAGCTTGAAGGCATTTGAGGGAATTTAGTTTCATTGACTACCAAGGGTTTTTCTACTTATGCATGTCATCTCGGCAATGCCGGAATCTCATTAATGTCTGCTTGTCGAGTTCGAAAATAGTGAATATTAGCGTACCTGTCTGCCTGTCCGCCCAAGAGCGACCTTTTGCTGTTATGGAGATTGGCAATGACCATCCAGAGTCGTTGAGTAAAGTCAGACTTGGTCAGAAGAGGAAGTAAAAGTCGTGCTAGGGTTTTTGGAGGTGCCCAGGGAGTCAGTTGCGACGTCCGGGAACCATATGGGGGCAGTCGTCTTGATGTTTGCTTGTAATGTCTTGCAGACTCTGTTGAGGGGAGTAGATGTGTACGCAGAAGCATGAGTGGGGTCGTTCTGGCAGTGCCGTAACAACCAGTCAGAGTCGAATAGCGGGTCGGAGTTGGTAGCTTAGAAGGAGTAAAAGTCCGGGTCGTGGGTCAACCTGTGGAAGGATCATTATAGTATATCTATACCTAGGATGTGGGGGCTGAGGCTTCGTTGTAGGGTTTGGTTTCCAGTGGTCATTCATGACGAGACCGTCCCTCGGACATCGTCAACAGCAAAGGTTTTGCCATTGTCAATAACTTGCTAAGGGCATGGGTGCGGGTTTATCCGGCATGCTCGCATCCTTTAGAGGAAGTAAAAGTCGTAACAAGGTTCGGCAGCGTAGGTCTTGGGTTTCGTAGTGTAGGTCTTGGATAGGGGATAGGCCCTGATGTTCCTCTGGGCTTGTAGGTTGGTTTCTGGACCTATCCACTAATGAGCTCGAACGACCCTATGATCAACGCCTCCGAGCTCCCCCGCCAACGGTTTTCATTTCGGCAGCTAGAGAGCTCTGGTTGATACCTTCTTGGTTGCGCTCGTACTTGAGCCGGTCCATGGGCTGCTTCTCCGAGTTTGACAGGTTGAGTCTGGCAGAGACTAGTTCTGCCGCTTCTTTGGGAGTGAGCTCATGTTGAGCGCTGTCGATACCCTTCTTCTTGCCGAGGAGAATCAGCTCCAAGTCCAGTTGCAACAACTTCACATGGGCCAATGCGTGGTTTGCAGAGGCACGGATGAGTTGTCTTTCTTCGAGAGCATCTACGTCCGGATCTTCCCGTCGATCCTCCACGAGCTGGTCCCTGGTATTCGTGATGTCTGCCTCATCCTCTCCGGCCATCTTGATATACCGCTTCAAGACCTCCCTCCGCGGACGAGCACCTTTGAGGGCTTCCACCTTTTCTCGCGTCATCGTTCGCAGCCCTGAAAATAGTGCGTTCAGGGCCTGCATCTGCCGGAATTGCATGTCAGTCCCGAGGCCGCACTTTCGGTGATACAGCATCTGGATATGCGCTTGCAAGATCGGCACGTTTCGCTTGTCCTTCTCCTCCAGTGACTTGCCATATGGTCGGTACGTCGCATTCGACAGCAGATGGAGCCCCGGCTCATGAGTGCGCAGATTATGACCCTCCTGCGGCGCGAACGCCAGGAACGGTTCCGCCTCAAACTGCAGCCGCAAGCCCTGGCTCTCGTAGTACGCCAGCCGCTCTTTGATCTCCCACTCGCCCCGCTCTAGGGCCATATTGATGAGCTCCGTGTCATCAAGCTCATTGCGCAACAAGCCGACGCTCGCTCCGTAGTTCCAGGAATTGTCGACGCGGTAGTTGAAGATTTCGCGCCACTCGTCTCCCGTCAGCGTGCCAATCGGCCTACGCTTTCCGTTCACCACCACCATGTCTGGTCCCCGCTTCTTGAGACGGTGCATCTCGATCTCGACATCGTACCGGAAGGCCCGCTCGATGAACACCCGCCGCACTAGAACCAGAATCTGCAGCTTCAAATCCTCCACGCGACGCTTCTCCTCCGGATTGCTGTCCCACGTCCTAGATGCATGGACCTGGCGATCGAGCGCCTTCTTCTCCTCCAGCCAGCGCGTCTCGCGGATTCTGGACTTTTCGAGCTCCTCCTCCATGCGCCCCCTGTCGTACCAGTCTGGCAGGAAGAGCTGGCGGCGGATGACGATCTGGTGGACGCGGTAGCGGGTGTTCTTCTGGTGGCGCGCGCGGAGAAGGTCACTGAGTTCAAGGTCGGGGTCGTGGGTGATAGTAGTTGGAGAAGTCTGGGATTGAGGCTGTGCGGATGCCGTGGCCAGAGTCGAGGATCGCGATGAGGATGGAGTCGACGATAGAGATGAGAGTGAAGAGGAGGATGCAGTCGAGTTGGAGACGTGAAAAGCGGTGGTGAGGTTGGTCGGGGCGCCATAGGGGCCTTTGGGCGCTTCGAATTTAGCACGCTTGGAGGTCTTTAACGTGGTGAAGAAACTCTCTTCTATATTGGTGTCGGCATAGTCTTCTGCATCGTCTTCTACATCGTCTTCTGCGTCGTCTTCTGCATCCTCATCTGGATCATCTTCTGCGCGGCGTTTCACCCCAGCGACTAGGGTGGATTGAGGAATTGAGGTTGAGCGCAGTTGAGAGGCGGAGGAGGGTGGAGTTGCCAATGCTAGCAAGACATTGGGAGGTCCTGACGGTCTGACTTGGGGACCGCGCGGGCGGAGGAAGTGGCGCTGTTCTTTAGGAGGTCGGGGCACGTTGATTATGTTCTGCGAGGGCCGACCCATGGCGTGGGTGTGTTTAGCAGTGCACAATTGAGGTTCTGATGTGGTGGTGGGATTTTTGGAGGATGTAGGAGGTTGGGGAGCAGTGGGAGCGCGTTGAGAGAGGGTGAATTTATAGCTAAAGCGGGAGGTTTTCCACGTCATTTCCTCGGGTCGTCCACGCTTATTGGGGGGCTTCAATAGGTTAACACCGGCTCTAATCGCTGAACCCGAAAGCTTTACATTCCGTTTCAAGCTTTTCTTACAAGCATATCGATGTGCCATGAACCAATATCGCCGGTCTGATGCAGGGTCTGACAAGCTTTCAAGAGGCCAAGTTAGTAAGCAGTGCGCAGGTCTGAATCTTGAATTCAGATAATATACCTTCTGTATTACCTTTCTTCCACAGGTAGGAGGGGTCTCCAGGGGCTAAGCTAGTGCGCAGCCGATGTAAAATACCGGTGCGATATAGGGTCTAATAAATTCTACATCTCATTCTTGCTTGTACCCTCCCTTTCCTACAGTATCCCAGCTATGGCTGAACGAAGAAATGAAAGCCTCAGTGAGCACAAGCGGAGTACGTGACTATAAAATAGGTAATAGGTGACAGTGTCAGAGAATCATTTGGAACTACCTGTTAATAGTTTCGTAAGGATGCGAAATTTGGAATACATGACTGAATAGTTCATCGCGGAAGGGCCCCGGAGGAGTGTTGCCAAGTCTTCGCAGGCAGATGGGGAAATAGAGAGCACGTGACCCTGTAGCCTTAGCGAAAATAAGCGAGAGATGGAAGGTGAGTATCTGAACATATCGGCATGGATGGAGTAAGGAACCACACGTCCAAACGAAGAATATGGTGGTTTGATCTAAAATTTGGTAAGTTTGACATCGTAGCGTTGTAAATTGTGGTCAAGTTGAAGGACTCAAGGTTTTAATCCGAAGCCTAAGGAACTTTGGGAACGTACGAAATTTACCCCTTCCTCTTTGATACAGGCCGTTCAAGTTGCTTAGACCCTCAATACCATAGGCAAATGAAGTGGGTTTGGGATCAACATAGATAGAGGTAGGTTAGGTACTTGACTGGAAGACCTGCAAGCTTTGAAGTATCTAGGTAGCTAGACACCACTACTTGGACTCCTTTCCACGGACATCGCGCAGATGCCACCCTGCTCTTGAGCTCCTCCTGCAGCTGAAAACTAGCAACCTGCAAGTGGCTTAGCCCTGCATCTCACCGATGAGATGGAAGTATCGAGATCACTCTTCCTCCGCTCGACGTCTCTCCCAATCAGAGTGTATCTGGGTTGTCAGAAGGTTGTCCACCGGGGTTTTCTGAATCAGGTTGTGTTGTCTTGGCTGTCTGACTGCCCGCCTCCTTGTTCCCGCGATCTTCGACTCCATAAAGCTTCCTGAGGGCCTCATAATTGACATATTTCGAAAGCCCGCCGGTACGTGCTTCCAAAAGCTTTCCAGTATCGGCCTGGGAAGAGGTCCCATTGCGCCGAACCGCTGGCCTCATAGTCGTTACACGCCTGGTCTTCGGTCGTCTTCGCAGTTCATATCGGTCCTGCTTGCTCGTAGTCGGTAGAACCTGAGTTTGAGTGGAATTGCTGCAGCGTGAGGAGTAAGCCGACCGTAACTAAACCGACGTGAGCGATCCGTTGCAATCGACCTTTTTAGTGGACCTGGACAATCCAATCAAGGACAAGACCAGGGTCCAACCTGGATTAATCGGGTTGTAATCTAGTGAATTGACCCCGCATATGCGTTTTAGGACGCGTTCTGTGGTTTTTCACGCGTTGTTTTGACCACGCCTCTCCTTACTCAAGTACATTACCTGTACAGTAGGAGACTGCCGCATTCTGACGGCTATTACTGGCCCGTATATACGACCACGAATCATAGCTTTGGGAATTAGCGTGCCGTCCGCCGTTAAATTTACCTCTGCTGCAGACTCCCATTTGGGCTTCCGACTATGTACTCTTACACCAGCCCGTAAATCCCGCCTGATTCTCCACAAGCAATACTGGTACGTATTTACACCCCTTGAAGAGGCACGGGAGCTTCATAGCCATGCCACGCAACATCTCCTGTGTCTTTGCAAATTTCTTGCCGCCCCTTGGGCACCCCTCCTGCCGTGGGTGTGTGCACAGTGAATAATCGGCGTCATTTTGGATCATGTTCCAGACGTTCGGACTTACGCTAACGTGTGTGACTTGAAACAGGTATTATCAGTCCTTTCCAGTCTCCGGTACCAAGGAACGTATTTGTCGGGGGTATGCCGCTGCGGCAGTAACTCTGCTACCCTACCGTGTGTGTAGGAAAGCTTCATCGCTATCACGAGTCGACCTCCCATGGATTCACCTAGGCTGACCTACCTGATTTGAAGCAGACTATACTACTTTCCGAGCCACAAGGCAAGATGCCGAACGGCCAGTACTGCGTGCAAATAGTCGACTCCACGAACACAGCCCTCCCAGAGTATGAACACGATCCTCCAGATGGATACACCACGCGAGGAGGCTCCAAGAAGAAAATGGATCGAGTTTGGAATGGGTACGGACGTATCGCCTCCACTGAGGGACAACAATTTGGTATCCTCATTGCGGTGCCAGAGGGCATCTTCCGCCAGACTGCAACCGGCGCAATGGTTTCCATTCGGCTCGATAGTTCCGACACGGGTGAATACTGGACGCTACAAGATACCCGCTTCGTGTCCAAAGAGCAATGGGAGCCAAAGCGCGGTGGACACAACGGCGTCAAGTACGTCACCATCATGGAGTCCGTCGTGAAGACAGGCCCAGACGTTTTTGAGCGTAAGAGGTTTGAGTTCGGGGCTGTCAGCAAAGGTAGTAGTGACACTAGTCCTAAGTCTACACGCAAAGGCATGCTAACATACGAATAGCCGTTCGGACAGCGCGCAAACTGACTACTCGTGAGGAAGCAGAGCAACTTAGTACCGTGGGAAATATAGTTGTAGAAATGCAGCTGGGCAAGATGGTTCCCGGCGAATCGATGAGGTACTTTGGCAGGTCGAGGCGCACGCAAGCACCGTGGAGCATCGCTGCTGATCGCACCATGACGTCGACAAAGAATTGGCAGGACGAAGGGTTGCAGCATTGCGTTCGGTGAGTCGAGTAATTCCATCTGGTTGGTCTTCATGTGGCAGTTGCTACTCCCTAGCAGTTCGGAATCGAGCTCCCGAATGAATTCTATGGACCTTCTTTGCTACAGACGAATGCAATTTGTGAGAGAATGTCGAAGCTGACATTACATTAGCCTCATTTCTCTAGGCGAATGCAACGCACCCGAAATGTTGGATGACCAGTCCTTCCGCCCCCTGAACGGGGAGAACGGAGGCACCTACACCTTCAACTTCGTCTTTCGACCCCAAGGTAGGTCCAGAGTATTCACCCTCTTACATCACCCGTCTGACCTTTTCAAGCGATAGCAGACAAGGAAGGCTGGCGCCTGAAGGACGGGGACAGAGAGCTCCCCGGCATCCCTTTCCCCCGCATTACACCGGCGAACCAGGAGCCTCCTGGCCACGCTGGTCCCGTTGCCGACCGTGAGGACCCCAGCATACGAAACCGAGAACCCAAGTCGCGCAAGCCACGTACTCCCCGCCAGCCTACCTTTGCTTTGCGAAATCAAAACCAAGATGAAGACGGTGACGATGATAGCATGAACCTCGAACCCGAGAAGAGCCAGAGTCAGAAGTCGAAGAAACGCAAAGCAGCATCCGCTCCCACGCGTACTTCAAAGCGCATTCTCGACAGGGCTGCTGCGCATGCTGTGGCAGACAGGCAGGATGCCCCAGTTAGCGCGTCTGATGCCATGGCTGACGATGAAATCCCGAGGGACGATTTGCAGTCCGTGGCCGCGTTTCCTGTGGACTCAAACCAAGTTATGCCTTCACAGCCAGCTGGCAACGGCACTGCGTCTGGATCAGCGAACCTGGCTCCTCTCACTACTGAAGCCTCCGAGAGGCCACAGGTGCCCTCGCCACCACGTGGACGTGACGAAGAGGCGAGTCATCACTCCCGACATGGACCGGATTTAGCTGGCCGTGTGCAGAATGACCGGGATAGCGACATTGAGAGTATCGCAGAATCAATGGCTGCCCAATCGATCGCTGAGGATGTTACCCTGGAGCAACGCGTCCGCGAGTGGAGCAAGAAGGTACCTATTGCTGATGCCCGCAAGATTGCTCAACTTGAGGTGGAAAAGGAGAGGTGCGTAGAACGGCAGGCATTCCTGAAGGCGAAACAGGCCGGCCTTGCGGCTAGACAGGCTGGTCTCGAGGCCCAGTATCTCGAGAAGCGGGCTCAGAGGAAAGGCAACGATCTGAAGCGGCTTCTGGCAGAGCTGAACTAGGAGGCTTGATCTGAAGGGCGGACTGGCTGAGTGTGTTTGCTTGAGTCGAAATCGGGGTCGTTTCGGTTTCCGTTGAGTTAGCCAGGAGCGTGTTTGAAGGCCTACAGTGGTGTTTCGGCTAGAAATACAACTCTCTGAAGAACGTGCGATTTGGCTATTCGGGCTGTAATATACTTCTTGTACAGTGCGAATCAGACCGAGTTATTCTGGAAAACCCCATAGTGATGCCACTGCCAGGCGCGCGCCATATTCGTACGAAAAATGGAAAAGTGATCCGATAAAATGAAGAACATATATCGGAACCTGAAAAATCACATCACCTTTCTAGCAATACAAGACTGTTAAGGGTGGAAAAGATCTATATGCTAAAGTGTAAACAATAACAATACTTTCTATCGGGTACTGGTGGTAAAGAAAACATGCATTGTTTTTCCCTCTCTCCGTGGGGAAGCCAAACCTATTCAAACCCCAAACGATATCCATCCAAATCCTCCGCGATTTCCGAATGAGGCATGCATTAGTATAAACCGTACTTCCACTGTAAGATTCTCACAAAAACGCGGGAGTCATATCCCTCACACCCTCGGTCTGGATCTGCTCGGTGTCGATGCCTTCAATCCAGGTTCCCTCGTCACCAATCGCCCCAGTCTCAACCTGGTCCGTCTTGATTCCTTCCGTGCATATACCTTCGGCGTTAACTGCCTTTTTTTGGTTTCTCTCTGCATCCATTCCCCCAGTTTTGGTTCCTTCATTCTTGAGCCCTTCAACACCAACAGTCCTTGCTCGCAAGAATTTCTCAGCAAGTCTCTGTCCAGCCGTCGGGGTACCTGGGCATCCCAGCACACTGCCAACACTCCTCACACTTCCTTCCCTTTCATCGTCCTCCATGACTCTCGCACGTTCCGGGCTTGGAGTTGGCTCGTATCTCAACGAAGACTGGCTTGGGCTCGCGTTGAGATCGTTGTTCAGCCAGAGTTTTGAGATTGGGGACGGAAGCGACGCATTAGTCGGCGAAGGGCTTGAGTACGGGCCCGCAAGGATCATCTTGAGCGTCTCACCCTCGAGCGCACGGCCAGTGATCGGTTTACGACGAACGTGTGAAATCGTGTGAGCTGTCGAGCGAGCGACATTCTCGGGCGGTGCGCCCGGGGGAAAGACGAAGGTCTTCGTCGGACTATTTTTGCCGCGCAGGTCGAAGGCAGATTTCGGGCGCGATGAGGCACTCAAGCTTTTGAGGTGTGGACGTGCCCGAGGAAGGGGTGGCGTGATGGGTGGCATCGAATGACGATAATTCTTCTCTTCTGCAGAAGTAGTATAGTGCGCTAGGCTAGAATGGCTGCGGTTCCATACGCAGGGACGCAGTGGTTGAAGAGATTGTGGCCGAGACATCCCACGAGGTGGGATACAGAGAGATTTGGCTGAAAGCGATTGGAGTGCGTTTTCCTTTCCGTTTTCTTTCGTTTCTGTCTTTGCCTCATCGTTTACCCGTCTTTTTGGCTCATAGCGGGCATCCGCATCACTTGGAGGAGGATCGTATCTCGTATAGATGCGTGAATCTGGAGTCGGAGTCACTCTTGAAGATGGTGTGTCAGCTTCCGGTGAACGTCTTGACGGATTCGTTCTGGAACAGCTACTCTGGCTGCTTGTCTTGCGACCGGTCTCGATGAATGGGAATCGTTCATTCATTCTGCTGGATGGCCTCTCATCAAGAGTGGGCCTGACTGGACGCTGCTGCCCCGTGCCTGGTGGGAAGCTCCAACTAGCTCGACTTGACGGATCTTCTCCAGGTGTCACCCGGCGCTGGCCTGTCTGGGCTGAGGAGCGTTCCCCACTTCCTGGTGGGCAGCTCAGGCCACTTTCGGAAAACTCTCCCATTGTTGGTTGACGTTGGCGGATCGCTGGACTCAAAACTGTTTGGATCCCCTTTCCTGATCCGCTGATGGAGAAATCAGGTACATCAAGGATATCCGCATGTTCACGGCGGTGGCCAGGGTTAGTATATCGATCGTATATGGTTATATCCTCCTGCGGCGAAAGCTCCAGTTCCGCAACTTCATTGGAGAGCCAGTTTTTCCAATCCTTGCTAGACCTTGCAGAAGCATTGACCGCAAGAGGTCGAGGCTGTGGTGTGCCTAGGGCGTAGCTTTTAACCGCAGTACTGTTGATAATCACTGCAGTACCCCTATAATCAGCCTCGGAGTTGGCAAGAGAAACTGCACTATCGTTCATGCGTAGGCTTTGGCCATCACTGGCCTGGGAGTAGACACTGGGAGAAAGTGGTGACAAGAGATCTCGTGGGTTGAGCGGGGTGTGGAGCGTAAAGTTTTCTTCTTGCCCTGCAACTTGCTCTGGCGAAGGCGTTGGCTGCTTATTGGAGTGCCTGAACGAAAAGTTCTTCCGGGCAAATGTCGAAACCGTATAAGTACGCCTTGTGGACTTTGGGAAGAAAGGAAAATGCTCTTTGTCATCTTCGAGAGGAGTCTTCCACCTACCTTTGGACTTTTCGACCCGAGAAGCAATCTGGTCGGCGGTAGGTATTATTGCATGAGGTGGCGGACGCTGGAGTCGATTGCGCCGAGGTTTTGGGCCTTCGCGAGATTCATCCACAGGATCGTCCGAACTCGGACTAGGCTCCTCGCAAATTGGGCTGCGAGAAGGACTCCTGTCCCTGGGAATTCTGACAGCACCTCGAACGCTAGTAGTCCTGGTCGGTACTGCGGGGCCATCGAGTGGATCTGGGGTGACTGTACGGATAGTCCCCTTCGTAGCTTTACTCAGATCGGAAATGCGGCTTTGATTTGTCAGAGTGACTGAGGTTGAGTGATTGCTACCCTTGCACATTGAATTACTCTCGTCTTCAATCTCAGAGTCTTCTTCTCCCTCTCTCAATTCATCCATATCCCCACTCTCCTTCATCAACGCTGAGAATACTCGTCGAGGATCCACTGGCATTGAGCATTCCTCAGCTACATCGTCCATTTGGACTGGATCTCGCAATGACGAGAGCGCAGGCACAGGTGGCGGACGTCGAGTCGGTGATGGAGGCAACATTGCAGCTTCGCTCGCAATGCTTCCCTTGGCTTCATGGATAACTGAAAGGCGTTTGTTGGTAGAATTTCCAATAGTAGAGCTGTTCCAACTCGTCACTCTGGAGGCAGAAAAATTGCTCATGATGCTACTCGCCCTTGAGCCTGGACGAGCGCTGCCTTCAGGTATATCCAAAGATGAGTCTTGAGTACGGGTATGGTTGAGGGTAGTATGATCTGGAGTGCATATGTCGTCGAAACTTCTATTGCCACCGAGAGGTGGTGGTGAGACGCAGGTGCTGAAGTAATCGCGGCTGGCATCGATTTGCTGGACCGGAAGTGTTGTTGGGATAAGTGAGGTTCGTCTGAAGACACGCTTGATTTTGCTTTTGAGTGTGTTAGAGAAAGACCTCTTCTCCTTTTGTGGGTTGGTGATAAGCGTAACATCCTCTACGCTAGTCATGACCTCGGGTGGGATATTGTCATAGACTACAGATCCTACAGATCTACTCGCGCTAGACGAAAGCCTGCCCTTCTCCTTCTCTTGTCTCTTCTTATTTTTGAAAGGGCCGAGGATGAAGGACGGCCGCTGGCGGAGCTGACGCTTCTGGAAATCTTGAAGATATCTGTCGCGGACCTTATCTACGGTTTCGTCCCCAGATATTGTTGCGGGCAATCTTGGTGGGACAGCTGACGCACTGGACGATATGCCAAGGTCCGACAGGAAGGACCTGCGTCGTTCAGGCGTCGGGCTCGCAGGTGGAGGTGTAACCAGATACTTTGCTGGAGGGCGTGGAACGGGCGACCCAGTCTGAACACTGCTAGCGTAATACATCGACCGTGCCTTGCGAATCGTGTTTGGGGGTTCAGCTAGAGAATTTCGATGCGTGGCGAACTGCGTCGCCGGGCGAGCAATCTCGTCGAAAGAGAGAGTAGGTTGAGCCAACGGCGTACCCACCGGTGTAGGATGAGGAAAAGGCGTTCCCGCCGGCGTAACACTTGCGATCCTGGGAAGCTTGGCATCGGGTCCAGCAATCGATTGCCGCGGGAAAGCTGAGATGTATCCACCCTTCGGAGACTGACAAAAGCGCAAACTCGATTCGCGTGCTGGAAAGTGACGTCCTTCAGAATGCCGGCTGGCATTGCTTTTGGTCCTGGACAAAGTGGAGGCACGCGTAGAGGCACGACTCCTCGCCCTTTCAGCGAGTTCGAGTTCGTGTGCCCTTGCGTATGCTGTTGTGGCGGCAGCTAGGGCATGCTTCTGGGCGACCTCTGGATCTAATGGTTCGGGTAGTGGCGGAGGAAGTCGAGTGACAGAGCTGGTGGACTTTGAGCGGCGTAGACGAGCTCCAGCATCGCTGGACGCGCGGGCAAGCATCGGAACCAAGCAAACAAGATGTTAAGAGGGGAATGCTGCAGTAGAAGGCGAGTACTTCGCCTGTGCTCGTCGTAATCACAGCTGATCAAAGCTTGGCTAAAACACTGACGAGGATTCGCAAAGAAGATAGGAAATGGGGATCCGGAGCGGTGATGTTTTGGTGGTGGATGAACATGGTAGATGGATACACAACAACAAACGAAAGACATGTGCCTACCTCTGTTGACGCTGTTGACACTTACCTTGACCGATTACTTTCGGGAAACTACCATTGAAGCCATCTTCAGAAGTACACATGCACTGCGTTGATTCAACGTTCGTTTCATGATATTTTCAGACGGACTGCTCGGGTGGGCGAGACATGCCGCGCAATCGTCCGAAGCCTTGCAGACGGTACCAGGTTTCAGCTGCAGATCGGATTGTGCTCCGATGGCGTGGTTGGGCCGCCCATGAAGCCTGGGAAGTAACTGCCATGCCGCTGCCACAACCTCGTAACGTGATGGACTCACGAAGCTGCGATGGATGAAGTCAGTGAGTGGTGAGGAGAGAAGGAGGAGACGAATAGAAAGCAGTTGACGTCGGTTCGGCATTTTCTCGGGCATCAATGCCCAGCAGGCAACCATACCTCGCCTCAAGACATGCACGATTCCTACCTGATCATCTCTCGATCCTAAACCATCGTCTCTCATCACTTTTCACACGCCGCGATCCCGTCCTCACCCTCTTTAACCCAGCCAAGTACGCCGCGACCACCCCAACACAACGTCGTCCGCACCAACAACGAGCTGGGGGACCTCAAACAGCAGCTTGAAGACGAAAAAAGGCTTCGCTCTGAGCTGCAAAACACCACCAACCTTTACTACGCGGAAACCAAGGCTGCCAATCCAAGCTTGAGGTCGCCTAGGGCCGTAGCTTGAGAAAGCTTAAGCGTCGGGCGCTAAATTGGGCAATGGGGACTTCCGACAGCAAGCCCTCCGAAGAGGGACAGGAACGACAGCCTAAGCCATATGGCGTGTCTGTCAATTCAACGATTATCACATTGAACCCATCGTGCCGCGCACTATACAATGGCATGATCAGGTATGATGAGATCACCGATCTGTTTCACTCATCACCCGACTAACCTTTCACAGCATTATCAAGAAGAACAAATACTCAGACCTTCTAGTCATTTGCGGAAGTGATCGGTATCCAGTCCATAGGGCCGTTGTCTGCCCTCGTTCGACCTGGTTCGAAGACAAATGCGAACTAGCTCTCCGCGGTCTCGATTACTCATCACCCGCCACGCCAATGAAAATTTGGCTTGAGCCAGGCGAGGAACCTCATATCATTGCGGCCGTTCTCACCTATCTCTACACCCTAGACTATGGCCCCGATGGACCAAGTCTATCCTTCGGCCTCCCTCACGATCAGAGTAGCATCCACTCCGAAGGCTCTACCGCGACAGACGTTCGCCTCGCATCTCCCTCACCCGACATCGATGGTGTAGACATCTTCTCTATACTCTCTGATGATCAAGATACAGACTACGAAGAAGGTGTGCGAACGCCGACATCGAGCTGGCGGCCCCAATCATCAACACCGTTTGCAGATGGATCGCCTCAATCTGCGAGCACCGACCAGACTCTTCATGACGACGGTGATCCAGGAACCCACCCAAATGCACTCACCCTCCATTGCCAGATCTACCTAGCCGCTCACCGCTTTGGCATTGCACCACTAGCAGAAATCTCAAAGGATAAGTTCACAAAAGCGCTCCGTGACAATAACTCCTCGGCCGACCTCATTCCGTGCATTCGCGAGGTGTATCGGCAGCAAAGCAGTAACCCGACTGCGTCTACGCTCAAACAAGACGTGATCAAAGCTGCAAGGTCGAGATTTCGGAAGTTGAAGGAGGAGGAGGGGTGGGAGGCGCTTGTGATAGAGTTTCCGGAGTTTGCGGCCGATATGCTGAGGGGTATGTGAGAGCCAAAATGAAGCGTTAAGGGAAATGGATGGGAGTAATCTGGCGTTTTTGTTTCGTGAAAGTAAATGCATCAGTCATTTCCACGCTACGGTACACGAATCGGGTCTTTGAACTTTTGCAGGAGATGGCAAGAAGTTTGTAACTTAGTTGGGGCAAATGGTGATCAACCCTTACAGTACTGGGTTATAAGTCTAGGCACACGGATTGATCACTGCTCAGCTCTGATCTTGATCACTTGACGCCACTGTGAGGAGCAAGCCAGCTAGTAATTAGTCAGTCAGTCAAGAGGCAGTCTAATTCTCACTACTTCAAACTTGACATCGCGACTAGGTTTTGAAATCATGGGGTAACCCCAAGCAGTGGTAAACGCGTATGCACAGACTTATTACGTGGAAACGAATACGTGGAACGACGAAGACCACCTTCTTAAGCAAATAGAGAGTCAAATCATTAGAGGAGGCACTAGGTTAGACAAGATATAGGTAAGTTATGGAATATAGGTGTAAATTTGGACAAGAGATAATTAAGGCGAATTTCAAAGCTTCATTGCAATGTGCATGCTAAGGCTAAGTGAACTGACACCCACGGTTCAAAGATTCAGTACCAAAGAGTCACTGCACATCTAATTCTGCTTCCGCAGTGTCGACATGAAGATTTCAACGTGCATTCAGGATCCTGAACAAGAATGAAGTTCATCAATTTGAAAAAACGGTAGATTAGACGTATTCGAGATCAAAGCGACGAAATACCTGCGGCAGATTAAAAGGAAGATTCCCCAAAAGAAAGGTTTCTACAACCCACAGTGAAGTGGTGGACGCTGTAAATTCACAATAATCCACTGAAGCCGAAGTGGTTAAAGTGTAAGGTGACAGGTCCTGCAACTTCCTGTTCCACTCCGTATCAGCTACGTGAATCCCCAGACTAGAAGCATTCACTCGTAGATTCATCCAGCTAAGTATATAATGCTTACAGGCTTGTGTGTTCCCCTTTCACAACCAGAAATCTCAAATCTCAATAACTACCACTCACCATCTACCACCAACCACCTACCGCCCGACCCCTATCTCATCAATCATTCTCAGATACTAAGCCGCAAAGCAGGAAAGTCATGACTACGGTAAGCAATAGAACTACCTACTCCTCGGCGCCACTGCTACGTCTTTCGTAAATTACTTGCTAACATGTCTTACAGTCTCCTCTGCTTGCGCTCCCGCGGGAGCTCCGCGATATGATATGGGGCTTCGCTCTCGAGGAAGATCCACTCGAGCCAGGATACTTCGAGGCCCTGGCCCGGGGTCGGTCCGAAAACCCGTACCCGTATCCCGAGAATCGACCTGCACTCCCGCGGGAGCTTCGCGATATGATCTCGCGCTACGCTCTCGAGGAGGATCCACTCACGTCACGATCTTCCACCGCCCTGGCCGAGGGTCAGTCCGAAAACCCGCATCCCGAGAATCGACCCTTCACTACCGTGAAGGCTCTCCTGGATCACCTCCCTGCCCTCTGCCACACTTCCTCCCAGGTCTTCGAAGAAACGACACCATTCTTCCTTTCCAACCAGACTATCGTCCTCAACAACACCCGCGAGATCGTCGCACTAGTCCTGCTCCTCAAGTGTATTCCCAACGAGGGCTTCAACGCCATTCGGCGTCTGCAGCTTGGAGGCGAAAATATCCTGCACCGATGGCGCGGCGCGAACATAGACTTCACCATCCTGCAGCTCTTCCCGAAGCTCGAAGCCGTCTTCCTCGATATTAGCAAGTGCTGCTTCGAAGAGCTGTTCGAACCGGCAACGGACTACTGGTATGTCCTCTTATACCTCGACAGAACTTCCGAAAAGCTGAACTTGAACGGCCTTTTCGAGTGCACTTTGAAGGAGGTTGTCGTCGTCCACGACGGTCGAGGCAACTACTCCGCCTATCTCAATGGGATTCTGCTTGCCCCAGGTGCGACGCAGGTCGAGGATGATGCGGGTGAGCCGACGAAGCTGGCGCACTGGATACAGAGCCAGTTTAAGGAGAAGGGCCGGGAGGTCAAGGCTACGACGGGGGAAGCTCCGTACTGGAGGCCTCAGTTTGATGAGGAGACTCGCGGTCCGACTATGCAGGAATTTCACGGATTTGCTGCTTTCTGGCCTTCTAATTGACGGCGATGCGAGCAGGGGCGTCTTCCAGGTGAATTGAAATTGGAAGGTTCACAAACTGGCAATTGCCTATATAGCAATTAGCTCCAGGGATATGAGAGTGGGAGGATCCATAATTGACGCTTAAGTGTATGGGCGTGCAATGCTATACTTCAAATCTGTGTACACTCGTCTGCCGCTGCATGGGGTGCACCCAGACGCTTTGGAGAGTGCATAGTAGTAAGCTAATAGCTTAGTAGCTTGCCTACCAGTAGAAACAGGCCGACATCCGCGCCTACTCGAACAGCACCTACTCCAAATCCAGTCTCACCACCCTCAACCCCCAAAAGAGCGAATCCGACAAATGCCCCAAGCTAGAGATCGAGATTACCCCCCACAAGTCCATCACCGACAACTTCCCACCCCTGTGCCACGTCTCCCAGCAGCTGCGCGAGGAAGCCACATTCCACCTCCTCCGCGGTCCCAAATGCTCGTGCTGAACAGCGGCGCGGCCATCGCCGCCCTAACCGCGTACCGCGACAGCGTGCCCAACAACGCCGCATTCGCCGCGATCCACGACATCCACTTCGGCGGCCACGACATCCTCTACCGCTGGCTCGATCAGGGTTCTGCGTGGGGTCCCGGGCCGCGGAACCCAGACTTCGCCCTCCTCGCGCGCTGCCCGCAGCTCGCGTCCGTCACGTTCGATATCAGCACCTGCATCTACCAGCACCTCGTCGAGATGTTTGTAGACGAGTGGTTCATTGTGCGTGGGCATATAGAGATGATCGAGAAGCTGGACCTGGGGGTATTGTTTGAGTGCCGTGGGTTGAAGAGGTGCGCTTTGTTCATGAGCGCGGGAACGAGTGGTTGGGGGTTCCGTATTTCATGTGGGATGTTCTTGCACACGGCCGTCCTTATGCTCAGAGGATTGATTCGGATGAGCATGTCCCGAAGGACCTGATGACGTGGATACAGGGGAAGTTTGCTGAGCCGGGTTTACGGGTGACCGTAGTGGCTGAGGCGAAGCAGGATGATGACTAGGGAGAGGTTGTAGGTACCAAGGCGAGGTATTTGGGCAGGTTTTGGCTAGCACTAGGGTGCTAGTGTGAACGGAAGCTCGAGGCTAGATAGTAGGTTCCGAATCTGGCAGAATTGATCAAGTATACGGGCTGCGCGGCTGATACAGTGAGGCCCCAGAACTCCGCGTGGACGGCGAACCTGCGGGAGCAAGGCTGTTGATTCGATGGAACGGTTCTGAGCTGCTAGAAGCCATGGAGCGCCTTGGTAGAGCGAATGGCTGCGATGATGTCGCAGTCTTGAGTTCTTCGATAACATTTAGGAATTCTAGTCGGTCTACATGATTTTCTGTAAGCAATGAGGAGTAACATTTGCGAATATGAGAACTTACGTGGACTATCTTGGAACGTTAACCCAATCTCAGAGTGGTTTTCTCGTTGCTCGTGATGATGTCGGGAGCCCTTTAGCTCTTTTGCCGAAGCCTGCGGTTGGCTCGCTGTCATCTTTCCAATGTCAAGAAGCGAGCCTCGGACTTTGTTGGATATAGTCAGGGTAGCATCTGCCGTCGAGGACGTCGAGATGCTTGTCATTTGGTTTACTGTGAAACCGTGAGTACTGGCGCTCGGCACATGCAAAGGAACCAACATACTAGTAGCCGTGGTCCAGAGCTTTTCGCCTTCCGTGTGGCTTCGGAAGGTGATCTGAGCTAAGGTACGTTTGTCTGAAGGAGTATTTACTAGTTTCTCCCACAGCAAAACGTCTGACGGGCCGTGTTTCTTTCTCCGCGGTGTCGGCCACCGCTTTGATTCTTTCGGGCGGGTTGTGGCGAAATATTTCAAAGTCCAACCGGTTAGTGCGGAGAGAAAGGCGACAATACCTATACACACATCAGCTACTATAACGAGATTAGTGGCGTCTATTCTCACCGGTTGTAGGATAAGGCAGAGTTGGCATAGGTCCTAGGGGAAAAGCGACATTCAAGGAAGTTTTGAGTTGCAACGCCTGCTTGAATCGCCCTACTTTGTCATGATCGACAGCTGGTTCACCTCTAACATCGGAATGATAAGTTGGCGTAGCTATGTTGGCTATTGTTAAGCTCATTTGATAGTCGCGACTTGGTGCACGAGGATCGCCCTCGGCATCGCATCCACGAAGGTCTAGATCTAGATCCTTGTACCGAATGTAAAGCTTGGAGGTATCAAAACCAGAGGGTGTATGGGTGGTAATGATTGCTATTCGATAATCAAGTATTCGGGAAGCGGCTATCTTTCTGCCTACATCGTAGATTCGAGCCTCTTGTGATGGTGATATCTCGACATCCACGCCGCTCCGGACAATAACACCATCTTCAATGGGGAATCGCAGACGACTGATGAGTTTGGAAGCATCTAGGATGATAAGTCGGCGGTCTTCGGGGTTAAAAAGGGGGCTTACCGATGCGATCTGCGAAGGTTAATGTCAATGTGTTATTGGGATGAAGTGGGTCATACATCTGAAGAAATTAGTACGGCATCAGAGAGGAAGAATATAAAAATGAATTGCATACCCAATCATACTGCTCGCCATAGTTACCTAAGATAGGTCAGTCGAACTCTAGGTGGGACTTGCGGAGATCCACTTGAGATTGCGTCTTACCGATTGTCTTCGATCTCATCTGATTGCAATCCGACCACGAGATAGTGACTTGGTCGCCGTCGACTCGATACGTAATATCCGCAAGAGGAAGCCCTAATTCTTGCGATCAGAAAGATTACAGTAGGATGGAAGCCATAGCAGACGTACAGAACGAATGGCAATGCCTTCTTGCGGGAACTCCGGTCGAATGACTTACGACAAGTCGTCGTGTCACCCACTCTATTTGGGGCATCTGTGCTTGCTCTTTGGAGCCGTTGTGACGGTTTGATTTTAGATCTCTCGCAGGAGTTTCATAAATTTGTACTCGAAGCTCAGGTACCTCGCATCGTGTGCAGATATCTGTTGCGGCGTCATTTCCATCGTCCTTCAAGAAAGAGGTGATGACCGCGTTGAATATATGCTGCTCCTCAGGCTGTCGAGCACATAGACATTCTACCTCAAAGCTTGCTGGCGGCGGGATTGGAGAAAGTGGGAAGGACACTACTGAGTCCATTGGCGGCGACATGGATTGGAGTTGCGATGCTCTCGAGCTCTGGCGAGAAATAGTAGACCCTTGAGCTGAGGAAGTCATAGTAGCATCAACGCTAAGACGGTTGGGCGCTTGAGTTATTGTGACCGAATTCTTTCCACTGCCGCCCCGAGAGTGCCTCGGAGCCTTCGGTGATATTGATCGTTCCCGAGACGATTTACTGCCGGGTGATATCGAAGTGGGTTTCCTGGCGACGTCTGAGAAGCCAAAGGCAGTGCGAGGAGCGATGCTGGATATCCCCAGGCCAGCGACCGGCTCAGTGGACAACGTAGGACTGTCCAGCATATCATTAGATACGACACTATCAAACCTTGTACAGCATGGTCCGATAAAGGACTCCGATGGAGTACGCCCGTGTGAGTGCTGGTGGATCATGTTGAGGATCTGTTCGGCCGTGGGTCTCTTTTCGGGATCTTCTCGAATCTAAAAGATTGTAAGAACGTGGATTGACAGTTCATCCAGCATTGCGAAAGCCCTGTATACACTTATTCTGCACTGCTGGGGCTAGTTCGATGATTTCCAAAATTTATCTATATGCGTAAGATAGCTCTTCTCAAATAGTTATAGAGCGCGCCTGGTGCGGGCCACGCTAATTAAACAGACTGGGGTGCGTTTCCTCCAGAATTTGGCAATAAATTCAAGGCTTCGGCCAGTGGAAGTATGTATGCACAGACCTTGCCGATGTAGAATCTTGTGTGAAATAACGTACCATCATAGTTACCCAGTCAAGCGGGGCATCATCCGGAGAGCTACTTCGGATATCGTCGAGCCACAGCTTGATCTCTTTCGGGGCGCTCCAAAACCCCTGCGTGCTCGTCCCTTCGCTGACTCGTGACAAGAATTCGTTCATATCGTCAAGAGCGTATCCTTTGATGACGGTAATCATTTCCAGGAAAACAGTACCTAGAGACCAGATGTCGGAAGATTCGTTCCTACTACCCTGGCCGATGACTTCGGGTGCGCAGTACCTGCGAGTATAGCGAAACACGGTACCTTCAGTTGTGCTGTGTTCGTCTATTGACCAGTCTCGCGATATGCCGAAGTCGCACAGGTATATGCGTCCTCCTCCGCTGATCAGCACGTTTCCGGGCTTGATGTCTTTGTGTCGCACTCGCTGGTCGTGCAGATATGAGATTGCTGTAGCCAAACAGCCAAAGGCAGCTCTCAGACATAGCACTTCTTCAGGTGGAAGAAGATGGTCCTTGTCTTGGCGTAACAGGACAGCCTTCAGGACTTGATCGGCAACGGGATTCAGGATCAGAGAGAATGAGTCGAAATCTGTATAGCTACCGACGTAACTGACTAAGTGCCTATGGTGCACGCGTTGTAGAACAATGAGTTCTTGCTCAAATTCAACAAGCTGATGCCGCTGTTCCTTGAAAGTTCTGCCACGAGCTATGCGTTTGCAGGCGAAGTACTTGCCTGTCAGTTTGTGCCGTACTCGTCCTACTTGAGCAGAACCGCCATGGCCGAGCTCTTCCAGCTCCTCGAAGTGCGCTTTGCCTTGTATAATATATCGGTGGGTATGGACGCCAGAGAGAAAGTTTGACTCGTTCATAAGCTCTGGTTTGGAAAGGACATAAGGCTGCAGACGTCGAAACTCATTTATGGATAGACCACTTGTGGCGAGAGGTGGTCCAGATAGATAGCGCGTCGATAGAGGCAGCCATACGTCTCCGATCTGCTCACGGACAAATACAAGGAAGACACTGCCGTCCTCGACATGGCCGAGCATGCGGAGAAGAGTATAAGTCCTCGGATTACGACTCCATTTTTGGATGGCATCATCAGGGTGCTGAGCCAGGAGATCCTTGATTTCCAGGAAGACGGTGTCGTCTATGAATTGCGGAAGGGGGTCCCTTGGGATCCAGTGGGTGAGCAGGTCCCCAATATCATCGCGGGCATGATCGTCCATGTCTTCGTCGGCGTTTCGGTATGTTCAGCCGCTTGTACTGGTAGTTGGACATCGGGCAAGGCCTCTTGCTCCAGTGTTGAGGACAATCGAGCAAGAACAAGAATGAGGTTCTCCCCGCGTCCCAGCTTGTGATGCCCGAGGCGATGAGGGACCTCGGGGAGGCTGTGCGCCGTGTGGCGGTCGTAATGTTGCAGCCTCACTGAACGCATGCGTGTTCCCGCATCACGGAATCAGCCAGGATGACAGCAGGCTGCATTTGTACCACATACCTCGTGTTTGACAAACCGCCACCGATGCCAATCACCTGCCGCACTCACCAGATATGCTCACCGGTGAGAACAAGGCATACAATGCCTTGCCATAGGAATCTCACCTCCCTGCCACTATCTATGGGGCTCCAACGTACTAATAGAAACGGATACACTTCCAATCTGCGTACTCCCCATTGACGCTGTCTGGGGTAGCCTCGCGAGCTTACCAGCCGTCTAAAATGCCAAACTTCTCTCGCATTTGGAACGCTGAAAATACTACAAAGGTATGAAGCTCCTCATGCAGTGGTAAACGAGTGTACGGAATCCTCTGATGAGGCACTGCAAGGCGGTGGCTCAAGTCGTTCAATCCGAGCTGACAGCACGTGAGCGGGAACTGTTGGGCTGCATATGATTTGCACAGCCTATCGAGCTTGGTTGCGTGTTGAGCACGCGGTACTCGGGGGCCGGAACCCGCAAGGCGTACTCCGCCCTGTCTTGGACACATCTCAATACCGATTGCTTCCTTTGCTCTTATAGTCACCCTGCCTTAATTTTCCTTACACCGCGCCTGTAAACAGACGTTGACTTTTGCACGATGATGTCCAGCATGCGTTCCCACATCTCAGCTACTGAAGGAGCCGGCAAGCCAAGGGGCGGGGAACGTCCTGATCGGGTGCTAGCGCAGCCCTTTTCGGGATGGACCCACAAAACCATGACCGACAGCATCGACGACTTCTTGAAGGCGTCGAAGCTCGATGACTATGCCCACTACATCCGCAAAGGTGCTTTTCTAGCACAATCGAAAGCTGCATTTCCCAAAGACCGGGAGCGGTCTGACGGCCTCACCCTGGAGCCTACCGAACGGCACTACCTCGATCTGGAATATAGCACCAGGAAGATTGACACATTCAAGCAGCCATGGAGGCTCTATATCCTCATAGCCTGTTGCTCGCTGGGCGCCGCTGTCCAGGGCATGGATGAGACCGCTGTCAATGGAGGTGAGAGTCATGAAATAGATACGACCATCTCGAGGTTATCCCAGTGTCTAGTAATAGCTGACACGCTTTGATTTCAGCCCAGATATACTATCAAGAAGCCTTTGGCATCGCCGGTAAAGATGGCTGGATTGGCTTACTCAATGGTGCTCCATATCTATGCTGTGCACTTTCCTGCTGGTAGGCCTTCTGCTTCTATTTTCACGACTAGTACGCTGACACCCCTTAGGCTCAACTATCCTCTAAACAGATTATTGGATCGTCGAGGTGTCATATTCTTGACTTGTTTCATAAGTTCTGCAACGTGTCTTGGTCAAGCGTTCCCTCAAACATGGAAGGTATTTCGCCATAACCTCACCGCGGGTCTTTGTCGTCTCTTTCCGCTCAATATTTGACCTTGATAGCAATTATTCCTTGCCAGGTTTCTGCTTGGATTCGGCATTGGGCCGAAGAGGTAGGTGGCTTTTTTATTTCAGATGGGATACATGTAGCTGACTTAGGAACTCAGCGCGACGATTCCGATCTATGCTGCAGAATGTGCTCCGGCGAACGTCCGCGGTGCTCTAGTCATGATGTGGCAGATGTGGACTGCATTTGGTCAGTGGCCTTCAGGCCCTCGTCCTCAGAATTTTATATTCTAATGCTTTGCAGGGATAATGCTAGGATATATTGCAGGTGTAGTCCTGGCTGGTGTTAGGGACGGCAACAATCCGGAAATATGCATCGTCGACCCAAAAAACGCCAACTACCACCGATCAATGCTACTGACCGCACGATGCAGCTTGAATTGGCGCTTGATGCTTGCTAGTCCGGTAATAAGAAGACCCCAATGTATGGAATCGTAACAGGCTGACAGTTTGTAGATGGTATTGCCGCTGATCGTTGTGGCATACGTCTATTGCTTGCCTGAGTCACCTCGATGGCTTCTGATGAGAGCAAGGCAAGGGAATAAGGCCAAATATGAGGAAGCTTTCCTATCGCTATGCAAGGTACACCTCAAAATACCGCACCAGCATTGTGTTGCTCAGCATCTGACTCTGATTTCAGCTTCGCCACACCAAACTGCAAGCCGGACGAGATCTATTCCTAATCAACCATCTTCTCAAAGGCGAAGAAGAAATTACGAGGAATAATAAGCCATTTACAGAGCTCTTCACATTGGGACGTAACCGCAGAGCTCTCACGGCTAGTGTCATTGTAATGTTCCTTCAACAGGTAGAGAACCTATAGCCCCATCAATGCTCGTCATACTAATAGTCTATAGTTCTGCGGAGTAAATGTTACTGCTTATTATTCCAGCTCCATTCTCGTACAATATGCCGGTTTTAGTAATCGGAATGCTCTGCTGGTAAGTCAGCACGTTTAAGTCATTGCATATAGAATACAACTATCTGTAAAATTGCTAATACACACAGTATAATAGGTTTCAATGGGCTTTGGCATCATAAATTTCCTCTTTGCCATTCCCGCCATTTGGACCATTGACACGTTCGGCAGGTAAGCGGCACCTAAAAAATGTTCTTGTAGGCTTTAAGCTGATATATCGACTAGACGCAACCTACTCCTCTCGACGTTCCCCTTTATGGCCCTCTTCCAGATACTCATGTGCATCGCGTTTCGATTCCGAAAGGGCTCCAATGCTCAAACAGTAATTGCAATTCTGGCCATGTATCTATTCGGCGTGGCATACAGTCCCGGTGAAGGGCCTGTGCCTTTCGTAAGCCTTGTCTAAACTACTTTCGCTTGGAAATCGCTAACAAACGCCCCTAGGTTTACTCCGCAGAATCAATGCCCCTCTACAATCGAGACTTTGGTAAGCCCCTTCTCTATCCCTCATAATCCAATCAGGACTAACCCAAAACACAGGAATGGGCATCGTAACATCCGTCTTATGGTTCTTTAACTTCTTCCTCTCAATTACCTGGCCCAAATTCGTCACCGCCTTCACTGCCTCCGGCGCCTTCGGCTGGTACGCCTGCTGGTGCGTTATCGGGTGGTGGATGATTCTCCTCTTCGTCCCAGAAACGAAAGACCTCACACTCGAGCAACTCGACCAAGTCTTCCAAATCTCGACGCGCGAGCACGCGGCCCATGGACTTTCTCAGCTCATGTGGTTTATCCGGCGATATATGTTCAGGAGGCGGGGAATCAAGAAGCCGATTTTCATCCACAAGGAGGACCCGGATGAGGTGTATATGACGGGGGGAAGTGGCTATGAGGAGGTAGAGGAGGAGAAGTCGGTTGGGGCGTCGACGGGGGTGATGATGCATTAGTCGATGATGTGGTGCAAAGGCCACAGTACCAACTCTCATTCACGCTCTTTAGGATTTCATATTTCGTCCGCTTTTTTGTTGATATGCCGATGACCCTGAGGCTGCGATTCGACACTCTGCGCAATTCAATGGCTAGGTATTCCGGGTAGCTCTCATGAGCTTTAGCTTGCCTCATGGTAGATATCCTTCTCTTCTCTCCTCACCCACTCAGGCTAGTAAACTAGCCGACTCTTAGGTCTTCTATATGCGTACATACATCTATTTTTTACTTCTCAAATAGTCTAGCGAGCTTGCGAGTTATTTGAGATGCTAGACTCATCTCATGTCACTCAGGTTCCTGTAAGCATGTTGAAACACCGAAGACAATATTGAGTAAATGTGTGCGGTACGTAACGGACGTATGTATTTCATTGAGCCAGCACGCTATAGCAATGGAACGTACGAACAATACGCACAATCATCTCTCGTACAAGCCCTCTAGATCCGCGTCATCACCCTTCTCCTTCTCCGGCAACGTCAGCGAGCTCACGCTCTTCTTCGGCGCGCCTAAGTCACTCGCACCTGGCGCATTACCATACCTCTTCTTCAGCGCGCTCAAGTCCTTCTCACACGACGCATTCCCATACCTCGACTCCAAGCCCCAATACTCCATATCCGTATCCTCCGCGCACATATTCGCTTGCGGCGTATCCATCCGCCTCCCCTCGGAAACCTAACCACCACATCCATCAGCTATCTCCAACCCATATCCAGTATCTCAGCTCACTCGCCTCATCACCACTTCCCTCATCACCACTTCCCTCATCACCACTTCCCTCATCACCACTCCCCTCCCCCTCCTCGCTTTCATGCGGATAGAAGTCCCGCTCCACCTTCTGCCCATTCCCCTGTCCCGCATCCCTCCCCTTCAACACAGCCACCCGCAACGCTCTCACCTCCATAAACCCGCCTTTGCGTTTCATAGGCGAAGCCGCTTCCTCAATATCCGCGTTGACGTCCTCGTACTCGTCGCGCAGTCGCGCTTGTTTCTGAAGGGTCTTTTGCAAGTCGGCTTTCATTTTTTCATAGAGCTCCAGATCCGCCGCTCTATCGGGATCGGTGGTTTGCTGCGGGATGGCGGTTGAGGAGGAGTCGGGTAGGTGGGCTGCGGACTGGGAAGTTGTGGGCCAGAGGGGTACTGGGGGGGAGTTCGGGATGGAGGGAGCTTTGGGTGGGCGTTCGGCTGGCGAGGAGTGTTGGGGGACTTCTTGGTCTTGGCCGGGTCCAGGCTTAGGGCGAGTCGGGGTGGATTTGGTAGGGCGTTCGCGAGATGCGGGTTGGAGGAAGTAGTCGATGTTTGTGGGCATTTTGGTCGTGGGGAAGGGGGGAGGATGGGGGTTGTAATTGTTTGGTATGAGTATTGGGGTTATGAGTGTGTGTTAAAGCGATGAGTATGTGTATTGGGTTTGTGAGTATGAGTGGTAAGGGTGAGGATGGGAGGAAGGGATGTATTAGAGGCGGGCATGCCTGCCATGCTGCCACTCGTGGAATGCACTTCCCTCGTCTCCATGAATCTCAGCCGGTTTCGCATCCATTGGTAGCGTAGGTATCTCTAGAGTGCCCTCAGATTACAATAATATGTCACAGATCCGTGTACGCCTTTCTGCCGCTGCTTGAGACTCCTCGATGCATTATAGAGACCTTGAATTTTGTTAATTGGAACATTCAGTAAGCTTGCCAGACCACCTCAGACAGTGGCTGATGGAAGTACACACTTGGTCGTGTTGTTCCTCGCTCCAGATTTCTATGGTCCTGTTGGAGCACCCCAAGCAGTAGCAGGACAGTGTACAGTACATAGATCAATGACGAGGCACTGTATGATCATATAATGAGAGAAATATCATGATATTTTGATTATGTTGAGAACTCACCGCATGATACCATACCATTCAGCATGGTATATCCTCAAGTCAAGCCTAGCACACCCAAGGCAGTCGCACGGATCAAGAAGATCCCTCAGTATGAGAAGAGCCCTACCAATCCATCCCTTGAAGCATTTGTGTGGGTGCTAGGATGTAGCAGCTGTAGCGCCCATAGCCTTCACTGCCACCAGCACTGGAAGGACTTGATCCTGTCATTGTAGTTCCAAGCCCCCAAGTTCGCGATATTCTCGGAGGTATACAATGGAGTGCCGAGAGCCACACAGCCTGTGTGACTAGTTTTGGACATCGGTCAGCCTTTACTCAGACAAGTACAAGGTGTTGTTGACTTACTCATAGAAGGTGCACCAGGCAGCTCGATGGCTGTCGCCCGTGAACTGAATCGAAGAGACGCAATCTTCGCAGCTGTTTCAGAAGTCAGGATGACGGGAATAGATATATTGGGAGTAGTGGGCAGTTCTTACGGAGCGGCGAAGCAGCGTCCCATGGCGTCGTCGGCACCTCCATACCACCATTGACCTCTGAAATTCGTATCCCGATAGAACCGGAGCTGGGAAGAACAAAGTATTAGCTTGGGTTTTGGTAACGTGGATAGCGTTTCGAGGCCAGTCTGACGGTGGCTTACGATTGCATTGACACCCTGGACGGCCTCAGTGCTGGCCGTGCCCGGGATAGCAGCGCCGGCGACACCTCCAGCCCAAAGAGCGGTGACGGCAGAGAGACCGAGTCCGAGTCCGTGGAAGTGCATGGTGTTGATTTGGTGTTGATTGGTAGCTGTGTAGCTTGCTTGAGGTTGATGATTGGTGTAGGTGTGGTGAAGTTTAAGAGAAGGATGTGTAGAGGAAGAAGGTGGGTTGAAGGAGAAGTGGATTGAACACATATAAGTGATGACCACAAGAGTGGCCAATATAAATATAGATACCTAGTAGCGGTGAAGAGACATGAATTCGTATCAAACACTCTGCCCGTATGTACACCTATCTGCCACTACATGAAGTGCTTCAACAAATTTCCACATAGCCCAAGGCGAAGAGCTTTTAACTTCTCTGGATTCCTGAAAATACATTTTAGCAACCCAAGCAGTGGAAGACAGGTGTACAAAGAGACAGCTTGTTCTAGAATTAGTTTGCCACCTTTTCCATGACCTCGTGCCGTCTAAGGTGGCTTCACGAGGTAACCAGATTCACAGCAGTGTTCGAAAGCTACTTCAATGTCCTCTTCACAGACCTTACATACTACTCACAGGGTCGACTAGTCCCTGATCCACCCCAAACAGTGGTAAAGAGGTGCAAACTAACAAAAGACACTCGCTCTCCTTCTCTCATTATACCGTCGCTCACTCAGCGGAGCACTTGACACTACTAATCTGATCATTCCACCCAAACATTCCGAGGGCATAAACAGGCTTCTCAGTCGTCAGGGTCCTCCCTGTGCAGCCTCCATTCCTATTGAAAATCGTAGTTAGCACGTGCCGCTTCAAGAAGAGGATGAAAATTGAGGGAGCTGTCACGTCAGCTTGACTTACGAGTAGAACGTGCACACAGAGCCCTTGATAGGAACCACGGAGCTCGCCTTATCGTTCCTGCATAGAGCATTAGCATGTGACAAGAAAATCTCGAGATTCGGAGGCTCCGAAGTCGGAGCATCCTCCATCTACATACATAGAGCCATCGACGTTGACACACTTGTTCAGGGCATCGTAGTAGGTGCAAGCACCGTTCAAGTTTGTATCTTTGCACATATACACCTATCGAGAAGTTATTAGTATCTATTCGCGGCTCTGCCGCGTCTTCGCTAAGTCTTGACTTACGCTGCCAACAGCATCGCGTTTGAGCTGGGCCAGGGCATGTAGATGCTCATGGCGGTAATGAGGAGCTCCGCCAACCAGGGCGGTAATTTGGAGAATAACCCAAGATATTAGGAGAATAACAGATTTCATGATGCTTGGATGGAGGGTGTGAAAATCGTTCAACGCTTTGGCGGGACGTGGATTATGTATTGATGTATTCTGTTGCGGATGTGGATGTGGATTTTGTAGGTTTGAGTTGCTGCTATATAATATTTCCTACACTTGTATACCTAACCTACTTCACAGTGACAGCGCACTATGTAGCGTAGCTATTGCCTTCGTGTTCGGCTAAGTGAAGCATCGAAGCTCGCTACACATGATGGTCGTAGGAACCCCGATCATACCCGAATGTCTTCACTGAAAACGTATAACAAGACCATAAGCTTATGCAAAGAATAGGTATGGTGATACAGTACCTTGCCCAAGATATCCATACACTTTTCTGCCACTGTCTGCGGAGCTTCAACGTATTAACAGAAGCCGTAGACAGGTACACCCTGTTGACGCCGCCTGAGGTAGCCTTGCGGGTTTATCAGTTGTCCACATGCCGAACTTCTCTCTTATTTAGAATGCCTGAAAATACTACGAAAGTCCTCATGCAGCGGTGACCGAGTGTACGGATTTCTATGGTACGGATTTCTATGGCGAGGCATTGTACGTCACAAAGCAAGTACAGAAGTAGATATAGAAATGAGATGATTTGAAATTTCATTGGATGCTACCAATTAATTGGTCCAGTGGCAAGCCACAAGTCTTTGTAAGCTTGCTTGACACTGCTTGAGGTGCCCGCATGGGGCTTACAATTCCAGGCGCGATGTCAAGTTCCACGCCTTGGAGTTTAAGCAGCCTCCTGACTGACCGACTTCATGGCAACGGGGCTACTTCCGACAGTGGCGTCTAGCTTCTAAAGACGGTCCTTAAGCAGTCGGATATCCGTGTGCCCAGACCTGTGGCCTAGCCCTGTACAGTTCGTAGTCGTAGATATTCGCACACTATTTCGCCACCGCTTGTAGTGCCTCATGGGATCTGATTGTTGGCGGAAAGCCATGTAAAGTAGAGAACTCTTGTGTATTATCTATGTAGGAAGAGGGGCATATATAGGGTTTCTAGAGAGGTACGCTAGCAGACAGGATCTTCGAAAATCCAGGGCAGCGGATCACACTTCCAATCTGTGTACACCCCTCTTCCGCTGCTCGGGGTAATTCATGAGTTTCCTTGTTGTTCAAAGGACGGGCCTTCCGTCAGAACCGTGAGTTTGAAAATACCACGAGATACCACAAGCAGTGACAGAGAAGTGTGCGGATGTCTATGACGAGCTACAGCGCCTAGAGTCACCATGTCGAACCGTCGTCCAAAATAACAGCTTTATCTTTCTTACTCGGTTTGCCCTTCCTTGCGTCCGCATACTCATCGAACGCAGTCTCTCCATCAAGTTTCCAGTTCCAGGGATTCGAGGCTTGCGTGGAGGTTGCGTCGATACGATTTGCCTGGTAATCTCCATAATCCTCCTCGTCGTCATCAATGTCCCCGATGTCTTCAATGACGATATTGCGGCCGGAGACTGGTCCAAAGCCATATGCAAAGAACTTCTGAGCCCTTGCCAACCTCTCCTGCTTCAATCGCAGAACATCTCCAGGAGCCATGGACGTCTCGGCTACTGCGCGGCGTTTCTTTCCTTGAGTTCCCGTTGACAGGTTGTTGAGAAGGAAATTCTGCGTGTCTTCGGCCGTTGACCCAGTCCAATCAAGATGAAGGACATAACAAGGAAGGATCTGAGCCGAGTTGAAAACGATATACGCATTTCCGGGCGCGCTGACATGACTATCGGCTCCAGGGTAGGGCTTATCTCGACTCCACCAGTTATCTTCGTGTTCGATTACCGCCGCTCTACCCATGACCACTGCAGATACAATCAACTTCATCCCCGGAAGTGCTGATGTCTTTGTGCTTTCGGACTGGCCTCCGCTGTAAAGCATAGCGTACGCAGGATCTGGAGACGAGTATATGCCCATTCCATAGAGACTGCCATTGTGAACAATAAGGGGCTTTTTGGTGATTGGATGTACGTCTCCGGGTTTAAGAAAGCCGCATCGAACGATGGAAGGGACAAGATCTCGTCGGGTTCCATGAAAGCTGATTCGGGGCTTGATCAGATACTCAATGAGTTGCTCTTTGGAAGCTTCGCTGCTGCCCCTCAGCCGACGGTGCTCGATGGGAACAGAAGACTTCAATTGACTATAGGTGTATTTGCTGAGATTCTTCCGCATTTCCTCTCGGTTGAGTAGAAAGTTAGTTTGAAGGTCATTCCTGAGGATGTTTTCGCAGTGTAAGATTCTCCAATCTGGCAATATGTCGTGGAAGATTTGTGCAGGAGTTTTGCCGAGAATGTGGGTGGCGCAGTCTTGGACACTGTCTAGATTCACCCCCTTAAATTTCAGTTTAGGGTCAAGCAAGGTGTTGATGTTCTTAACCTTGTCAAGATCCCAGTATTGGCCGGAGGATTGCCGATACTCTTGAATGTGTGAAGTTGCCTCTTCCACCATCTGCAAGACAATCATCCCGGCATCAAACCTCGTAAGGTTCATGCGGTCATCATCCAGTTTGTGCTGTAGTAATTCCCGGAGGGAAACACGGATGGGATCGATGGTTTTCCTTGGCAAATCGCGGTTGTCGATGTGGCATTGCATGGGATGATCTAAGTGCTCCAGATTCACCAAAATCTTGAGATCGAACTCGTGGAAGCCGAACGTAAAATGAGAGGTGTGAACGTAAGCCCTTAATATTACCTCGGGCGGAAGTCTGAAATCGACATCGCGAATGATCTGATCGATAATGAGGTGGCCTGTTCGAGACAAGCTGGACATGTCTTCAGCCCCATCGTCATCGCTTTCATCGGAATCGTAGTCCTCAGACCAGGATGGGGTGGAGTAAGTTTCGGAGCCCATTGCTGTAGGCGTGGTAGTGAGTGCAGCGTTGAAGGGCAAATGCGAAGAATTCGAGGTGTGTTGATTGTGCGTTGAATGTGAGCCAGAATGATGGGGTGTGGTCTAATTTATGTGCTGCCTGAGGTGAGGGCTGGTACCCCTGTGGCTGAGGTGAGGTGAGGCTGTGAGTCACGACGCTAGAACAGTCAGAGGTAGTATCAAGCCACAGGAAGTATGTCCACTGGAGATGAGATTGTGGCTCGTTAAAATGTTGAAGAAAATGGTATCATGTTGAAAGACGATGAAAGAGGTGGGTGAAACAATAAGAGTCGGCAGGACTTGGAAGGCCCACGACGTCCACTAGAAACTTCATGCTTAGACGAACCAGCCATATCTGACGTGGAAGGGTGGACGATAATTAAGAGAGGCCACAAATAGGTGCCAAATCCAAATGCGAGAATGGGGTTTGTGCTGCAGGTAGCTTGCCTGGTCAGAAGTTTGCGAAGTTGTCAGGGCTTCTACCTTTCGCGTCCTACCTTGTTTCAAGACGGCGCTGGTAGTTTTTTCGGTTTCAATCAGTAATATCAGTAGCTAACACAACTCTAACTGTCTAGTTGATCGATGAGATGGGTTGCTGTCAGAAGATGTGGTGGCTAGATGATGGATTGGCGTTCGTTTTAACAAATCGAGATGCCGATGTAGAATAGTCCGGGCAGTATACCTGGCAGGCTGCGCAAACGCAACAGCACTACCACGTCATGCTAGCATTCTAGCCATAGCTCTAGAGATTACTTATTTCCATGGAAGATTCATTCTAGAAGCTCAGTCAATCCCCGCAAGTGTCTGAAGCAAAGAAAAACCTCGAAAAGGCCTGGTCACGTGATATCTTACAATTCTTGAACCTCTCCAAACATGATTTCCTCAGACCAACAAACTGTTCCACAGCGAAATGATCACGTTGCTCAAGTTGAAGAGGGGGCCGAAATGTACCTCACACCGCTCAGGAGATGCTGCGGATGCTGGCAGTATCTTACTAGCACTTACAGCTCCATCCAATACTGCCTCCATTGCGGGCATATCTTGTGTCAGAGCTGTACCTACGGCTAAATGAAATGCTATCCTTTCTCTAAAATCTGTAAATGGTTCTGGATACGTATTTTTGACATCTGCGTACGAATTGCCTCGTAATCGCAAAGCGGTGATCTCAAGCAAGCAGTTGTCGCAAAGAAAGAGATATCCTCCACGCACGATTGGATTAACATTAATTCTACACAGCCTCGATGGAATCGCATTCGCCGCATCGAAAACGGCTAGAATGAAGGGAGGACTAATGAGCCAATCACAGCTCTGATCAACAGCCGGGAGTCCGCCTCGTGTCTTTCAACACCAAAAGTCAACCTTGCTCTTCATCCATCACAATGAAAACATGGCGGTGGCTCTGCTCACACCACCAGCATCCACCACATCCATAAACCGCTATAAATGCCCACTGAGATCCATCACTAACCCTCCAAATCCACTAACCCAGCCAGCAAGGCATCCCAATCTCAAACGCTGCCAGCAACCATGACCTCCAACTTCGACGACAAATCGCACTCCCCCTCCCCCATCGACCTCGCCCTCATCCCCCCCACCGAGAAAGCCGAGCTCCACTCCTCCGCTGTCTCCATCACCTCCGCTTCGACCGCTCTCACAACCTCCTCTCCCTCCACCTTCATCCCCGCCTCCTCCCTCCATATCTCCACCCGCGGCATCCCCATCCTCCGCCTCCCGCTCCCCCCCTCCTCCCTCACCACCACCATCCACCGCCCCGACGGCTCCCTCGCCTACACCTCCACCCGCCGCTCCGGCTCCTGCGTCCTCGCCGACGCCACCTCCACCCCCCTCATCACAACAACCTACTTCTTCGGGCCCGGGCGCGATCCCGTCCTCACCCTCCTCGCACCGGGCCGCGACCCCGCCGAACCCGCCACAAGCACCATAACAACGACCTCGAAGTGGACGTCCCGCGCGCAGACATTTGCGACGGGCGACGGGCCGACGTGGGAATGGGCGTATGTGCGCGAGCGCGTACCAGCTCCCGACGACGGTACCAACGACGCTGCTCGGAGGAAGAAGGGCGGCAAGGTTGTGATTCTGGCGCTTTACCGTACGGATGATGGGGCGAGGGGGCTGGGGGGGACGCGGGTGGGGCAGCTGCTGCGGACGGACGAAACGCGGGCGGCGGGGAGCTCGCGGACGAGCGCGGGGAATGGAGGGGAGTTGCAGCTGGCGGCGGGTGGTGTGGAGGGGGATTTGGACGAGGCCGGGGTGGTGGCGAGTTGTTTGGTGATGTTGAAGAAGGAGGTTGATCGGAGGCGGACGGTGCAGATGATGGTTATCGCGGGGGGTGGGGGCAGTTGATGGCTGGGAAATTTTGAAGGGGTAAGTGAGTAGGTGCTTCGGGTAGTGGTATTTCTCTTAGATCTTCGATCATTCATTGTTAGTTATATTTCAATTCAATATTTTTCCTTGTTTGAGAGGCGTTTTGAAGTCGAGTGTTTCAATAAGTCTATGCTCCAGTCAAAGCGGAGTGTTGCCACTATTCTGCTTTCTATAATTACAATTTTCTTACCACCATTTCTTACCACCAGGTCGTCTTCGAAGGCGTAAGGGTATTTCGATAAAACGAACGCCCCGGTATGCGATAATTCAGTAACTCCGCCCCATCATTTCTCAAACACTTTCGTCTTTCTCTTGAGTCTTTTGCGCCGATTCCGCAGTCGGCCCACCTTCATTCTTCCCCTTAATACTCTTCCACTCCACTCCCAGTGCTCCAAAGATCGTCATGCAGGACATCGCCACGCCCACGTAGAACGCATGTCTGATGGCAATGTTGTACCCTGCCAACACCGCGCCCAACAGCTCTGGCTTGACGACGTGCCTCAAGTTCGTGGCACCAGTCTTGACCACCTCATTCGCGTCCAAGCCGGCGATGTGCGACATGCTCTTGACAAGCTGGTTCGCAAACACGTTTTGGCCCACGGACACGAAAATTGCACCCCCTAGGTTCTGCGCAAAGAACATGAGCGCCACACCGGACGAGACATCCTTCCTGCCCAGAACGCACTGTGCCACCATAGTGGCTTGTTGCATACCAACACCAAGACCGAGCCCGTACAGCACCTGGTAGCCAATCCACATGGCATGACCAGAGTTAACCTGCCACGTCGTGAGCAGGCCGGCGGCGATCGGCATAATGATCGACGAGAGAATCATCGGCGGGGCGTAGTACCCGACCTTCTGGACAAAGCCTCCGGCTATGAACGAGGCCACGACGAGAGCGATGACCATGGGAAGGACATCGATGCCAGATTTAGTGGGAGTGACGCCCTTGATGGCCTGGAACCAGATGGGGATGTAGAAAGAGAAGATCAGCATAGCGGACATGCAGCAGAATATGTACGCGAAGGCGCAGACGATGCTGCGCTGGCAGAAGATGTGGGGCGGGACCGTCGCGGTGTCGCCCTTCCAGATCTGGATAGCGATAAAGGCGACGGAGAGGAGGATGAAGAGGATCAGGAGGACGATGATGCGCGCGTTGTGCCAGGCATAGGTGCTTCCGCCCCATTGCAGCGCGAGAAGGAGACAAATGATACCGGGAAGGAGAACGAGCGTGCCGAGTGGGTCTAGCTTCTGCAGTTGGGCTTTGAAGGTGAGGCCACGGTTGTCGTGGTCCCCGGCTTGCGGTGGAACTTGCAAGATAATGACGAGGATGGTGACAGCGACGGCGCCGACGGGGAGGTTGATGTAGAAGCACCAGCGCCAGCTGACGTGCTCTGTAAACACGCCACCGAGGAGAGGGCCCGTGACGCTGGCGATGCCGAAGACGGCGCCCATGCAGCCGATGAAGATGGGGCGTTTTTGGAGGGGGATGGCACGAGTGATGATGATGATGCTACCGTTTTGCATGCCTGCAGCCCCCAAGCCGGCGATGGCGCGGCCGACGATGAAGGCGGTAGATGAGGGTGCGGCGCCGCAGACAGTAGAGCCAATTTCGAAGATGGCGATGCAGGTCAGGAGTGTCCATTTGGGGTCGTAAAACGTGTAGACGCGGCCAAAAACGAGCTGGAAGCTGCAGAGAGTGAGTAGGTAGGACGAGCCGTACCAACCGATGTTGCCGAGAGAGTGGAAGTCGTCTGTGATACGCGGGATAGCTGTTGCTATAATGGTTCTATCCTGCGAGGGTTGTTAGTCGCTGCAATTGAGGGCTGTGGGAGGAAGAGGAGACGTACGAGGGCTATGAGAAACATAGTCAAGTATATGGCGATCATGACGGGAATGATCTTGGCCATACTAGGGAATTCAGATCCATCCTGTGGTGGTAGTGACGCATCTGATGGTGCAGTTGGAAGCTCGCCAGACGGGGAGGGACTGTCATGGTGAGTGGAGGCAGCATTGTGAGGCGATGGCTTCTCAGTGCTGTTGATGGTATCCTCAGAAGGGGTATGTTTGACGTGGATCGTCGTGGGGCTTTCTGCCATGGTGAGGGAATGTTCGAGGGCTGAAATAACAATATGAGAGGATTAATGCAGTGGTCGGATGTCGGAGAGAAGCGACGTTACTAGTGCCGGTGCAGTAACAGGAAGTGGCACACCACCCTCTTTATATCAAGAGCCTGATTGCAGCCACGTACAGCAGATGCGTGCTACGGGGACTCCAACGCCGTCAAAAGGTGCTCGGGAGCCAGACACCACCGACAGGTCACGTGCCCGAGCGTCGGGACCGAAGGGACGTAGATCCTCTAACTCCTAGAGGGCTAGTGGTTCGCGTTCGGCTCGCGTTACTAAAGAAGTCCACCAATCAACCGCTCGCAATCATGCTAGTGTACGAGCATCCTGGACACTCTGTCCATTGACCCCTGGTGCTCGAAGACCACGCTTTTTGTCAGCCCGAGATGATGCGTATATTGATGCATACGGGGATTCTAGCAGACATGATTTGCGCCTTCCGCAATATCCCTTACCAAGTTAATCTCGTGTTCGCGCTTTCTCGCGTTCACCCTTCACGCTAAAGAAAGCTACTTCTCCCCATCAAGAATTGCTGGGTGAGTTCGGCGAAGATTCAGACATGAGGGTTCGGGTGTGGTAGCGCCTTCGGCGCGTTGGCGGACGATCGTGACGGGTGTAATATCACGGCTGGGAAGCAGGATGGGCATATCCGTCAGGATGGGGCCGTCTATGCGTGGAAGGAGCCCATCATTACGATGAACTGACAGCGAAGGAGATTTCCTTCTGTCGGCGGGGGGAGAGACGCTGGTTGTGTTGTTGAGGTGGAAGGCCTTTGATGCGGACCTTTGAGCTTCTGAGGCTAGCTTTGAGAAGGCGCGTCGTGGTTTAGGGTCGGGGTGGAGTTCGGTAACTGAGTGGATTATATCTTTTGGCGACGAAATTTGCTCAGGCGTTGGTTTGCGAAGCGTAGGCTTGGGGGAAGCATTATACATGGCGGAAGATGTGGGGAGTAGGAGATTCGAAGGGCCGTGATGTGGAGAGATACCTCCAGGAGATGAGGGGTTGCTCTAGAAGCTGGAGGTGGGGTCGAAGAGCTGGACTCTATGGAATCTGTGAGTCCATGGATCGCGTCGCGACCAAAGTGACATGTACCATTCACGCGGAGCTACTAGTTTGAAGGGAGAACCACAAAAGGATGCATTTGACGTGTTGTAGTAGATTATGATGGGACTCTGGCTCTAGTAGAATGCCAAAAAGAGACGAAAAGTTGAAAGAATTACAAGACAAAAAAAACATGACGACATCACGCCGTAAGTCGTCAGTATCGCTGCCCGTTATCTGCGACAGTATTCGTTGCATCGTGATATGGCGGCACGTTTTCGTATGCGGGAGGCATTTCCCTCTCTTCACTCGAACTGCGCCGTCTCTCTCCTTGTGCTTCGATCTCCTTTGCGGTTTGCGCCGTTTGGGAGGATCGACCTTCTCGGGGTATCGATCGGGTTGCGGATTGAGTCGTGGAGTAGTGAGACTCATCGTAGACGGATAGGTCCGTGAGAGCTTGGGTCGCTTTTTCTGCTTTGCGTTGTTTGCGCTTCTGGTTCAACTTGTCCGCGCCGAGACCGATGCCAGCGATGAGAAGGGCGGCCATCGTATTCTAGGTGTGATAGAAAAGATTTATTCTACAGCACGCGTTTCTTAGCTTTCATGCTGATAGTAGGGATACGTGTGAAGCAATGAAGAATGTGGAGTAATAATCATTGCTTCATTGAGGCGAATAGGATGAACTGTGAAAAGGACATACCTGAGGATAGTGTATAGGCGAAAACGAGACCGGAGAGCAAGCTTACGTTGAGAAGCTGCGATGTATGTGTGTAGGTGTTTGAAGTCGTTGCTATTGTTTGAGATACATCTCAAGCGGAATATATAGGTAGCTTGGGAGGCGGTGATAGCTTCGGGGCGAAGGCTGAGATCCTGGTGTCGTCACTGATAATTCGACCAATCAGAGCGACGCTGAGACGCGCAGTATTTGAGTTCCTCGCACAGCCCCAAAGCGTCTATCCTCAACACGGACAACCTAGCGAAGGCCATCCATCTCGCATCGACTCTGACCGGAGCTTATTTGAATTAAGAATCGGCGTTTTGGGCAGAAACAGCCTTAGCTGAGCAGCTGCGCAGCGTCGGCCGCAGTAAGTTAACGAAAGCGCAACGAATGACGACCCTGCCAACTCCTATGCGCTGCTACACCTCCCGGACGCGCCGACGCATAAGCAACGTATATGGACGACTCCGCAAACCTCTCCGGGTCATGTATGCGGATGTCAACGAGCAGTCTCTTTGTAAGAGAGCCCAGCGCCCGTGTTCTTTAAGCAATGACCCCGTGAAGGCGTCTTCATTCCGGCCTCCTGGAAGAAGTCATCCCAAGCTCTCCGGAGGTCATGGTAGAAGACGAGGTTCACACGGGTCTTTTTGTTTGTTAGCGATGGTCAGTATCCGTTCAATTGAAACGCGGGTCCCCGTCCTCAGTCTTCAGAGCCCTATACGGCCTTTGACAAGACTGGAGGTAAGTTTGAAGAAAAAACAATCCTGTCCAGTATCCTCTGCCTGGTTGTTGGAAGCTTCAAGTCTCAATGTCGCGGGGTATGAGAGTCCGGCCCACTCTAATGGTAGAGACATAGATCAATCCTGGGGACGAGGCCCGTGTTGAAGGTGCGAGTTGCGATGTCCCTCAAGCTGTGTAACCTCGCATCTGCGTAACCACTAAGCAGGACTCCTTTTGTTGGCTCATCGTAGATTGGAATGTACCGAGACCCAGAAATCCGCTTCGGGGTGGCTACATTGCTTTACCCCAGGTCCGGATCGAGCTGACCACGCCTTTGTTGCAGGAGCTGGAAGCTGACGTCTCTTGGCAAGTACAAATCACGAACAGGTGGAATTAATCGTGCGTTGTCACTTGCGTCATTAAAATATTCCTAGAGCTGTCCTGGTAGGGAAATCAGAATAGAGAACTCATCTCGCAACGAGTACGCAGTAACATCATGCACACTGCATAATGCCTTGTGGGGATAGTTTCTTTGTTATGCCCCATCGTCATTTTCCTAATCCGTCCTCACGATGTGCTCACGAGGCCTGGTTCGCGCCTGCGGATTTACCGCACGCGGTCTTGTTGACTTTTCTGCCGTTTTCGCGCGTCACTATAAAACCCGCGCGCCTCACCTACTCATTCCAACCTGCCACCTACAATCCATCACCACCAAACTTACCGCATCTAGTCAACCTCTACACTAACTACTTGCATCATGAGCCGCTGGGCTCCGTCCTCCAACCGTGCAACCAGTGACCTCAGCCGTGTCGAGGCACCGGTAACGCTCCGTGGCTATCTCCTTTGCGTAAGTCGCTTCTTTCCTTCGCTGCCCATGCCTCTCTGGTAGCCCGACGGGCCCTCGAGATGTTGCGAGTGTTGTGTCCCAGTGAAATAGAGGCTAATTTTGTTGTCAAGGCTTTTGCAGCATTTGGTGGTATCCTGTTTGGCTACGATTCGGGATACATTAGCGGTGTTCTCGCCATGAACTACTTCAAGGAGCAGTTTGGCCGTAAGTATTACTTGTCTCCTTGACTTCACTCACCTGTCGCTGTTTAAAATACTTCGACCTAATTCAAACACTAATTACCTCACAGATCATCAGCTCCACGACGCCGATGCCTACAATGGCTACAATTACGACAGCTGGCAGAAATCCCTGATCACCTCGATCCTCTCCGCAGGTACATTCTTCGGAGCTCTGTTTGCTGGGTCTCTCGCCGACTGGATTGGTCGTCGAACTACGATCATTGCAGGATGCGGCGTCTTCTCTGTTGGTGTCATACTTCAGGTGGCATCTACCACAGTCAGCTTGCTCGTTCCTGGCCGGCTGATTGCTGGCATCGGCGTCGGCTTCGTGTCGGCAATCATCATCCTCTATATGTCTGAGATCTCGCCGAAGGCCGTCCGGGGTGCCATCGTCTCCGGATACCAGTTCTCAATCACCATTGGTCTTCTCCTGGCTTCGTGTGTCGACAAAGGCACTGAAAATCGCATGGACACTGGCTCCTATCGCATTCCCATGGCAATCCAATGGCTGTGGGCTATCATCCTCGCCACTGGCCTTTTTCTTCTTCCAGAATCTCCACGCTACTATGTCAAGAATCAGAAGCCGGACGAAGCTGCCAAGGCCCTCAGCCGTCTTCGTGGTCAGCCCGTAGACTCTGCCTACATCCAGGACGAGCTTGCCGAGCTCGAAGCCAACTATCTCTACGAATCGGAGAATATGCATAGCAGCTGGATCGACTGCTTCCGTGGGGGATGGAAACCTTCTGGAAACCTTCGTCGCGTTATGCTTGGCATGGCTATGCAAATGATGCAGCAATGGGTACGCCCTTCTCTTTCTTGACTCTCTTTTGAAGCGCTAACGAACAACAATACCGGTGTGAATTTTGTCTTCTACTACGGCACAACTTTCTTCCAGCGGGTCGGAATAAAGAATGCATTCACCATCTCCATCATCACCACGGTCGTCAATGTGTGCTCGACTCCGATCTCTTTCTGGACCATTGAGAAGCTCGGACGTCGCGTTCTCCTCATCTATGGCGCCGTTGGTATGCTGGTCTGCGAGTTCATCATCGCGATCGTCGGCACCGTGGCTCCCGAGGCGCACGCCGCCAACCTGGTCCTGATCATCTTCACCTGCTTCTACATCTTCTTCTTTGCCTCTACCTGGGGTCCCGCAGCCTGGGTCGTCATCGGCGAGATATTCCCTCTGCCCATCCGAGCCAAGGGTGTTGCGCTCTCCACCGCATCGAACTGGCTCTGGAACTTCGTCATCGGCTACATCACGCCGTATATGGTCGACGCCAACCAGGGCGATCTCAAGTCCAAGGTCTTCTTCGTCTGGGGCACGACATGCACCCTGTGCGTCTTCTTCGCTTACTTCTTCGTTCCGGAGACCAAGGGCCTCAGTCTTGAGCAGGTTGATCGCATGCTAGAGGAGACCAACCCTCGCAACAGTGCCAAGTGGGTTCCGCATGATACGTATGTGGGCCGTGGCGCTCGCGACGGTGTCAAGATGGCCTCTCTGAGCTCTGATGGCGGTGCCGACCACTTGGAGAAGGTCGACAAGCACTCTGAGGCCACCCAGGTCTAGTCGTCATTGAGGAAGCCTTGCAATACCCTATCTGCGAAAAGGGCACTGGCTAAAAGGTCGATGCTGCGGTTTTAGTACAGTGTGGCGTTTCTTTGCAGCTGAGGAAAAAGATTCATCTGCGTTCGGTCAACAAATTCGGAGTTTGAGTTGCTATTTGATAGCGCTTCCTTTAGGTCACACTTTCCGGTGCTGCTTTATGTCTAGCCTCTATGGGGGGATCCAAGGAGACCTGACTTGTTCTAAGCCCGGAATATACCCATCAGTAGTTCCTATTCTTGGTCTTCATGCTGTAATGCGTCACTTGACCCTTACTTTTAATAAGGTGTGCTATTAGGATCTGAATTCCATAGGAGAGAAATCCATACTAACGAATGTGTCTACGAGACGCGATGAAGACGGGAATGCGGTTCTATATCTAAATCTCTACGCAAGGGGTTCTTATCAGCTCTAGATTGCGCCATCTCGATGTGTACTAGCTAGCCTTATTCCATTCCATCCCTATCACTCAATTATCGCTTCGCCCAACACTCTGGGCCCTTTCTCCTCCCCTCAACAGGATTTATATTACTAGCGCACACTTGCTTGGGTGTCCCTGTATGAAGTTCTTCAAAATCTTCATCAATCGAAAGGCGAGCTACCCCAACGACTCGTAACCTCTGCCAGGCTATCTGGAGCTGCGTCCTCCAATAGTACTCAGAAGACACTTTAGTACGCGTCTCTGCTTCGAATTACTAAATCTCGCATATAACGATGGAGGTATAAAGGTCTTTCGGTGTGAATCTCAATTGCGGATGCCCATTTTATCAACTCGTCTCTTACAAGTCTCGTTCGGAGTGGAGTATCTCATCATCTGTCAACCACTACTTCCTCTTTCCTTCACGAACATCTCACACTTCCTCCCTCCAAGCATACTCCTCCAACTCCGCCACCCACTCCGCCGCCTTCCGCCCCACCAACCTCTCCACCACATGCAACGTCGCATCCAACCCACAGCTCACGCCGCCCGCCGTAATCGTCACCAGCCCCTCCCCCTCATTCTCCACCCACCGCTTCCGCACCACCTCCGTCCCCTTGCCCCCGGCCTCCGTGCTCGCCTGCGCACACAGCATCTCCAGCCCCTCCAGCCCCAGAAAATGCGTCGTCGCCCGCTTCCCCCCCAGCACCCCCGCCGCCGCCAGCAGAAACGCCCCCGTGCATACCGACAGCAGGAACCTCTTCTTCCCCTCGCTCTTCTTCTCCTCCGCCAGCCGCGCAAACTCGCGGATCACGCCGAGCTCCTCGGTGCCGGTCTTGGCGAGCGCGAGCATGATCTCGGGCCCGCCGCCGGGCACGATCAGGATGTCGTAGGAGGCGAGGTTCTCGCGGGCCTCGGCGAGGGAGATGGCGGGGACGAGGGTTAGCGTGCCGCTCTCCGAGGAGACGGGGTTCGTGGCGCTGAAGGTGGTGGCGGTGAAGGCGCGCGGGCCGGTGGGGTCGGCGTTGGTGGTGGTGTTGTTGAGGATTTCGGCGGGGCCGGCAAAGTCGAGGATGTCGGCGCCGGGGAAGAGGAGGATGGCGGCGCGGTAGGGCGGGGTGGGGGTGGACATTTTGGTGGAAATGTAGGGTTAGGATGGGTGAGGCTGGGTGGGTGCGGTTAGGTAGGGGAGAGAGGTAAGTTGGCGAATTTGGGGGGTGGTGGGAAGACTAGATGGGGATAGGTGGGATTTGGGAGAGTATAAGTATGAAGTCTATTGCTGGGGTAAAGTTGAGGCTGTTTGAGCAAGAATCGCCGTATACGGCATCGTTTGTACGCCCTTTACCCCGCTGCTGACATGCATGGTCCAAATACGAGCTTCCTAAAACTGTAAGCTCCTTTTCTTGTAGCAATGGTGATTTTAAAACGCAAAACCGTGAGATGAACTAAGTTTGATAGTCGCATGGCAAAACTCATCTACTAGGTTACGAACCTACGGAAGAACTTTCTTCAACGTCCCCACAAGAGATCTGACCTCCTCTTCAGTATTGTAATGTATCATACTCACTCTAATTACCCCTTCCGATCCAAGTTTGAGGACCTCATCGCAAAGCCTCTTGCTGTAGAAATGACCCCATCGAAATCCAAAGTTAGATATCTTCTCCGCATCCTCCACGACCTTACGAGAGCTGACATCAGCTACCGTGAAGCTGATCGTTGGAACCCGTAGAGAGGAGTCTGAACTAGTCTCTCCGTGGATCATGACGTCTTTGCGAGACATGAGGTACGTCAAGAGGATCGATTGCAGTTTCTCTTCATGTTTGGCGATAGACTCGAAGACCGGCTTCGGAGAATCGCCGCCGAGGTACGACACGATCAGTGGAATGGACTGGGTCAGCTCGTAGTTTGCCCCTGCGAGACCGATCTTGTCTTCTAGCGTAGCCGTGGGGTTGAAGTAGTGACCCATGGGATGCAGCCTGTCTTGGATAGCGCTGGATGCGTAAAGTGCGGCAATATGAGGCCCGTACACCTGTTAGACTCGAGTCAGTATGGTGCATTGAGCATCAGAGGTCGCTTTCTTACCTTGTACCACGAGAATCCATAAAAGTCCACTCCCAGCTCTTTCACGTCAATCTGACGATGTGGCGCGTAAGCAACACCATCGACACCGAAGAGTGCTCCCGGGATCGAGTGCACCGTCTGCGCAATTGAGCGAATGTCGTGGATGGTTCCAAGAATGTTTGATGAATGAGTACATGCCACGAACTTGGTTTTGGGAGATAGAAGGGCCTTCAGCGACTCGGGGGTCAACTTGGGATTGACAGAGCTGGCTGGCGACCACCACTTGATCGTCATGTTGCAGCGTTTGGCCATGTCCAGCCAAGGATCGATGTCGGATTCATGGTCGACTTTCGATAAGATGATTTCATCCCCAGCTTCGAAGTTCAAGGAGAATGAGAGGTTGCGGAATAGCTGCGTTGTTGATGCGCCGAGGACTGCGAGACGTGATGAGTATAATAGTAGAAGATGTATTGCCTGAGATGAAAAAAGCTGTAAGCCTTACCAACTTCCCCTGGATTGGCGTTCATGTACTTCGTCGCTGCATCGCATCCTGCGCCATACTTCGAGGTTGATTGTTGGCTTGCACTGTAGGAAGCACCAAGCTGAACATTGGTATTAGAGAGGTATTTCGAGATTCTGAGGAGGTGAGCATGGAAAATTGAAACATGGTAGTATGAGTACGACGCTTACGACTCAATCACTTCTCCTAGCACCTTGCTTCAAAGCGGGGAAAAAGTCCCTGGCTTTCGTGACGTCAAATGTACCCGCCATAGTTCGAGGAATGTAAATTTGAGGAAGTAGTGATGAGAAGCGGTAAGTCTCTCAGAAAATACCAGTTGTTAAGTAGATCCATAGTGATCAAATTTGGCATTTTATGAAAGAATTGAAGAATGAAAGGCTAAGCCCATAGCAGGAAGGTGGAGAAAGATCCGCGCTAAGTGACGTGCGGGTCTCTTTCACGCCCTTCTCCTTACAGATTGCAACCTTCTGATGCGGCCTCGAAACGCGTGATGCGGCCTTACGATGCGGCCTCAAACGACATGATGCGGCCTTGCGATGCGACCTCATGATAGAGCAAAGAGTCGTTCATTGAGAATGTCCGAAATGTCGGTTATCGCGGCTTCTACCTCGTCACGGCTGTGAATCGACTCACATTCAATCCGAACATCAATTTAAGCAATTCAATTCAATGTGGAGGCTGGAAAACATGCTTGCTTGTCAATGACCCTGTCAGTGTGGAGTGCCTATCGGGGGTATTGGAAGTATTGTCATTCATTTGATCTTCTAGAACTATGCAGCTTCCATCTACTACTGTCACCTCTCCTCATTATCGCCGTACATGGTGAACATGTCCTACATCCATTGAAATATGGCTATTAAGAGCGCGATGCGGTTGTGTGGTGGGGCGCATCGTCCCTACCCTTCTATAGTCCGACCTCGTCATTTCCCATTTGTCATCTCCCAACCCCCAACTCTCATCTCCCTGTACCATTTACCTACTCCATCTGCCTATGCTTTCCTCGGCTCTGTTTACTCGTCCTCCACTCTGTTTCCTCGTCCTCTACTCTGTTTACTCGTCCTCCGTTGTCAGTTTCGATTACTTCACTAGACGTATCGGCGGTGATCAAGATGAATCCAATTGACTAAGATTTCCCCGAATGCGATATGGTGTTGGATCTAGCCATTCTTCGCCGGCAACGTTAAATTAAGAGTTTCATTCTTAGCATTGGATGCTTTAAGCTAAGTCCTAAGTGCGGTACAGTCAGCATCAAGCGCATCGTGCTTCGTCTAGTGTGCTTTGATATTGCACTTTATCACCCTAAGTTGGCTCTCCAGCTCCTCCTTCTTAACCCTGAGCAAGGTGTATTCAGAGTTAGAAGAATCAAGCTGGAAGTTGACTATTCTGTAGTCACCGTTAAGCATGTCGTGCCCACGCTGTAGGGCTTTGGCGTCGGAGTTGACCACCCGAAGCTCGGGTTCTGGCTTCTGAGTAGGGATATTTCCGAAAACGCGATCTAGGACATTCAAACTTTTACATCTTACTCTGATTCAGGAAGATGCCTCGGAGGACTCCCAACAGCGTCAGCCACGTCCAGTGGGTAAGATAGTCGAGCCACTGAAGCAGTGCCACCTAGTGTTGCGAAACACCGTGCGAGAGAGAAGAGACACAAAGAGATCTGAACTTCAAGTAAGGACTATGCCTAATGGCAACATGAGGGTCTTCTTGGCTGTAAGGGTAATCTCAAGGACCCAGCTGGCGACAGGCTTCGTTGGAGATAAGTTGTAGTCTCTTCTGACTTCGTCTAAGGTGGCCTGAAGAGCTATCAGGCGAGCCAAAAGTGTCGTCTCCCAATTCAGAATAACGCACCAAGGTGCCTCAAGCGGTGCCAGGCAAGTGCGTGGTATGGAAGCTCGAGTGCGTGCGCATAGGACTTTTCATCATAGAATCACGAATTCGTAGACTGTGCCTTTCTATTGGAGGACACCAGTCTCCGTTGAATACAGAGCAACAAATTAGCACCGCCTGAGGTGGCATACGGAGCCATCAGGCGTGTCAAAGGTGTCGATTTCCAACTTTTGATAACGTACCAGGGGGTCCCAAGCGGTGCTGGGCAAGTACGCCTTATAGTACTTTATTGATGGCACTTGAAGTACTCTTCACGCTTCGCATTCCTTCGTCCTCAAGCTGCTGTTTGGGACCCTCCCGCTCGTTGTTGGTGCGGACGACGTTGTGTTGGAAAACAAAGGTAAAAAGGAAGGAGGTGACGGTTCGTTAAGTACAGAGAAAGTACTTGCTTAAATTGTGAGAGAGTGATGGCGGGGGATGGGAGGGGAGGGCGCCACGGTACGTTATTTCAAATTGGAAAACGACACTTTTAACACACCTAATAGCTTTTCACGCCACCTCAGACGGAGTCAGAAGAGACTGCTACTTCATGTTCAACGAAACCTGCCGCCAGCTAGGCCGATTACCGTATCTTGGAACGCGATTCAAGATGTACAGTACTAGGTCATAAATGCCCTAGAAAGCTAGAAGTCCTACCCCTAAAGTTTGTGACATCGTGTAGGCATCAGTTTTGAATAGCCCAAGGGCGTATTTAATCCTCCGGTGCTATGTCAAGACGTTCACATAAGCAATCCTGATCTAGTGCCTGTAGCTTTTGGCATCGTATAGGCGTCGATTTTGAATAGTCCAGGGATGAACTCAATCCTCTAGTGCCAGGTCAAAACGTTCACATGAGGGACTCTGATCTAGCCCCTAGAGCTTTTGACATCGTGAAGGCGTCGCTTTTGGACAACTCAGGGGTGTATTCCATACTCACCCGTATGCTCAAAAGCAACAAGCATATTGTTCAATTCCTTGCTCTTCGATTTTACAGCCTTCTGATATTGGACGTTCTGATCTAGCCTTCTGAGCTTATGACATCGTGTAGGCGTCGGGGTTGAAAAGCCTAAGGGTGTATTCAATCCTCAGGTGCCATTTCAAAACGTTCACGTGAAGGACTCTGATCTAGGCCCTGGAGCTTTTGACATCGTGTAGGCGTCGATTTGGAATAGCCTAGGGGCGTATTCCATACTTAATGATATGCTCAAAAGCAGTAAGCATACCGTTCAGTTCCTAGCTCTTCTATTCTACAACTCTCTTAAGATTGGACGTTCTGATTTAGGCCCTCAGGCTTTTGACATCGTGAAGGCGTCGCGATTGAGTAGTCCAGGGGTTTTTTCACTCCTCCAGTGCTCCGTAAAGCTAGGCGTTCTGATCTAGCCATTGGAGATTTTGACATCGTTTACGTGTCGATTCTGAATAGCCTAAAGGCGTATTCAATCCTCCGGTTCGATGTCAAAACGTTCACGTGAAAGGCTCAAATAACGGCGTCCGTGCGCTGGTGTTCACTGTCCATCTCGAAGACTTCGTCCTGTTCAGCCTTCAGCTTGCCCTGGGCCACCTCAAGCTTGGATTGGGCAGTCTTCGTTTCTGCGTAGTAAAGGTTGGTGGTGTTTTGGACCTCTGAGCGAAGCCTACTTTCGTCCTTAAACTGCTGTCCCTTGTCATGTGGAGGGAAAGTACTTGCTTAAATTGTGAGAGAGGGGCCCCCGGGGGGGGGGGGGTGGGGGGGGTTGGTTGGTTGCGGCGTGCCGGGTCGATAACTGAGCGCGCTACTTCGCTTAGAGCTCTAAAATACCACCAATCCCTAATACGAGTAGTCTAAAGTTGCCCAATCCATGGTTGAGGTGGCCCAGGTCAATACTCGACATGCTCTTCCAGGCTCGAGATGTTGGCTTCATTGTCCATCTCGAAGACTTCGTCTTGTTCAGCCTTGAGCTTGGCCTGGACGACCTCAAGCCTGAACTGGGCAGCCTTGGAGAGGGAAAGTACTTGTTAAATTGCGAGAAAGGGGCCGGCCCCTGGGGAGAGGGATGGGGGGCCCTGCTTTATGGGCCCTTTCCCGTCTAAACGCCATCAATTATGTAATACAAGACCTAGTTGCCTGGCACCGCTTGCCTGGCACCGCTTGGGGGTCCATGGTACGTTATCAAAAGTTGGAAACGGACGCTTTTGACACGCCTGATGTCTCTATTCGCCACCTAGTTAACGACAAGTCCTTGGTTACTTGAAAAATAGTCTGATATCTGCTGCGTTGATCTTGACATCCCACCTGTATTGTTTTTGACCCTAAGTATCACCTCACACAGCTGTAAGCACGTGCCAGACGAGTTTCGATGTATGTCTAAGTTAGCCTTCAATATATACAGCAGTAGGATGTGTCTGGGCACACCGATATATTACTGTTCTAGCTCTACTATTGCTCTCTCGATACCAGTGTAAGGAGTACCCTAGCTAGAATGTCTTTAGTTAGTTAAAAGGTAATCTAATATACGCTGCGATGATCTTGACATCCCATCTAGATTGTTTTTAACTCTGATGACCGCCCCAGACGGTTGTAAGCACGTGCCAGACGAGTCTCGATTGAATGTGCGATGGTAGATTATGTATCTGGGAACACGGATATACCACTGCTCTGGCTCCACTCTTTCTCTTTCGACAACACTGTAAGGAGTACCCCAGCTAGCGTGTCTTTAGTTAGCCAAAAGATAGTCTAATATCTGCTGCATCAACCTTGACATCCCATTCAGACAGTTTTTGACCCTAATGACCACCCCAGCCGGCTGTAAGCACATGCCAAACAAGCCTCAATCGACGTCCTAGTCGGCTTCCGATATAAGTTTAGGCACGTGCTTGCAGCCGTTTGGGGTGGTCGTTAGGGCCAAGAACTGTCTAAGGTGCATCCCTGCGTAGCGAGAAACCCTGCGTGGTGAGAAAATCAATAGGTACATTAACTTCAAGCAACTCAAACTCCACGCATACACTAATGTTTCCCACAGTTCTATATAAGTCGTCTGCTGTGGCTATTCCTAAATACTTGGAACACCTCCTACCTAAAAATTACGTTTGCATTGTTGCCTTTGCGCCCGATTTGCAAAGAGCCTCCTTTTATAGTGTAATAGAATTTCTTTATTATAGGACTACTATTAAGCTTTTATCACTCCTAATGCTTATAAAAGGGCCAAATATAAGCCTCAAAACCTCACTATTATACTGGAAAGTCGTTATCAGCCTTGTGGCTGCTATCACACGCAAATTCACGTAAAGTTGCCACTCCGACCGGTACCTCCAACCAAAGCGGTCACCAATCCCGGCTAATGCAAACAGCCTACATAATCATCATTGTGTAATTTACTTACAGTGGCTGTTAGACCTGTGGCTGTGCACAATCTTGGTAAGCTGGCCGGCCTTGGCACTTTGCGACCCGACTCAGCCTTGGCCATGCCTCCGGTCAACCAACTCAACTCTCTGAAAGCACCTGCAGAATTCGCCACCTCACAACCCTGTGGCCTGAGCGGGTCGGCCGTCCTCCCTGCTAGCGTTTGCAAACAACAAAGTGCTTCGGGCGATTTCTTCCGCCACGGGTGGTCAAAGGGCGTTGTAGGCATAGATTACTCATCTATTAGTAGTTATAAGGCCACAATGCGCCCCGGAGCATTATGGCTTGTGCTCAAGTACTTTGAGTAAGCAGACTTTTGCCGTTTAGCGCTCGGTCCTGTTTGCTTGCCTGTTCTAACCTGGGTTGCCTTGTAGCGAGAGGGCCATTACAAGGGGCGAGGCCTGAACGGATTAGCCAGGTATGTGTGCTCTCGCACAGATATTCGGCACTCTTCTATAGGACAATCCACGGACTTTGCTAACCCGTTCAGGCCTCGTCTATACCTACAAGAATTAGCGTCATGCGAGTTACTTCTACGCTTAGCCTGTTGTTTCCACCCACGCAAGATTAGCGTCATGCAGGATACTTTTGTTTACCCCACCCGCAAAGCTGAAGACCTTAGGCACGATGAACAGACATCTTGCCATCCAAGGCACGTGTAATTATTTATTTAAGTCTCTCTCACATCCCGCCGTTCTTCTTGCACAACTGTAGGGGTGCGGAAATATTATACATCCCTATGTCTTCGTTTGTTCCTTCTCAACACAGTCGTCTCATACCTGCGCGGTCCTACTCTTCGGAAGCATGGGAGCAGAAACGGATGATTATATCCCAACTTTATCGCGATGAAGCCAGAAGTCTCAATAATGTTCTAGTCGTTCTTGCACAGGAGCACGATTTTCGACCCACGTACGCCAGCCTCATAGCAAGTGACCTGAGTCACCAGACTGATAACTTCTAGCCCAGCTATGCTCAAGAAACGCATTACCAAATGGTCCTTAGACCGGAAGCGCAAGCAATTAGATATGCTGGTTGCCCTACGACTTGCCTCTCAGCGGGAAGCTCTGGGCAAGGAGACAATTTTCTAGATCAGAGGGCGACTTGTCACGTTTCAGCATGTCAAGCAATACTTTCGGCGTAAAGGAATCCGCGACTTACAATCCCTTATGGCTACTTCGAATACTACCACACCCTCAACGCACATAGACTGCCGCACTCCTGAACCCGAACTGGTGGCTGTTGATAAGGATATCCATAATTTGGAGGTCCCAACCGATTCTACAGACCCTACGGACCTGGCCATGCATGAAAGCTTTAATATAGGGAACGTGAGCCCTCCTATTGTGGCGCTGCCCTTTTTTAACCAGGTGGATTTTGTCATGCCCTCTAATGCAACGATGAGCCAGCTGGAGCAGCTTCTACACCTCAGCCGTGTGTACTATGACGGCATGTTCGAAAAACCACACGGGAAGAGTATGAATAGTACTTCCCAGGTTGGTCTATTGGAGAAGTTCTACCATCGCATGTTCGATGGACAAGCGTTACTAGAGAGAGAAGACAATGTCGAAGCATTTCAACACTTCAATATTGCTTTCGACCTGATCCACGACCTCTTGAACCAAGAGAATTTACTGTTTCTCCCATACCTGTATTATATGATGTTACCATCTAGGCGGATCCAAAGGCAAGAAGTATTTTCTCGTTTTTTAGGCTTCGCATATCAAATGGGTCAGACATGTTTCCCACAGCAACATCTAATTCAGCGCTTAATAACTATTTTACACCACATGTCGATTAAGGACAGGGGTGCATCTTCAGAGTGCTCACTCCGGAGCATCGTGGATCGTTTACGATTGGAGTTCGAAGATCATATACCGGATGACCTTGATCCAGGACAAGTCGATATCTGTTCTTTGGGACGGCAATTGCATACGGAGTCCCTTGTCCAACCGGTTCAAGATGCGAGCAAACTGACTTCCATTGCTGTCTGGAAATTCGTTAACGAGGCCGGGATGTTTAAGCCACTTTCAGCTAAGCGCTCTAAAACCCCAAACTTTGAGCTAGAAAACGCGCATTCCCTCAACGTTGATGAGCTCGTAGACCCAGTCTATTTGCGACGGTCTCCCAATACCGATGTGAAATTTGGGTATCATCGGGACTTAAAACCTGAAAATATACTTATTTCCACGGGTCAGGTTATATTTACGGACTTTGAGTTGCAGATGATCGAGGAACCGGAGAACGCCAGGCAGAGGCCGGACGGGCAAGGCTTGGCATCACACGAACTTGGTGGGCGGGGCACGGAGCGAGTTGCCGCTCGTCCCGATACCTTGGCACCAAGTTTACGACTCGACACGGAACTCGATCGTCGAGTTGCCGACCAAGAAGAAGGAACTCGTTCTTGAACTCGGTCAGCGAGTCGGGGAACGAGTTGACCAAATTGCATGAAGGGAGGAATGTATTTTAGGACGCTCCTTTACGCAGACAGTTCCTTTTCTTCATAGTTAATTCCACTCTACTTCCAGCGACCTTCCTCGAAGTGAGGTCCAACCCAGGATATTGCCTATCACCCAATCCCATCAGTCACGTGACTTCGAACCTAACCCGGCGTCACAAACGTCACATGCAAACCCCAGCTAAGCTTTCCCTTCTCCTCCTCTGACCTGACCCCCAAGGCTCCCTACTCCTAGGCGAGTCTTAACAAGATGGTGGCCAGCGCGTGAATAAGGTGGCACTGGCACTGAGCAGCGAGGGGAAGTACACGGCGGCGGAGAAGATGCATCGGGAGATGTTTATATTGAGAGAGAGCGTATTCGAAGACGAGTAACTACTCACACACGCTGGCGAGCATGTACTATCTGACTGACATTAAGTGACAGAGAAAATAGAGCTCTTAATAAGTGGTCGATGGCAATTTAGAGATTCATTGCTATTTTACGTGTCTTATTAGTTTGTAAGTGTGCCTGGAAGGCAATTTCTAAACAGCTACGAGTGCTTTTCATCAGGCTGCGTAAGCGAGCGTAGTAAAGTAATCTAGCACTGGATATCGCCACTGCTAGCAGGGAGGGCAGCCGACCCGCTCCGGCCAGAGGGTTGTAAGGTGGCGAATTCTGTAGGTGTTTTCAAAGAGTTGAGTTAGTTAGCCGGAGGTAACGTAATCCGCATGCAAGCTGGCCACGCATGCATCCTGGCCACCTGCCCCACCAACATACAATAGATACACGAATTGCTCAACCACAACGAATTGTATTTGGTGTAGCTACTTGCTAGCTAGTTTCCTGCTTCTTAGGGCACGTACGAGCTTTGTGCACCAATGATTCGCACAAGCTACACTTTAGTGGTGCTCGCTGCTGTCGCTCTGCTGGCCCCGCTGCTGCCCCCTCTGCTGCCCCCTCTTGGGCAGCTTGTGCACGAGAGGCCCTTTCTGCCCCTAATAGAACCCCCCCCCCCTTGGCTATATATGTACGCCTAGTTGCTCTCTTCCTTTTCTAGCGATGATTCTCGGCACGCAGCCTCTTATTTTCGCTAGCAAGCAGCACAGCGCTTGACATCGCTATTTCACAGCCCTTAACAATCTGGCTAAGGGCTTGATCAGTGGGGCTTGATGGGCTATGCCGCTGGAGATAGCCTTTTAGCAAGGCCGTCTGCTTCTGTAGCTCAGCAATATTATAGGGTGTTTCAGCTGTCCAAGATCCATTTGATTGTGGCCGTTGGGGGGTGGTGGCGTATAATATTCGGCATGCAGCTGTGATAGCACGCGATCGGGGCTAGAACCAGGCCAGTAGCTGCAAATCCAGCCCGTATATTGCTTGGTGATAGTGCTAGCTGCCTAGCTTGCTTGTATAGTGGCAGGAATTCAAGCTTATCGATGTAGTTAACGCTATAAGCTATTATCTGTTCAACGCTGCGCCTGTACACCTGCTTAAGCGCTAAGAAACAGCCTATATCTAGCGGCTACAGCAGATGTAATAAATGCGCTGGCATGCAGACAATGATAATCTTGTAATCTATAGCAAACCGACCGAATTTAGGGTTGATATAGCTATTATGGCCATCTAGCACAAGCATCCGATACGTGCTAACAATACAATCCTTTGTATGCTTGTGGAATAGCTTTAGCCAAACTAGGCTAATATTATTTGTTGTCTAGCTGTTCTTACTAACCCTAATTAACTAGTCTGGTGGAATAGCTTGATACCAAGCAGCCTGGTGCATGATCGCTTCGAAGATAACTAGTGGTGGAATTGATGCCCCTATCGCATTAATGCACTCGATGATTGTAACCCACTCGCGATTGCCTGGCTGTATAGTCCTAGGCCGGCCAGCGCGGTTAGTTCCTGTAACAACTCGTGCAGTTGCAATCACACCTATCTAGACGCTAGTCTCATCAAAATTCCAGGTATCCTTATCCAGAATCCTATATTGTATCTTAATATCTTATATAAGTTTGAACCAGGCTCGTATTAGCACAGGATCTTCGCATTTGGCACGCTGATAGTCGTATTTTCGATTTAATTTGGATTGCAGGTCGGTATCCCTTAGGGCGCTGCTAAATGTACACCCTATATTTACTCGGTGTACACCCCTTTTCTACTCCGTATACACCCTTCTTACGTCTGATCTTCTGATTGGTCCGGAGGGCTCGGAGGAAGCTCCGGCGCTTAATTCTCACGCGCATCTATATGAAATGGGAAGGCTGTACAGCCTCACTATTTCATTGTGCATTCTTACCGTTTCCGTGAGGCTATATATATAGGCCAGCTACACGTAAGGCCTCACGTGAGGCC